ATATGTTGGGGATGTGCATCTGGAAGCTGTGGTCCCTGAAACCTTTAGACATGAACATTCTGTATTTTTGTACATCATCTTCCCTGCCAGTCATTAAGAGGAATGGAATAGTCATTGTGCTGTGGAAATGCAAGAACCCTATGAAATATCTAATTAATTGAGTTCAAAAATTGGCAAGTATACAGCCAGTGACCTTTCCAAAAAGGAGACCTTGTTTCTTTTATTTTTATCTAAGCAATTTATATACTGCTTAACTACAGTTGTCTCTAAGCCACTCTTCAACACATTCAGCAGTAGTCACTGATAACAGGGTAGGCAGCCTTGTCTTCAGACATTGTTAATTAGGGAGAAGTTAACATTTATTTATTTATTTATTTATTTATTTAAATATTTACAGGATGCACTTTCATATAAAATATCACAAGATGGTAGACAACCTAAAAAGACAATCATGTGAAAATTATGTAAAAGGTGAATTGGTGATGTCCTACCTCCACCTCCCTCATCACCATTCAACACACTCCAACACATTGGAGGGCAACCTTGGGAAGCAGGCTATCTTTTGTACAGTGGTACCTCGGGTTAAGAACTTACCGTATTTTTTGCACCATAACACTCACTTTTTTCCTCCTAGAAAGTAAGGGGAAATGTCTGTGCGTGTTATGGAGGGAATGCCTATGGGTGGCATGCCTACGGATTTTCCTCCTCTAAAAACTACGTGCGTGTTATGGTCGGGTGCGTGTTATAGAGCGAAAAATATGGTAATTCATTCTGCAAGTTTGTTCTTAACCTGAAACTGTTCTTAACCTGAAGCACCACTTTAGCTAATGGGGCATCCTGCTGCTGCTGCGCCGCCACGGCACGATTTCTGTTCTCATCCTGAAGCAAAGTTCTTAACCCAAGGTAATATTTCTGGGTTAGCAGAGTCTGTAACCTGAAGCGTATGTAAACCGAGGTACCACTGTACTCATAAAAGCCCCTGCGCATTTTGAGAATCCAACTTTCCAGTGCTTTACTGCACACACATAGGGAGCTTCCACAAGTACTCTCTGCTTTATGAAGTTGCTCTCCACATATTGGATGATATATATATATTTTTGATGGGGGGGGGAAGTAAGGTAAAGGTAAAGGGACCCCTGAAAGTTAGGTCCAGTCACTACCATGCTAATCCCTATTGCCCCCTTTGTATGCAACCTCTCTTCAGATGTTACTAATTATAGCTGGATTCACATATTAGCTTAACTGCCAGTCTGCCACAAGGTATTTGGTGGTGTTTGGCATTGGACCATACCTAAGAAATGATAGACAGGCAGGGCGAATGCTGTAAAAATGCAGCATATAAGCTGCATATGCTGCACATGTAAGCACATAGCTAAAAGATCTAATTGAAACTCCTACCCCATAACAGGACCATTTATATGCAGTCTGCATCCTCCTTCCCACTAAAAGCAACAGGTGATTAGATCACATTTGGCAAAGTAATGAATTATATAAACTTCCTCAGGATAGCTCCAGATCTCTTTAACTACTAGAGGCAACAAAGGATTGCTCATCCCATGTTCACATATTCTCACATATTCTTATTACAACAAATGATGCAGAGTAGCAAACTGAAGGACACCAGGATGGAATTGAACATGCCTGGCTGCCCCTTGACTAAAATGGTACCTAGATGAAATCAAGAAAATAGGCACAAATACAGACTTATGGAAAGTAGGCCATCCAAAGGAATAACCAAAGGCTACTAAAGACAGAATCCCTTTACCATATGTGTAATATTAGCCTGGCAAAGTAACAAAGACCATAAAGATTTAAGAGATATTTTCACTTTTTACTGGAGCATCAGAAATGATTGCTCGACACCAGTAGCACAGACGATCTTCACTGACTCCCGCTGCCCAAAGTACAGTTTAGGAAATACCCCTTCCCCCCAACCTTCTGTGCCTAGAATAGCAATACCCTCCCACAACACAGAACCGCTCATCGTCCACAACGTGACCCTCCTTTCCCCAATTCTCTTGCAGCGACCAAGTGCCAGGGTGTGAGCATCCCCTGCCCCCCCCCCCCAAGCCCGCTGTCTGAACATGCCTCCAAAAGCAAAACCGCAAAAGACGCCTCTGGACTCCCCTTTTCGCGGACCTCGTTTAAACAGACCAGGAGACAGAAGCACACACTGCAACCGCAGTACCTTCTCGGGCGGTTCCCTGCAGGCTGCGCCAGCCCGAGCCGCTTCTTCCGCCTCCTTCCTAGGACCCGCCGCGTCTACGGGGCCCCGGACGGGCTGCTCCATCCTCCTGGGGACCTGAAGAGCCGAGGGCCCCGCTTTGTCCCCCCGGGAGCGGCCCTTCCTCATGATGGGCGGCGGCGGCACTTGCTCAGCGCGGGGGCTCGCAGCCTAAGCAGCCGGCCATGGCTGCGGAGGAGGGCGGCGGGGTTGGCGCTGGGAAGCACCTCAGGCAGCGCAACCTGCCTCCCGCGCGGACATCCCCACTCTCCTGCCAGAGGCGAGCACGCCGGGCACTGCGGCAATCCCGCCCCCTCAGCCACGTATCGCGAGAGGTGGGGCCACGGGCGCGCGAGGGCGTTCTAAGGGGCCGGCGGCGCGTCGGAGACGAAGAAGCGAAGTTCGGCGCGAGGTGGGAGGAGCCACACAGCAGGGGGCGGGGAGACGGAAAGGCGAGGGAAGACGCGTCGCGGAACAGCTTGGATGGCGAGGGGCGGGGGCGGCGCGCAATGCATGATGGGGTACATGGAGCCGTGCTGTATAAGTGCAAGGCGGCGCAGAAGCCTTTTCTGTGTGCGGTTCCGTAATGGTGCAGAATGATCCCGTGTCTTCATCCATCACCCTTGCTCAGCTCCACTTACCTTCCCCAGTAGGGCAACCCTGCTAAAAGAGGGGTGCCCCCATGTGCCTGGCTAAATGGTGGTAGCTAATTGGTCTTAAATCCAATTCTAATCTGGATTACTTTACTGGTTATAAATTACGGAAATAATGATGGGCAGCCTGTTAACATTTCCCAACTGATATTTGTGACTTCAGCAGCTATACACAGAGTGCTATCAGTGTTTATGCTGCTTTATTAAGATGACATGTTGCCTGTTTCTGATACAACAGCTGGCTTTTGGCCATTGAGCACTGGTGCCAGCCAATCTGTCACAATCCAGAAAGACTCCGTTCCCTAGACTCTTTAAGTACATTTTTAAATGTTATATGAAAAGGCAAAGCACTCTAGATTCAGAACAGATTGCAGCAGCTTTACTTTGTTCCATATCACTGCCTACTCTGGCCACTCATAAACAATGCAATTTGTAACTTTAAAGAGGAAATTGAAGCCCAATTGAACCTTCAGCATGGCTTACTAGTACCAAGTAAACATACTCAGAATTGTGGAGTTGGACCATCTAGTTCAATCCCCTGCAATGCAGAAATCTCAACTAAAGCACCAATGGCATGATATGGCCATACATAACTGGAGTTAAATAAAAACTGAGTTTCTAGGAGGGAAGTGAAACTCCCCTTATTTTCCCTGTACTGTAATGTAGCTATATTTAAATGGAAATCTAATAAAAATTGCAGTGATTTTCACAGTTTGTAGCATCAAGGTTCAAATTGCTGCCAGAAGGTAGATACTACCAAAGTTTCTTTCATTGACCTCCTGTTGGAGCAATATGATTGTCAGGAACTCAAGCTTAAGCACTATAACCAAGCATTGGCTCCTTTAGAAGCTTCAGGATCGGACTCAGTGCCTCTTTATGCTCTTCCAGATTTGCCAACCTTTAGAATCAGGCTGTTCTCCCCAAGCATGGGGCAAAACAAAGAACAGCTATGAAATCTTATATTGTGTTCTTGCATAATTGCCTTCTATTTAAATTATTTGGACACCATGTTTTGCTCTTGTGTAGCTCAGTGTCTTGGATTTGGGGGGTTTTCTGGAATGACACACACACACACACACACACACACACACACACATATATATATATATTCTCTAAAACTTAAAAGCTAAGCAAAACAATCCATCAGATATTAGGAAGCAGTGCTTCCCTGTCAAATATTAGCAGCTTGACCTGGTTTTTAAAGTCATCTTAACTTGTAGTTGGTCAGGGCACAGTGATGAAATTGGACTCTACTTTAATTCTAATGTTTGAAATGGGTTTCCAGGGCAAACATTTGCAAGCTCTTAGAATCTTGGGCAGCTTTACCTTTCGGAAAAACTGGAACTTAAATTCAAGCAGACTTTTTAAAAACTAAAATGAGCAGTGCAATGGTCAAATGCTAGTGACAGGCAGTTATAATTATTAATACAGTTAATAATAATATCCAGGATGGTGGTGGGGCGGGGGGGGGGGAGCTAGGAAAGATTCACCATCTGGAATCCTGGAAAGCTACTGCCAGTCACTCCAGATGAATTGGATGTACCAATGGTCTGATTCAGTATCAGACAGCTTCCCATAGCAGGCCTGCATAACTTGAGTCAAGAGCAGACTACCATTGGCTTGATAAATCTCCTGGTTTTGCTGTCTGGCTAGGGCTGCAAAATCAGGCTTTTAGCATCTATATGTTTAAAAAAGGGGTGTGTGTTCTCAAGGCAAAAAACTGACTTAAAATATGTTTATGCTGTTTTTCCACAAGCTCAAAGCAGCACAAATGGTGAATAAACATCACTTAAATCAAACAATGAACACCCCCCCCCCCAAATCATACAATGAAGCCTATACAAAATAACAAAAAATAATAATGGCACCCATTGACTTCCAACTTACCCAATCTCATAGCCCTTGACCGGACATGCCAAAAATTAGCTAGGCATTCCATGGCCTCAGTATCGCTTCTATAAAGGCCCTGTTCTAACTTCTTAGGTTAATGTGTGGTACAATATGGCCTAGCTGCTTCTGAGCCTTAAACTTCAATATATCTTCCCTGAGCAGCATTGGGTCACATTGTGCAGTCTGTTCTAGAGTCCTCTGCCAGACTACTGTTGGAGACAGGATCCTAAACTATGCCTAAACTAAGTTATTATGCCTTTGCTGCAACTGACCCTGAGATAAGTCTGTTAGCTTTGCAAAGGGTCAGGGAACTTTTCTTGGCAAACAAACTATGGGTTACTGCTGACGGGCAATGCATATATAGAGAGAGAAAAGAAAGAGCAGCAGCATTTTGTGTTCCAGCCTATCTCAGAGACGAAAGAAGCAAAAGAGGTATGTTATGCCCTACATTTATTTCTGAAAATTTCATGGAGCTTGCTCCCCACCCTCCCCAAATTCTTTGACCATAATGTACTATTTCCATACAGGGCTATTAAAAAGACAACGGCAACGAGAATATGCTAAGGTTTTCAGTGCTCCTGTTCTTCGCTATCTCAGCAGTGTCAATCAGTGGAAAGAGGCAATGTCTGGAAGGAGCAGCTCACAAGCACAGACCCAGCCAGGAGAATAACTTGCACGAATGTACCCTATATTCCAAATGTAAGTCCCGTGAAATCTGTGAAATATTTGCAAAACTATTTAAGTTAGCCTTTACATTAACTAACCAGCTCTGATGCCACCCATATTAATTTGATGCCCTGAAGAATTTATTGAAGTTGAGTTTTTATATTGACCAATATATCCAATGGCAGAAGAAAAGTCAGCTGCCCAATTGGTTATTTGCATCCATTGGATCTTAGTGAATGTGTGTGTTTTGGCCCACATGTGAAATCTTATTATCACTTGCTCCAGGAATGATGTTAGGTTGTTGTAATTAACAATGTGTGATATCCTGTTTATGCCTGAGCTTTATGCATCAGGGTTTTGCTTCTAAATGGGGCATGCACTGGGTGGAGTGGGGTAAGAACTGTCTTTAGACATGTTGCTTGTGAATTTGTCAGTGTCAACAATTTCAGCTTATGCTCATGATTTCCAAAGGGTCCCCCCAAGTCTTTTTTTTAATACAGTATAGCGATGATAAGTGCACTGAAGGAATGAAGCTCACATTCTTTTGTATGAAAAGAAATCTGTATTACTGTATAATTTTAAATCTGTATAATGTTAAATTATCATTTCCAACATCAAATTTGAGTTTGAAGTATTTAATTAAGATATTTCCTTTGTAAATTTTAACTTCCCAGTATTCTTTTGGTTTTAAAACATGTTTTTAGTAGCATGTTTTTCATTTTACAAAAGCACATGGAAAATAATGATGGAACTCACTTCTCATTTTTAACTAAGGGACCACTGTGGGGACTTAACAAAATTCTGTGTATTCAAAGTTGTGATTATGTTACAAAGTAAACCTTCAGAATGAGATATATTTGTTTTTAATTCCCCACAGCCTCTTGTTGCTCTGAAGACATTACAAAGGAACTAGCTGATTCACCAGTGATTAAAGTAAATACCACCTATTGGAACCGATGTGGAAATAACAGTAAATTGTAAGTGACTTGCCCTTGTTCTTTTTCTCCAAGTGCATTCAGATTTTTTCCTTCATTCAAGGGTTCTTGTTTGCCAACAATCACCAGCATAACTTTGTGAAAAGCACAATATAAGGCTGCTGCCTGTTTGTTGTTGTTGTTGTTGTTGTTTTGGTATGGCTTGTGTACCTTTAACAGTAGCATTGCATGCAGAAATTCATTGGGTTAAGTTATGTGTTTCATGAAAGTCAGTTGTTGAACTGTTGAACACAGGAGCCATTGCAGAAAAAATGTTGGAAACCCTGCTTCCATATGCCAGAAGCATCCCCTCTTTTTTGACTGAACACTTACATTTCATTGACTTTAATATATTGTATTATCAGTGCACAGCAGGTATACACAGGGGAAGAGTTTATTGTATGCATTTTAAAACTTAAAAAATACATAAAAGTAGAGGCTCACTGCAGAATAAAAAGCATTTTTGCATCAAACCTATTTATTTTTGTAGAGTACATGGTTCACAACTACCCCATCATCCTATCAAACTCAGAGTGGCATTCAACTAAATTTTAATCAGAACAGATCTATTAAAACTAATAAGTATGACTAAGTTAGGTCATTAATTAAGTGAGCCTATTTTGAGTAAAACTTATTATTTGAGTAAAACCTATTCTTCAGATGTGGGCCCTTCTGTAGACAAAATGTTACTATCCATGCACCAGAGGGAAATATTTAGAGGCTTGGGGATCCCTGAAGTTTGCAAAAGTTCAATGGCTCTTAGGAATGTTGACCAACTATTGTTTGGGATGGAGGTTGGAAAACTAAGGGGGGAAGATGAAATGGAATAGAGTATCCTGGGAAAGGACAAAGCTGGCTGGCTGAAACCCTAAGTAGGAACACTGAACACTGCAAGACTGTTGCAAATAACACTTGCCTGATAAGGCACAATGGCAGAATCGCCATAGAAGTGGAACAGATGCCTGTGGATAGTATGTGTTCCATAACCAAATAAGTTCTATTACAGAGTGTCTGACCATTTAAGTGGAGGAAGTCAAAGGTGTTAGGATAAAGCAATGGCACATTATTCTCCTGTGTATTGTATACCATAAATACATGCAGGTCTTGAAATATGTGAGTGCAAGGGGCTGAACAGCAGAACTCTAATTTTATTGTAAACCGCTTTGAGATTTTTTCTTTAAACTATAAAGCAGTATAGAAATGAAATGAATAATAAAAATAATAAAAAAATTTGCCTTGGTACCCTAGCCTAGCCTAAAGTGTTGCATTCCAATAAAGTTCTTTGGAAAAATGCAGGCTGATCTCTTAGAGCATAGAGGCAGCCACATATGCAATGCCAGTTGTTTTTCATGTAATAACAATGGTTATTTCTAATGCAACAGATGTCAGAGCTATTTGAAGAAGATAGAATGCTTTTACAGGTGTTCACCATATATTGCACATTGGGCACATCCCAACTACGCAGCTGCTATTGTGTCTGTTCCCATGTGCCAAAACTTCTGTGATGACTGGTAAGTTGGGGGTTATGCTTCTCATTTTAATAAAACAGTATCTTTCAGCCACCAAATACCCAGGTAAATAGGGAAGTTATAAAATTCCTCTTGACTGTTAACAATTAGGGTGACAGACACACCTCAGTGTGGTTGATATTGAAGCAGGCACTCTTGATTCTTGGGTCCCAAGATATTTAAGGCTTTGTATGCTAGTACTAACACCTTGAATCGGGTATGCACAAAACCTTGCACTGACAGAACATTTGCCTTAGCGCTATTTTGAACACAACCCTGACATTCCCACCACCCCATTACATCCCTGTGCCTGTTTTACAACATGCCCCTTATTTTAAGATAAAGGCAAACAATACAACACACATGCCAGTTCTACTGATGGACAACTTTATTCTACAACACTTCAGCTCTGTAGAACTGATGACAAAATTCCTGAACATCTTGCAATAATCTAGAGAACCACACAACAAGCTCCACATGTACAGTGGAGATTTGAACTTCTGTTTCTTGACAAGAAGCAGAGGTTGCTGATAGACTTCTGTTCAAATAACAGTTACAGATCCCACGGGGCATGTTCAAGACCTTAGATGCAGCTTTCTGGATTGATGTCTGCTCTCTGGGGGTGGTGTTCATTTGAGCAGACTTGTTCCCAAATGATAAAATATTAGTAGTTCCTCACACTATGGACAATATATTGCACCTATCTCTGGCCATCATCTAATTCACTGAGGAACACTTTGAAAAGAGAGTGAGGAATAGCGAGCAGCACTTCTAACACTGCTCTGGCACCCCAGATACCACTTATCCACAACACTTTAACCTCTAGCTTGACAACTGGGGGACCAAGTAGCAGTCTTCAAACTGCTGGATTTGACCTAGGGTGCTCAAGTTATTGACCTACAAATGAGTCTACTTCAAGCTATATGCTGGGAAAGCTTTGAACAATGTTTCTACTTCTCCTGTATACTCAAGGCGGAAGCTGCAGAACTCTTTTGTTTTATAGACAGTAGAATCTGTTTAACATACTGCATGGCTGCTAAGGATATCCCCATTCCCCACATCCTACAGAGATCCTTACTTCAAAATCCTCTGTACCTTTGTTGTAAAGAGTAATTTTCACAGTGTTCAGAAGAAACAAGAACTTGACTTTAAGGGACATAAGGAGTCTTACCTCAAGCTTTCCTCTTTCTTTCTAATGGCTTGGAATTTCCTGCACCAAAAGCTCATTTTTCAGTATATATGTGGACTTTGGAGAGCCCTTAGGGGTAGCTTCCCTTTCCAACCCACCTGCCAAAGAGTCCTTGGACAATTACAGAGGAAATGGTGAACTTGACACATTAAATAATTCTCAGCACTGACATAAGGATTTGTTTTAAATGAAAACAGATCTCTCTGGTGAATCATACTTTGGGAAAGTACATTGCTTTTGTGTTATTATTTCATTTCATTGACACTGTACACCATATGGTTTTTCTCCTGATATCCTTTTCCCCAGCCCTCAATATACTTTAAAGCTGGGTCATCATAAAGCACTTAAAAAAAAAAAAGGCAAACCAAGTAATTGATAAAAGTCTCTACTTTTCTACACTCTTATTTGGAAGTAAATCCAACTGAAATAAATGGGACTAACTTATGAGTGTGAATGCATTCTAGTGGGCTGCAATCTAGTGACTATTTTATCATTCGTTGGCAGCATGGAAGTAAGTTTGTCAGATCCAGTACAAGGTGGGCCTCCAGACTTTTCAGTAGTTTGACCAGGCAGAGATTAAACAGAGCTTTTCCTGTCATAGTGCTAGAATGAAAGGAGAAGCTGTGCTTGTGACATATCCCCCTCCTGTACAGTAATTAAAGTAGTTCCCTGTTGGATCTGACGATCACAGCTGCAAAATAACCATCCTGGAAAGCCAATGCTCTTGAGAGCTCTTGAGAAGGGGAAGGAGCTGCAGAAGGAAGAGACAGCTGTGTGCATATCCTGCCCTGCCCAAGCCTTCAAAGAAGCACTAGGGGAAAGAGAAAGTGTGCTGCTAATTCACTATCCTGTCGCTCTGAGCTGGAAATGAAAGACAAGTCATTATATTGCCTATAGTGAGGGCTGTGGAAGGGAGCAGGCGATTAGTCTCTGATCCTGTTCCCACTTGAGAAAAGGATCAGGGACATGCTGCCTTCTCCTTTCCTTTAACCTTCTCTCCCTTTGTCTGTAATGTCCTTTAAAAAAACTGACCTAGAATATTAATCAGAACAGGAGTTGAATGAATGAATTTATTAATACGGTCACAGACCAGCGCCAACACACACAACATCACAGATCATAAAAATATATATAAAAAATACAAAGGGCAATATAAGTATAACAGGCATTTAAATATAAAAAATTAAAATTAATTATTATTAATTAAAAAATTAAAATTAATTATTAGCATGCCCCCTGCTATCAACACTTGGGGTTTGGTCACCATGGGATACCACTTGCTTCCTGCGACTAATTGCAGCCGCACAGAATTTGGCTACATTTAATGTAGTCTTGGGATTCTTGTCCTCTAGCAGCGGTTCCAAACCATGGTGTTCCGACTCCTTCCCGGACTTCCGCAAAACAGGAGCAATAAAAGTCGAACGTATGTCCTCATAAAGACGACAACGCAACAGTACATGTGCAGCAGTCTCAACCTCCAACGAGCCACAAGGGCAGACCCGCGCTGCGTATGGTTTACCCTCAAATCTGCCCTGAAGTAAGGCAGAAGGGAGAACGTTGAATCTGGCGAGGGTAAAAGACCGTCTGTATTTAGGTACCTGAAGACCTGACAGATAGTTAGCTGGAGAAAAACCTCTCCCATAGTCCCTTATTGCAGGATGTTTGATCATTTCACTCATGTGGCATTGTAATTCTACATCCCAGATACGCTGGCGAATTGTGGTCCTAGCTTTCTCGAAGCCTGTGGCTATCAGGGTCTGCTGTGGGATCCCCAAGCCTTTAAGCTTTTCCAGCAGTGTAGCTTTCCATCTGGATTGGTAGGTATCCAATAAGAACAGGAGTTATATCATCCCTACTTGTGTTGACAGTACATAGCCTTGAAAAGTGGAACTTTAGGCAATACAAAATTCCGCAATGGCACACATGTCGCAAGCAATATTGCCAGGCTGCAACACGGAGAAGCAGTGTCCTTTCATTTGTTAGTCCTTTCACCTACTCTGCCCACCGCCAACTCCCATGAGCAGGCCATGCAGCAAGCAGTGGAGACACAGACAGAGAGGCCAAAGAAGAAATAAGTGTGGCAACTTATTTTCTTGCTTTCTCAGTGGCTTTAGAGAAAAGGTGGGGAAGCTGGAGTTCGACCACATCTGCCCTTGCTGGCTAGGCTGATGGGAGCTGGAGTTCAACAATTTCTGGAGGCCCACAGCTTCCCCATCTCTGCTTTAAAGCTGCAGTGTAAATTTCAACGTCGTCACACAAGTCACATCTAAATAGCAAACCTGCTTTGAGAAGATGAACGTTCACCCTGGCATTAGCACATTATCGCAGGCACTGCTTATAGGCAGATTTTTACACCTGTAAGAAATGAAAACGTTACCTTTAGGAGCTAATCTTAATTTCAAAATCTTACTACATCTGCTAAAAATTGCCTGGAAGAGTCAACTGAGATGCTCATAGGAGCCTGCAGCTCTTGGAGTTTCTATTATATTTATATATTTTCATGACCAGACAGGAATAATAAACTGAAGAGATCCCTTTATAGCATTTTAAACAATAGCTTCTAGCAAACCATGATCTAAGGTAGTTTTTATGTCGTCCCCCCCTTTTAATTTGTAGTTCTTTAAGATTAATTTGTAATTAACCTCTTTAAACAATATTAATTTTAAAACTATTACCTTACTGACAGGAACTAATCTTTCCGCTAACCATATTTAAACTAAGGCATGCTTCTTATTTGTAATATTAATGTGATTATACAAAATGGACTCTTTGATCCCAGTCAGAAGTTAGGGGGTTTGCTTGAGTTTTGCCAAGGCAAACTTCTACAAGATACAGGCTAAAAAGGCTGGCAAAAGATGAAAGGAGGAGGGGAGCCAATGTTGCTAGTGTTATTATGACTCAAACATATGTTTTCATTAATTTCCATGGCAACATAACCATCATACAGTGTCAGCTTTTGGAAAAAAACATGCTATAAAAGACACAGAATTTTAAAAGTGTGTTCATATCACACCTTTATTTTTAAGCACATATTGCATTCATATAAATGGTGTGACTAAAGCCAAATACAAACTTATTGACCTGGTATTTGTAAACTATTACAGTGGTACCTCGGGTTACAGACGCTTCAGGTTACAGACTCCGCTAACCCAGAAATAGTACCTCGGGTTAAGAACTTTGCTTCAGGATGAGAACATAAATCGCGGCGCAGCGGCAGTGGGAGGCCCCATTAGCTAAAGTGGTACATCAGGTTAAGAACAGTTTCAGGTTAAGAACAGACCTCCAGAACGAATTAAGTTCTTAACCCGAGGCACCACTGTAATATGCTGAGTACATAAGAAAGAACTGTGGTTAATTCTGTTAAAATTTAGATACATTCTCTTGCCAAACAAGAAATCATGCTTCAAAGTCCAGTTTATGCAAACATGTTATTCTTTAAGCATTTTCTAGCTGAAAACAAGGTCAAAGGAACTGGTTCACCTGTTATTGAGGGCCCCTGCAGATAGGAATTTTAGTCTGTATTCAAGGTGATTTGTGCTCTTGTGGGTATCAGGATGGTCATATGTGATCTTGCATTCAGGGCAGTTCACACCATCAAAACACTCTGGATCACACAGCATCTGCTATGAGCTTTGTGTGGCCCATAGCTTCCCTACCACCCAAACGTTACTTTTCAGATCACAAAAGTTCTAGGTGTTTTTTAATCCAACATTTATAGTACTGCAGTGCTTGGCTACTCTGGCAATGCACAGACTAAAATTTGCTTCTTAGTGATGTCACTACTTACACATACTTCCTATTGATGCCGTTTTAGTGGAGAGAGGTGGAAAGGAGAGGGATTGTGTGTATGAGGTGTGTAGGACCCTGTTACTGACCCTAACAGATTGGAGAACTGGGCCCAAACTAACAAAATGAATTTCAATAGGAACAAATACAATGTTCTATATTTTGTTTATAATTTTCACATTTACAAATTTTCCACATTCACGTTCACCATACAAAAACAATACACAAGGTTTTACACTTAGGCAGGAAGAACCAGATGCACAGATATAAGATGGGGACACCTGGCTTTCCAGTAGTACATGTGAAAAGGATCTAGGGGTCTTAGTAAACCACAAGCTTAGCATGAGTCAACAGTGTGATGCAACAGCTTTGAGCTAATGGAATGGAAGCAAATGCTATCAGCCCAGCCTACACACCTTCCTCTGTGTTGATTTATGAGAGACGGCACATAAATCAGTCATCTATGCTTTCTTTACCTTGCAGGTATGAAGCTTGTAAAAATGACTTCACTTGTGTTAGCAACTGGCTGACAGACTGGGCAATTGATGAAAAAGGAGAAAACCACTGTAAGAACGTGTGCATCCCCTACCACGAGGTAGTGTATCATAATGAACCACAAACAGTGCACCTATGTGAAGGAGCCAGAAGGCTACATATAGCTCTGCATTCAACACCAGGGATCTAGTCTAGTAGATGTTCCTTCAACAAGAAAAAACTCACCTACTCAAACCCCACCGGTATTCCAATGTCCTTTAGTAGAACTTGTGCACAGTAGTAGAGTAGTAAAGATTAACAATAATCTGCAATAAGTCACTTAATTGAATTTCTAAATTGTGACATCCATAAGACAATTCTAAACCATGTGTTAGAATGAAGAGATGTGTTTTTATTTGTTAGAAATAGATACATCTAAAAATATGTTTTCCAAGCTTCCAATAGCTGACCTACTTTTTCTGAATTAAAAGAGAACTGTTTTAGAGTGAAAGGAGGAGCTTAACACCTGTGTTTGTGCACTGCTGTGAACTTTCATTCAGAAGTCATGTCCAGAGTGATCATACAAAGACACAAAAATTCAACCTTATGTTAAGGCAAATAATTCTGCTTCATCTGCATTCGAAGGAATTGACAGTGCAATACTTTGCATGTCTATACAGAGGACTTGCTCCTGGAGAAGTGGATCTAACATAGCAGACTGAATTTATCTCAAGCACCTCTGATGCAGACACATAAGTTAATTACCCAGCCCTAGTGGAGGCTGATTGAAAGGAAATAAAGGAAGAGCAGTGAGTGAGTACATAGAGGGCTTTTGTGAACCTGCTTATTTCACTAACAGTCCTCAGTTTGGGAATCGCTGATCTAGATTAAAAGGATGCAGATTTTGTATTTATTCCCAACTTTTACATTGAACCTTTCCGCCAAGAAACTCAAGGCATTATGCATGGTTCCTCTCCATTTTTAACCACATAATGACTCTATGAGGTGCATTAGGCTGAGAAATAGTGACTGGCCCTAGATCATCCAATGAGCTTTAAAGCTGAGTGGGGATTTCATTTTGAGTCTTCTCAGTCGTAGACTGCCACTCTTAACTATCACACGGGCTTTCTGATTACTTTCTCAAAGCAATATCAATTTTGCCCTTTAATAATGGCCCATAATACATGCTAATTTACCAGCTTGCAGTCTATTCATCAAACCACTGCCATGTGCTGCCCAATCACATCCCAAAGTATGTTACTGCTTCTACATTTGGCAAGACAGAAAGGGGCCGTGTATCTCAGCTGGAGATGACTTGGGTGACATCCACACCATACATTTAAAGTACATGGCTTCCCCAAAGAATCTTGGGGATTGTAGTTTAAGGGTGGTGAGAATCAAAATTATGTGAGGGGTAAACTACAGTTCCCACAATTCTTTATTTAAAGTGTGCTTTAAATGCATGGTGTGAATGCGACCATGCTTCGCATGCAAAAATGTCCATACTTCAGTTCCTGGTTAAAAGGATCAAGCTAACTAGTGATAGGAAAAACCTCTGAGAGCCTAGAGCATGGGTAGACAAACTAAGGCCCGGGGCCGAATCCGGCCCACTCACCTTCTAAATCGGAATCAGCATGTTTTTACATGAGTAGAATGTATCCTTTTATTTAAAATGCATCTCGGGGTTATTTGTGGGGCATAGGAATTCATTCATCATTTTTTTTCAAAATATAGTCCGGCCCCTGACAAGATCTGAGGGACAGTGGACTGGCCCCCTGCTGAAAAAGTTGGTTGACCCCTGGCCTAGAGAGCAATTGCCAGTCAGAGCAGGTTTAAAAATGGGCTAGGTGGAAACACCGTATAAGCCAGCTTCCTATGTTCTTGTGGAAGCAAAGAAAATTGAGATTTCTGTTTGAGTTGGCTCACAGCTGAAAATAAAAGTGACTAAGATCCAAAAGGAATAGAGCTGGACAGCGCAAAGCGGGAAGAGAATTTGTCTCTTTATTTCCATTGCTTTTAGCTCATACAGTAAAGCAATCAGCTGCTCCCCCCCCCCAATTTGTACAAATGGCAGAAAGGAGCAGTGGAAGGCGAGTGCTATGTGACCTACATGAGCTGTTGTTAATCCTGGACCAAGCTTTTCCAAGCATGGCATAGTAGAAAGATCTAGAGCAGGAGGAACATGTGGCCCAATTTTGCAAAGCTTGTGTGTCATCAAGAGCCATTTCATTTTGTGTCTATTGCATTGGATGTCGTAAATTTAGACAGTTTTGTTTCTCTGACTCCTAGATGTATGGCAATGGGACTGACCCAGCACACTGGCAGCCACCCTGTCAGACCTGCTGGAGGTGGTGGCGGGCTGGGCCTTGGAGTTCCCAAACCTACTGGTTTTGGGAGACTTCAACATCCATGCCGATGCCGCTCCCTCCTCACAGGCTCTGGACCTAGTGACTTCCATGGCAACACTAGGGCTCTCCCAGTTTGTTTTGGGCCTCACTCATCAAGCAGGCCACACACTGTATCTGATCTTTGGGGCTGGCATAGATGTGATCATGCTTCCCCCTGTGGAAGTGCCATGGTCTGATCACTACGCTCTGAAAGCTAAGATTGACTTCCCGCTCCTCCCCTGCTCAGGTGGCGAACCTATTTGGGCTCGTCCGCGAAAACAGATGGATCCTGATAGATTCCGACAAGCCTTGCGGGACCCTGCTCCTCCTGGTGACTCATTAGATGACCTTGTTGAGGACTGGAATAACCGGCTCTTGGCAGCCATTGATAAGATCGCGCCTAAGCGCCCTCTGCGACCCCGTCGAAACCAGGCCCCTTGGTTTACTGAGGAGCTCCGGAAAATGAAGCGGGATCTCAGACGGCTAGAGCGAGTATGGCGACGGACTTGTGACGGAGCCTCAAGAACATCTTATAGGACGCTTATGAAAGCCTATGAGATGGCTTTGAAAGCTGCTAAGAAATCTTACTTTGCAGCTTCCATTGCATCCGCTAGCTCTCGCCCGGCACAACTTTTTAGAATAATTAGGTCAATAACGTCCTTAGGAGGACAACCAAATTTAAGCACAAATTCGACCCACAGCTGTGAGGCATTCACGAGCTTTTTTGCGGAGAAAGTCCTGTTGCTCCGCCGTGACCTCCCTGCCAATTTAGATACAGTTACTGAACTGGAGGCCCCTCGACTGACTTCAGGTCCAGTGTTGGACCATTTCGATCGGATACTCCCTGCTGATGTGGATAGATTCCTCCAAGTTGGTAGGCCCACCACCTGCCTCCTTGATCCGTGCCCATCTTGGCTGATTAGGGAGTGTCCAGATGTTGCGCGGACCCCCCTGGTTGAAATTATCAATTTGTCCCTTGACACGGGGACATTCCCAGGGGAACTGAAGGAAGCAGTAGTGTGTCCACTCTTAAAGAAAACTTCATTAGATCCCTTAGACCTATCCAATTACCGCCCAGTTTCTAATCTTCCATATCTGGGTAAGGTAATTGAGAGAGCGGTTGCTGAACAGCTTGGTAGGTTTCTGGAGGAAACATCGGCTTTAGATCCATTTCAGTCCGGTTTCCGTCCTGGTTTTGGGACCGAGACGGCTCTGGTTGCCCTAACAGATGATCTCCGTAGACAACTGGATCGAGGCGGGTCAGGACTGCTGATCCTTTTAGATTTGTCAGCGGCCTTTGACATGGTCGATCATGATCTTCTGGACCACCGCCTCGCAGACGTGGGGATACAGGGCATAGCCTATAACTTGCTGTGCTCTTTTGGGCTGGACTGTCACCAGTATGCTGATGACACTCAGCTCTATCTGCTGATGGATGGCCACACCGACTCGGCCCCGAACACACTGACCAGATGCTTGGAAGCTGTGGCTAGATGGTTTCGTGGGAGCCGATTGAAACTAAATCCTTCAAAGACAGAGGTCCTATGGCTGGGTCGGGATGGCATGGGGATGAGGGACCAACTCCCTTCTCTTGCGGGGGCCCAATTAGTGCCATTGCCTTCCCTTAAGAGTTTGGGTGTAATCCTTGACGCCTCCCTTTCCATGGAGGCGCAAGTTACAGCAACAGCCAAGGAGACATTTTTCCACCTTCGCCGCATCAAGCAGTTGGTCCATTACCTTTCCCGCCCCGACCTGGCCACAGTGATCCATGCGATGGTCATCTCCAGGCTTGACTACTGTAATTCGCTCTACGCGGGGCTGCCCTTGAAGCTGTCCCAGAAACTCCAGCGGGTGCAGAATGCTGCAGCGAGGCTCCTCACAGGGTCTCTGCCATGGGAGCATATTCACCCAGTGCTTTTCAAACTGCACTGGCTCCCGGTGGAGTACAGGGTCAGATTTAAGGTGCTGCTTTTGACCTTTAAAGCCCTTCACGGCCTAGGACCCTCGTACCTACGAGACCGCCTCTCCCAGTATGCCCCACGGAGAGCCTCAAGGTCCATAAATAGCAACACCCTAGTGGTCCCGGGCCCTAAGGAAGTTAGATTGGCTTCAACCAGAGCCCAGGGCCTTTTCAACTCTGGCTCCGGCCTGGTGGAACGCTCTGCCTCATGAGACCAGGGCCCTGCAGGATCTGATTTCTTTCCGCAGGGCCTGTAAGACAGAGTTGTTCCGCCTGGCCTTTGGCTTGGAGCCAATTTGATTCCCTCCCTCTCTTTCTTTTTTTCTTTCCTTCTCCTCCTGCGTTGAGGCTACATTTTATTTTAATGTTGTAATATTTTAATGTTGTATATTAATTTTGTTTTTAAGTCGTAATCATTCAACTTGTTTTTATTATTGCTTGTAAGCCGCTCTGAGCCCTGCCTTGGCTGGGGAGGGCGGGGTATAAATAAAAAATAATTATTATTATTATTTTGTTTCTGTGACTCCTAGATGTATGGCAATGGGACTGACATGTGCGAGAGCATGTGGGGAGATTCACTGAAGGTAAGTGACTCCCCTTGCCTGTGCCTGCAAATGGATGAGATGGATAGCAAGGTCGTCAAGCTCTTGGAGGAGAGGACCACCGGTAATAGTAGCAGTAGCAGCAGAAGTGATGAAGAGCAGTTCTGTCGCCTCAAGTTGGACAAAATAAAGAAGCTGAAGGAGCCGAAAGACGAAGGTGTGGAGACATTCTAAGTGCCAGGGTTTCTTTAGGTTTTAAAGTGATGCATGTTGCACCTTTTCACTATTAAAACAATACTCAGGGTGGCCATCAGCCACACACACAAAAATACAATAAAGTGACTGAACAATTAAAATAACTTTTAAAAAATTAAAAGCCTGAAAAGTAAACAGCGTGGCAGATAATGAAAGCATCAACCACCATTAAAAATGTCATGGCTAACCGAAAGCCTACCTCAAGAAAATGGCCTTCACTTGGTGGCAGAAGCTAAAAGGAGAGGGAGTCAAACAAACCTCCATAGGAGAGAGTTCCATCACAGGGGGCTGGCACAGAAAAGACCCTGTTGTACATCATCAGTCAATGTCAGGATCCACAAAGGGGCCTTTTCACCAGATCTCAGAGTATGGGCAAAATGGCATGGGAGGACAGCAATCCTTAGGCATCCTGGACCTGAGTCATTTAGGGCTTCATTTGTGATAACACTTTGAACTGTCTAGATGTTGCTGGACTACAACTCCCATCATTACTGACTATTGCCCAAGCTGCCTGGGGTGATAAAAGTTGTAGTCCAACAACATTTGGAGGGCACCATGTTGACTGCTGTAGATAGTTGCTGAAGCCACTGCTGTAGCTAGTTGGGTGCTGACTCTAGTGTGATTATTTCAGTTCATCCTGCTCTCTTCATTTGGGAGAGTAGGCCACTTAATCAGTGTTCTTCAGCCTAGGGTCCACAGATGTTGTTGGACTTCTAACTCCCATCATCTCTGACCCCAGCTGGCTGGGGATATGGAAGCTGAAGTCCAACAACATCGGGATACAAGGTTACATAATGCTGAAACGCAACATAAATCAGCTGCTGGCTTAATCCTTTCACTCATTTACTTACACAGTGCATAATAGAATTACAAAGCCAGTTAATGAATACACAAGTGAGCAAGGAAGCAGTGCACCTGCAAATCCTAATGAATTGCAGAATTGTATTATTAGGTTCTTTCAGAACCCACTTCCAGCTCTGTTTAGCTGTATCCGTACTGAGCAGGTTTCCATGGCAACCAGACCTAACTGCACTCTTCACTAATCTGGTCTCAGCCTCCTAGCAGCCCTACAAAAGGAAGTGGGATAAAGCTCCAGGCTGGAGATATCGGCAGTTTTAACAATTCCTGCCTGTTACCTTTGGCATATGTCACTTGATTTGAACTCTGGAGTTCTGCTTGCCTTCATTGATTAGATACTTAGCAACAACTGAAGTCAAACCCACACCATTTATCCCAAAGACCCCTGGGAACTGCAGTTTGTTGGGTGTTGATGGTTATTAGACCCCCCCAAGAGCTACAATTCCCAGCACTATTAACAAATCACAAAACATGACCTCTGACTAACATAGTTTAAAAAACGTTATATTGTCATTTTTCACAATAGAAGGACATAAGCAGTGAAAATAATTGTAAACAATAATAATAAGGATAAGGATACAGAAGGGAGGGAGGGAGAAAACCAGGAAAAACTGAGTGTGGAATTCACCATTACCATAATGGCTGCTCTTAGGAGGTCTACAAGGGGTGGAATGGATGAAGTAATGATGGCCCTCTAGTTCCTTAGATAAAAACAAGAAAATAGAAGAGCAATTGAAGGCTTAACTAAGCATGAAATAAGTCAAAAACCTTAGGTAACAGTACCCTGCCAAAAGACATATGAGAAGCCCAGTGTTACATGCACCTCTATTAATATTTGTGAAAAAGGATACCAGGTCTCTCTAGCTTTGACCATGGACAATTTTTGAACCTGCTGGGTGTCTACTAAAAACCTTCCCACTCCAGAATTAATACTGGATCTACCTGATCATCCCCAGGATTTTCTGTTATCGATATGAGAGTCAATAGAACTCAGGATACTATACAGAAGCCTGCTACTGTTAGGAGGAACCAGAGCGGGCAAAGAATGCCCTAGCAGTAGCCAGCGCTTGCTCCTGGTTTGAGAAGGCCCTGGGCAGTGTCCTCTGGTGGGCCCTCTTGTCATAGATTTAAAGAATTGTAGTTGGAAGGGACCCTATCTAGTCCACCCCCCTGCAATGCAGGAACCTTAACTAGATCATACATGACAGGTGGCCATCCAACCGCTGCTTAAAAACCTCCAGTGAAGGAGAGCCCACAACCTCTGGTAGCAGTCTTTTCCCACAGGCAAACAGCTCTTACTGTCACAAAGTTATTCCTGATGTTTAGTTGGAATCTCCTTTCTTGTAACTTGAATCAATTGGTTCAGATCCTAGTCTTTGAAGCAGGAGAAAACAAGTCTTCTCCATCCTCCATGATATCCTTTAGATATTTGAAGATGGTTATCATATCTCCTCTCAGTCTCCTATGGACCAGGCTAAACATACTCAGTTCCCTCAACCGTTTCTCATAAGGTCATCTTACACGTTACAGGCAATACTTAAAACTACAAGTATGTGGAACCGGGTCTAGTAGCTTCAACTGATGGCCATAATGAAATAACTGGCTCTTAACTATTGGAGGAAATATTTTTGTTATGAGGGAAACATTGACAAAACTTCTGTCAAATCTTGCTGGCTATTTTGTGACACTAAAGCTGGTCCCAGTGAAGGCATTGCTCAATTGTGGATTTTGATTGTTTTCCCAACGAATCAGTACAGTTTCCTCGCCTTTTTGTGTGTGCTGACTAAACAGTTACTACAGTTACAAGCAGCGTGAATCCTGAGAAGAGAAATATGCGTGTGTACATATTTTTTCTTTCACTCCTCTGCAGCTCTTGCAGTGGGGGACCACACCCTTTAACTCCTGAGCCCTGCTGTGTCCCTGGTTTACCCCAACTCTGGAACGGACACATTGAATCCTTGGCAAATTAAGCTTCTGAGTCTCCTCTCACTCAACACAGCTGTGATCAATTAATTACACAGACTCTAGAGTTAATTTCCTTGTTAAGCCATTTTCCTTCTCAAGAAGGTGATTGTCCCCAAGGGGAAAATGAAATGTATTGTAACTAGCATAATGTAACACTGAGGTTTTACAAGCAGTGCTCGGGATGTTTACTCATAAAAACAAGCTGCCTCAGTGGATTGTATCCAGGCTTAGGAGTTTAAACAACACTGTTCTCAGCTATACATATCAAATGTAAAACTCCTATAACATAGGAGGAAGATTTTGTAGGGGCTCTGGCAAGCACAGCTTTTATGTCACAGTCCTACAGGAGCTGGAAAAGCTGCATGTGGGGCCTCCTTTCCCTCTGTAGTTTTGTTGTACAATTATGCTCCCATGTGCAGTTTTAGCGTTGGGTTAGACATATCCTATTTCACTGTTCTTGTCCTGACAGTAATGCCCCACCCCAGATTCTCTATAACGGGGATAGGGAACCTGCAGCCTCCAGGTGCTGCTAGACTCCAACTCTCATCGACTCCAACCTACATAGCCAAAGATCAGGAATGGTGCGAGTTGTAGTCCAACAATATCTGGAGGGCCACAGGTTCCCCACTCCTTCTGTAAAAGATATAATTTTAGTAGATGCAGCCTATGTAACATTGCTGCAGAAATCAGAAACACTCACTGTTCTTTCAGTCTTTAAGAATGTTATCAGGGATGGCTATTAACCAAGTCATAGGCCACTTGGTTCCCAAATCAATTTATTTATTTTCTGGCAATCCTGCCAAATAAAGGTATGGTAAAAAGCTTCTTGACCGAAACTAAAGTTGTTCTTAAAACATTCTAACAAAGAAAGTACAGTGGTGCCCCGCAAGACGAATGCCTCGCAAGACAGAAAACTCGCTAGACGAAAGAGTTTTCCGTTTTGGAGGTGCCTCGCAAAACGAATCTGCAATGGGCTTGCTTCGCAAGACGAAAATGTCTTGCGAGTTCCTGGGTTTTTTTTTTCCTTTCCCCCCTCTTTTTCTAAGTCGCTAAGCCGCTTATCTGCTTATCTGATAAGCTGATAAGCTGCTAAAAGCCGCTAATAGTGCTAATAGCGCTAATCCGCTAATCCCGTCAATGGGCTTGCTTCGCAAGACGAAAAAACCGCTAGACGAAGAGACTCCCAGAACGGATTCTTTTCGTCTTGCGAGGCACCACTGTATCCACATTGTAATGCTACATCTCTCCTTGTATGGGGTGTCCCAGCCATGAGCCTGCAACTGCAAACCCCTCTTATTGCTTGATAACATGTGATGGAGTCAGTGTGTGTGGTAAAAAACACTTGTGTGTGATAGTAGCTCCCAACAACAAAGAAGCTGGTCACCCCTGCACAGAAAACTTCAAAATGTAAAACATGGAGCTACGTTTTCTGTATAGTCTGCAACTTTTGAGAACTTTAATTTCAGAGAGGCAATCTCTCTGAAACCTCAGTACATCAGCAAATCTTTTTACTGGTGACTCAAATTCTAAACAAATGATGTTGCTGGAAAACCATTGTATGCTTTAAGAGAAATGTGTTTTCCCAAAGTTGCCTATGTCCCTCTGAGAAAATTAGTGAGAGAAATATTGAACATTCCAATAAGTAAATTTTTCAAAAGAGGGAAAGCAAAGGATTTAAAGGCAGGAATTGTTAAGCAAAAATTGTTATAAATGAATAGTAAAAGTGTTTCTGGTATCAGCATGTAAATCTGGAGCAAAAAAATGCATTAGGTGCAGCCTGTCATTCACCTGGTATGTTTTTGCACTGACCAATTTTATAAATCCTGTCTTATGAACCTCATACTAGTGGGCACTAAACAGAAGAGTCCCCACCCCTTCTATTCTGCTGTGACATTGTTCCCGGTATTCTGACCCATTATGCTACAAAGCTAAACAAATGGAATAGGTTTTTTTTTAGTAGATTAGCTACAAAACCTTAATAATGGAAGCAAATGTTATTACGGGCCACTTCCACAATTGTTAACCCTCCTCCTATATTAATCACTGTATTTAAAACATGTTGCAGTTGTGCCCCCTGCTGGAAGCATCCACCTCCTGTTGTATTACTTGGAGAAATGTTAAGGATTCCCTCCTACTGGGATGATTTGTGGTCTCCATTATCAAACCCCAGGAACTGTAAAAGTGGTGTTAGGTTATCAAACCCTCAAGAGTCAAGTTTCAAACAGTTGCAGTCAGACTATTGCAATTGATCCATGTGCATTTCAAAGGAGCATGATCTTGTGCGTTTCAAAACTGATTAAACCACTTACTTTAAACCGGGGTGGGGGAATCTGTGGCCCTCCAGATGATTTTGAACCCAACCTAGCCCCAGCCAGCATGGCCAATGGTAAGATATTATAGGAACTGTTGTCCAACAAAATCTGGAGAGCCACATGTTCCTGATCTCTCTATTAAACAGCACTGTCTGATAATATGTCCAAGTGATATGAACATCTGTGGTGACGTGTGAAAAAATAAATCTTAATATAAATAGTATTTCAGTATTTAAGAGTGCATTTCTGCATATGATAATGTTTGTATTTGCTAGTTAGGAACTATAGAAACTATAGAAACAGTGGTGCAACATTATTTCAAGTACAAAGTTGAAGCCATTATAAGTAAGGGAACTTTACCCTCTCTTAACATTTGTAAGGCTTACAAGAGCTGCCATTTTCCTGCAAGCCCTGTCTTCTAAAAAGTTAAATTATACAGTATACGAATTTATCTCATTTTTCATTTTAAAAATGCAAATGTTTCTTCTCTTCAGCATCATGACTCCTGAAGTGACCAGATTGCTTGGCAGTAGGTCTGGTGTATCATGATTGAAGTAGTATTACTGCCAGCTGTAACAGCAAACAATGCTCACTCACTCCAGTCAAGGTGCATAGTTAGCCACAGGAATCAGGTGAGGTGAAAGCATGACAAATCATCCACATACACCCCCAAAACCACTGAACTTTTGCACCATTAGTAACTGCAGATATATCATATATTTTTACTTACTGAATTTTCTGCAGCAAGTGGAAATCCAGACTAAATGTAAAAAAAAAAAAAATAGTAGTATGGGCTGGCATTATGATGATGGCATGTGGAACATGTGAAAAATGTGTGAGCATGTGCACAAGCAGCACCAATTCCACAATGAAGAAAAGTAAGGATTGCCACTTGCGATGCAGTATATGCAGAAAATAACTTGATGTGTGCATTGTTCTCAGGCAAGCATACCACAGGAAAAATGCAAACCAAATGCTAGGAGAATGGGAAGGCCAAAAATAAAGGGGGTGGGGGCAAAGCTAACATCCCTTGAGAAACACGGGGGTTCTTTGGTGTCCCAAAAGAGCTCGCATGATAAGATAGATAAAGGGGTTGCCAAAATGAGGCAGAACTCTGCTCTGAAGTTGAGTGGGCGAGGCATGGGACTTAACGATGGTGTCATGGGGGGCACCTGGTTGCGCCCCTCAGAAATGTGCGCCGCGGGCAATCGCCCCCCTCGCCACTCCCATGCTATTGTTCTGCTATTATGGGATATCTTGGACTTGGGGAGGGCAGAGAAACCCTACCCCTCGACTTTCAACGCCACGACCATAAAAAAACGCCTCGGTCTGCTGCTCCTGATTTGATGGCTGTCACTCAGCTTTCCCGGTCCCAGCCAGTAGGGAGGCCGCCCCACCGCCCACATTCCTGCGGCTGAAGGGCGGGCAGCGGCAGCAGCGAGGCCGGCTTCGCTCCTTCCTGCCTGCTCTGAGGGGCTCATCCTGCCTCGCTAACGAATGGGTGTCTCTCTTTCGCGCGCGCAGCGTACTCTCCCGCGCATCCTCTCTTCGACCCTCTCTTTCTATTACGGGCAAAGACCTTCACAGTCTATAATGCGCAAGCGCCAAGAGTCGCCTTCCTTCTCCGGCCCGTCTCCGGCTCCCCGAGACATGCGCAGTGGTATCTCCCGTCCCGGAGAACGTTGAATGGACGCTTCTTCCCAGCTTTCTCTGGTGCCGGAAAAGCCGGGGGGGGGCGGGCGGACGCAAAAGTTGTTGGGAAATCGGGGAAGGACCATGAATGGCTGAGTGGAAAAGAAGAAGAAGGTAGCGTCTAGCGTCCGTTGCGCGCAAATGAACACGCCAGGCAATCCCGTGTTTTGATAGCTCACAGTCCCCGCCTCCCGCCCCGACTGTTAATTTTAAGTATTATATGCAATAGATTTATTAAGTTCTCCCACTGCGTCAGCCTTCCCTTGTTTTAGACCTGAGTGCCGATTAGCTTAATTCGAACTGTAGTTGAGCATAGGGGCATAGAAACAGAAGCTTGTCTCTGAGCGTGTGCAAAGTGCCAATTCCATTAATATTGTGCTCCCTTACCGAGCGTCCATTTCAGTAATGCCACCCAGACCACTTCTTCTTTTCCCAATTCCGTATTCCTGTTCTGATTGTCGTGCTGAGGATGTGACAAGGTCCCCATCTATTTTCCTGAAGTGATGCAGGTAAAATGAATAGAGATTTCATTTTCAGGTCTTCTTAGTACTGTACCTCAACAGATACGGTTGTTTGTGTTGTGCCTGTCATGTTCCTTTTGGTGAAATTAGATTACGGCTGCACCCCTAAACAGGCTTATTTGGAAATAAATCTGATTGAAACCAACAGGATTTATTACCTGTGGGGACCAAAACTGAAATCCGGGCTGATCAGACCTGGAAGTGTCCTTAGTTTATTAAAGGGGGGAAATGTTATTGTCACTCAAAATTATGTTCATTACTAACCCTGTCATTAGATCTTTAATTTTCAAAGGGTTTCTTGTCCTTCCTAGATCATCACTGGGGGATGATGGGCATCACTCACTCCATTTCTCTGTGATCCTGCCATGGCTTGTGTGCCTTGTTCCAACACCAGCGAATTCCCCTTCTTGGCAGACAGGCATGCTCGTCTTATACTGGCCCAGATCAACAAGATGAGATGTGGGCAGCACTTCTGTGATGTGCAGCTCCAGGTTGGTGAAGAAGTATTTAAAGTCCACCGGCTTGTCTTGGCTGCAAGCAGTCCTTATTTTGCAGCTCTGTTTGCAGGAGGGATGAAAGAGTCTTCAAAGGATGTTGTACGGATCCTAGGTGTGGAGGCTGACATCTTTCAGATACTGCTGGACTTTATTTACACAGGTAGACTTCATTTCTAAAACATTTTTTGAGACCTTGTTATGCTTTTTGACAATGCCTTAGTATCATGGAGCTTGTGAATCAAATGGATGTGCTGTTTTATAACTTGTCACTGACTACATCACAGGCATCCCCCAAATTATGTCACAGGGTCTTCATTGGTCTGAATTGTAACACTTCAGAGTTCATATGAGGAGCTCCCTTGACTGAATGTTCATCCATAAGAAAAGTTCACTCTGCATGAAAAAAATAAAATGTGAGGTAGAGGGCTTCTAATCTAGTTTTCTCTGTCATGCTGACTATGTGCTGGGATTTGGGGAGGGTTAAGGAGGAACATTTAGTCTTGTCAATGTCTATGTTCCCAGTCTGAAGTTATAATTGAGACACATTTGCAATTCTTTATGAACAGAGCCAGCTAATTACCATAGCATTAGCTGTTTTATCATCCGTTTAGTGGGGTGGGGGAAAACATTCAATCTGTGCTATTTGGTTTACGAAAAAGTGTGCCTGTGCTGTAACGTTTCCTGATCAGTTAATTATTTTAATGGCTGATGATACTCCCCCTAAGATATTAATAACATGGCAATAATGTACTCCAGTAGTATCATTCAAGGGACATTCACAAATTTGTGGTCAAATTGTATGCTATTGTATTGGCAAGATTTCGTACCAGCTGAAATAGTTATCTGTTGTTCGTTTAGGCATAGTCAGCATTGGTGAAAGTAATGTCCAGGAGCTGATTGTGGCAGCAGACATGTTCCAACTCACAGAAGTTGTAGACCTTTGCTGTGAATTTCTGAAGGGGCAGATTGATCCTTCAAACTGCATTGGACTCTTCCAGTTCTCCGAGCAAATTGCCTGTCACGATCTGCTAGAATTCACAGAGAATTACATCCATGCCCATTTCCTGGACATCCAGGACGGAGAGGAATTCCTGGCTCTGACAAAGGACCAGCTCATTAAGATCTTGCGAAGTGAGGAACTGAGCATAGAAGATGAGTACCAGGTTTTCATAGCTGCAATGCAATGGATTCTGAAGGACCTGGGGAGAAGAAAGAAACACGTGGTGGAAATACTGGATACAGTTCGATTTCCGCTGTTACCCCCACAAAGACTCTTGAAATACATAGAAGGTAACTCAGAGTAGGGTAGTGTGTGTCTGTACTACAACTCTGTATCTAAATCTGTATATCTTTTCACATTACTCAATGACCCATTGTGGGCTCTTTGGACTAATTTTGTGAAGCCCTAACAACTAGAAACACTGGCATCCCAGCAGAGCTCCAAAACCTCTCATTAGCATTTAGGCCTGGAATCACTATTACATATAGCACCTGCCAGATTGGGGCCTGTGATAAAGCTGAAAATCGTTTTGGAAGTTTGCAGCTGTGGGTAATACTGGGTAAGGTAAAGAGACCCCTGACCGTTAGGTCCAGTCGCAGATGACTCTGGGGTTGCAGCGCTCATCTCGCTTTACTGGCCGAGGGAGCCGGAGTACAGCTTCCAGGTCATGTGGCCAGCATGACTAAGCTGCTTCTGGTGAACCAGAGCAGTACACAGAAATGTCGTTTACCTTCCCGCCGGAGTGGTAGCTATTTATCTACTTGCACTTCGTGCTTTTGAACTGCTAGGTTGGCAGGAGCAGGGACCGAGCAACGAGAGCTCACCCCGTCACGGGGATTCGAAACACCGACCTTATCGGCAAGCCCTAGGCTCTGTGGTTTAAGATCCATTAAAAAGACCTTGCAACATGAGGCAGAACATGGTGGCATTTTACTTCTAACAGGCAGGGAAACCTTGGATACATACACACACACATACATAATTTTATTTTATTTCACAGTTCAAACCATGTTCAAGGCAGCTAACAACATGGGGGGGGAAATAACTACAACATAACAAAAGTAGTCATAAAACATTAGAAAGTACACAACCAAACGGAACAATTTCCACATAAATCATGAAAAGATATAAAATAACTATACAAAGAAACAACAGCAACAAACTCCCTCATTCCCACAAAATATGCTCCCATCTCCCGGAAAACCCCAAATACTGACAGTTTGGTCAGTGTGAGGGGTAAGGCTGAAAACTTCTGCAGGATGGGGTGCGGATGAGTATGTGCCTAACTTCAGGTGTCCATACATCTAGGTGAAGAAGTGGTTTATGTATCAAAGGAAAGAGTGAAGACTGTAGTTCAAAATAGAGCCTTTATACTTTTTAATCTGGACTGGCTTGTATTCACAAAGGCTGTTAATGAGAACCATTAATGTAGACAGCATTAGGAGTCTGGGGAACTTCTTTCTGCCCTATAGATTGAACAAAATCTGAGCCTGGATATTTCCCAGCAGGGCTACGAGGCATTTTGCTATACCTATATTGGCTCTTAATGGTTGGGGTTAAGGAAACAGGAGGAAAGTGATGTATTTTAGTATATGAGGTTATTGATTTTTTTAAAAATGTGCTGTGACCTATGCTGAGCTCTTTGGCTGGGGGCAAACTGCAAATCCAATAAATCAGTAGTGGGAAACATTTTTCTGCCCAAGGGCCACATTGCCACATTCCCTTCTGGGGTCCACATACCAGTGATAGATGGGGCTGGAGGAAAAAGTTGGTAGAGCAAGGAATTTCAGTTTTACCTTTTCTACACACCTAGTTTCTACACACACACTTAAACATCTCTCTGTCTTCCATCCAGGTAAGCATGAGTCATTATCAGAGTTCAAAGACACATTCTAGCCACCCAAAAGCACCTAAAGAGAGTGATTCAAAGGCAGTGAGGGATGTGTCCTGGAGAGATGGTGGGTCTGAGGAAGAATAGATGGTCTGGGGAGAGTCCCAAGGGTCAGGCAGGCAGGACTGCATTTGGCCCCTGACCTGAGGTTTCCAAGCCCTGCAATAAATCAGTAACAATGTAATTGCTAAAAACTACACATCCACCTGGTTTATCTGTAGATTGGCTATCACTGATTGTCCCACGCTTTTGTCTTCTCAAGGGGTTCCTGATTTCAGCCTTCGAGTGGCTCTTCAAACCCTGTTAAAAGAATACTGCGAAGTGTGTAAATCTCCAAAGGAGAGCAAGGTTAGCAGTTTCCTGCAGGCGGCAAAGGCACGTCCCAGGAGGAAAGCCAGGAAGTACCTGTATGCAGTAGGTAGGAATCCTGTCTCCTCATTAGCATTTCATGTCTCTTCAGAACCTGAACTGCTGGAGAAGCGCTGCATGAGAAGAGCCTGTGGAGCTGCTAATGGTGCCTGCCATCTCTGTTTTTTGAATAGGTGGATATACTCGCTTGCAGGGAGGCCGTTGGAGTGACAGCAGAGCTCTCAGTTGTGTGGAGCGTTTTGACACTTTCAGTCAGTACTGGACTACTGTGTCTTCTTTGCACCAGGCTCGAAATGGGCTGGGAGTTGCAGTAGTCGGAGGAATGATCTATGCTATTGGAGGTAAGGGCAAAGAATTGCATTTCTGGGGGTGGGGGATAGGCTGTTCTTTAGTACTTGCCACAGGTCTTTCTTATTATTCACTTAGTGGAAGGAACTCGCCCAGAGACAAGATGTAGCATTCTAAAGCCACAGTATACAAAAGTTACAATGATGTCCTGAGTTTGACAGGGAGAATATCTGGGCCTTGCCGTTTGGGATTCCCGGGGTTTGGGGACTCTGGTACAGTCCATTTCCCCAGACTTCTCCAGTCCTTGCACCATGCAGACATAAACCCATTCATTGTCTTGCTAACATATTGCAGACATTCATAGGTATGTAGTCAAACACACAGATGTAGTTCCACTCACATATAGGGTTATCAAAGTAAAATGATCAATGACTTTTCTCAGTGTCCCATTGTACCTTCCACCACTGAAGATCTCTTTTTTCTGGAGGAGGCTGAGTGAGCCCCTTTACTTCTTTCAGGGTGGCAGGAGGAAGAGGAAGAAAAAACTTTGATCACATTTGCTTTCACCTTCCTGAAGCCTACATATTTTTGTATTATCATCTCTCAGACTTGCATAGTATACACACAAACCATGGTTTAGTGCTATATGGATGAGCTTGAGTGATGCATCGAGCTTGAGTGCTTCTCCCATGGAGTTTAGATCCTGGCTTAAAACAAATTCTAATTATCTGGTTTTGTAACTGTGGTTTAGAATTAGCATATTACAAATCTTAAGTTTGGTTTAAATCAGGATCTCTGATTCAGACATTACAATAAGACAGGATTCTGTAAAAGTTAAACTAAACTTACCAGAAGGACATCTCCTTACTGCATTGGGGGTGGAGGGTGCTGAGTGTGTGAGCTGGTTCTCAGCTCCTTCATTCTGATCCACATAGCACTAAACCATAGTTTTGCAAATAAACATAGATGCTTCAAATGATCTTCTTTCCTGTTCTACAGCCACTACTACTAAAAATACAATTGCTTGTGGTCATTCAATGGCAGCTGTTTTTTGTAGGTTTAAGGAAATGTAGGAAGCTGCCTTATACTAGGTCAGACTATTTGTCCACCTAGTCCAGTTCCACTCTAGTTCTCCAGACTTTCAGGTGGAGAGAGGTCTTTCACATCACCTGCTACCTCATCATTTCAACAGGAGGTACCAGAGATTTGAACCAGGAATCTTCTGCACGCAAAGTGTTTTCATTTATAAACTGGAACACCAGGCACTCATAGGAGGCATTGCATCCAAAAGTGCAGCCGTGCCTTATCTTAGTTATACTTGTTAAGGATGTGGTAAAGTTCCTGCCAAAAGTGAAAACTCTAAGTGCATCTGTGGTATACAGACTTCTGCTGTGTGAAATGAAAAGTTTTGTAAATACTGTTAACTGTTGAAGCATTCCATCCTGTGCTTGCAGGATACTCCCTGTCCTATTAATTAACATCCTGCCATTGCTGTTCCTGCTGCATGCTTTTCTTCCTTTTGCCATTTAACCCCTCAAACCTTTCAGTAGTTAGAATTTTGCAGAAATGTAATTATTGCATATTACTTAAAGAAGATGATATGATTTACATTTTCCTTTATGCCGGATAACTTGTATTTTGGAGATAAAGTCATACCAGTTTTGACTGGTGGTACCTGTGCATCAGAGAACTCATTTAGAAATTGGGCATTGGGGGAAGGAGAAGAACTTTGGCTTCAGAAATGAAGCATTGCATCTTGCAACTATGCTAAGATGCTCAATGGATGAACTATTCTGCTATTAGTTGATCAATATATTGAAGAGATAGCATACAAAAGATGTTTTAACTTCTCTATGTTCTTGCCTCTCTTCTAAGGTGAAAAAGACTCTATGATATTTGATTGTGCCGAACGTTATGATCCTATTACTAAACAGTGGGCAGCTGTAGCATCTATGAACCATCCTCGCTGTGGACTTGGAGTGTGTGCTTGTTATGGTACCATCTATGCTTTTGGCAAGTCCTTTGACTCTACAGAATCCATTACCTCCTTAAGCTAGGGGCAGAGTTTCATTAGTGTTGTATACTGTAGAAAATAGGAATAACTCCCAAACGTGTATGGTAGCAACTAACTAGTAGCTTCTCTGGTAAAGTATCCTTTTTTCAGTAAAAAGGTAAAGGGACCCCTGACCATTAGGTCCAGTCGTGACCGACTCTGGGGTTGCGGTGCTCATCTCGCTTTATTGGCCGAGGGAGCCAGCGTACAGCTTCCAGGTCATGTGGCCAGCATGACTAAGCTGCTTCTGGTGAACCAACTTCATCAGCCCTGGCCACCTTTACATTAGACAGCCTTTTTGGCTCAGCTGCCATTGTAGCTGCTTCAAGGAGATAGAAATATTAACAATGTTTTCTATTCCTTGCCTTCAAACGTACTCTGGTTTTCAGGAGGCTGGGTTGGAGCAGAGATTGGCACCTCGATTGAACGTTTTGATCCTGAAGAGAATAGCTGGGAAGTGGTGGGCAGCATGGCTGTGCCGCGCTACAATTTTGGGTGCTGTGAAATGCAAGGTGAGTGGACTTGGATACAGTCATACCCGTTACTTCCAGGTTTCGCCACTCGTGCATGCGCAGATGGTCAAAATGACATCACGCGCATGCGTGGAAGCGGCGAATCGCGACCTGCGTTCACTTCAGGATGCAAACGGGGATCCGGAACGGATCCCATTCATATTCAGAGGTACCACTGTATTTGAATAATTGTTGCTTATTGTTAATACTGTCACAGACTACCCTTGGGCTGGTTCGGCACTCCAACTTGTGGTAAACCTTGCAGCTAGATTGCGGATGGGGACAGATTATCGGCAGCACATAACTCAGGTGCTCAAAAGCTTGCACTAGCTAGCCCATAGGCTATCAGGTCAGGTTCATGGTTCTTGTATTAATTTACAAGGCCCTTAAATTGGTTCCAGGATACTTCAAGGCTTGTGGAGTGTTCTAGGGGCCAGGTAGAGAGACATGGAAGGCTGCTTGTGGTATACACACTTACCTCAAGTCCCATTTGAATTTAACTTACTTCTGAGTAGGCATGCATAGAATTGAGGTGAGCATTTGGAAAAATTGATAACCTAACAAGTGGTGTGTTATCTTGAAGGGCATTGAGCAAACTATGTGCAACAATTTTGTTGCATTATGCAAAAGAGCTGATAGTTTAGAAAGCAACTTCAAACTGCGATCCACAACCCACTCATTCAAGAACAGTCCTAATAAGGAAGACCATTGAAATTCTTGGGAATTACTAGGCTGCAGATTACAGTCCACAGTGCATGTTTTCTAGAAATCCTTGAATACCAACAGTGCTGGTGTGGCATAGGTATAATAGAAATTCCTTGCATTTCCAGGTTTAATTTATATTGTTGGGGGCATCAGTAATGAAGGAATAGAACTGTGTTCTGTCGATGCCTATGATCCAATATCTAAGCGCTGGTCTGCACTCCCTGAAATGGGCACCAGAAGGGCATATCTGGGTGTGGCTGCTCTGAATGACTGTATCTATGCTATTGGAGGATTGAATGAGTCTGAAGATGCTCTTCCAAGTGTTGAGAAATACTCTTTTGAAGAGGTAGGTTTCAGTTCCCACAAATCAGATTCCAAGGTGTATTCGTTGTTTATGTTGGTTTGCAGTAGTTTGTCTCATTGATAGGTACAAAGAAATGAAGTTGTCAGTAATGCGTTCACCAGTCCCCCAATGCAGCTGAAGTCGTGTGTGTGTGTGTGTGTGTGTGTGTGTGTAAGGTTATGTTCAGATGCACATAGTTAAAGCAATGAACCTGATGTTGGCCTATACTTAGACTTCTCAACTGAATGACGTTCAGGAATATCCAGTTTTCCCTGTTTTCATAAGAAGCCAACTAGGTAGCGTATTAATTGACTGGTTCTTGTGGCAGCCATGAAGCCACTCACCTGTGCAAAGTGTCCAGAGCAATATTTTAAGTCTAAGAAAACCAGATTGCTTCCGGGGTGTGTGTGTGTTTAAATAGATAAACATACTAAGCAGGGAGAGAGGGGGAAGTAGAGATCCTCCCACAGCAGAAACTTTCACCTGCTGCTGGAGGTTCTTATGTCTATATATAGCCTAAGTGTCCTACTTCCCCGGTGATAAGTAGGCTAGTACCGTATTTTTCGCCCTATAGGACGCACTTTTTCCCCTCCAAAAATGAAGGGGAAATGTGTGTGCGTCCTATGGGCGAATGCAGGCTTTCACTGAAGCCTGGAGAGCGAGAGGGGTGGTGCGCACCGACCCCTCTCGCTCTCCAGGCTTCAGGAGAGCCCCAGCGCCAGCCCCACAAGGTCGGGGGACAGAGGGAGGCGGAACGCCGCCATCCCGCTGTCTCCCGAAGTGGTTTGGAGGCTGACGGCGGGGAGACCCCGCCGCCAGCCCCGCAAGCTCCGGGGACAGTGGGGAGGCGCAGCGCGTCTCCCCGCTGTCCCCGGACCTGATCTGAAGGCGGGCGGCGGGGAGAAGAGCGCTTCTCCCCGCTGCCTGCCCCGCAAGCTCCGGGGACAGCTGGGAGGCGCAGCGCGTCTCCCCGCTGTCCCTGGACCTGATCTCAAGGCGGGTGGCGGGAAGAGCGCTTCTCCCGCTGCCTGCCCGCAGCTCCGGGGACAGCTGGGTGGCGCAGCGCGTCGCCCCGCTGTCCCCGGACCTGATCTGAAGGCGGGCGGTGGGGAGAAGAGCGCTTCTCCCCACTGCTGGCCCCACAAGCGCCTGGGGGGGAAATATTTTTTTTTTTCTTTATTTCCCCCCAAAAAAACTTGATGCGTCCTATGGAGCAAAAAATACGGTAACTATAAAATCTCATGCCACTATGCCAAGTAACTAATGGAGGTCACAGTCCTTCTGTTTTCCTGTTGTGACACCATGATACACTTGCTTTTGAATGTGCAAATATTCCTTTCCTGCCCCCCCTCTTGTTTTTACTCAGAATTAATTTGAATAATTGCCACCCCCTGGCTCTGTACTTAGGCTCATTTGGAGGGAAGGATAGAAAAGAAATGCAACAGCAATAATAGTAAACAGTAGTAGTAAACCCATGGGTATAGGGCAGGCACCCCCAAACTCATCCCTCTAGCTGTTTTGGGACTACAATTCCCATCATTCCTGACCACTGGTCCTGTTAGCTAGGGATGATGGGAGTTGTAGTCCCAAAACAGCTGGAAGGCAGAGTTTGGAGATGCCTGGTATAGGGCAGTATATCAATAAATAAAACCATAATGATGAAATGGAATTCCACTACTAAGACTACGGTGAATGGTCAGTTTAACACAGACCTTCCTACAGTTTATTTACACCTGCTAACTGTAGATTTAAAGCACATCTCTGGAGAGGAACATACTACATAGAAAACATTTTTTTAATTATTTGTTTCATTCATTAGGAGAAATGGGTAGAAGTTGCTTCAATGAAGGTCCCAAGAGCTGGAGTATGTGTTGTAGCTGTGAATGGCCTCCTTTACGCCATTGGAGGAAGGACTGCCAGTTATGATTCATCTGCCCCAGTAACATCAGATTCTGTGGAAGTTTATAATCCGCATTTGGATACTTGGACTGAAATTGCTAACATGATCACTAGCCGCTGTGAGGGAGGTGTGGCGGTGCTCTGAAGAACAGAACACTTAAAAACAACTAAGATTGGGGAGTGGATTTTCAAGTGTTCTCGGAATAGTGACAGTTTGGGCTAGAGACTTCTGTTCACAGGCTCTACTGAAACCGTATGCTTCTCCATGTGGAACATAAACTTCATGGGTGATTCTTCCAGTTTGTTGATGGTTGATTGCTGCCCTTGACACTTGGGAAACCGTCTGCTGTTCGTCACATGCCAAGACACAATCAGAATGCAGTTGGACTTGCTGTATTTGAAGTGGAGAAGGTTGAAATTGTCCTAACCACATTACTTCCTAACAGGGATCCTAAGCAATAGTTTTATTCTCATGAAAATCCATTACATTATTTATTTATGAGCAGACGTTGGCTTTCCATAGCCTAAATTAGTTTCCTTGGAGAAATGCAACAAAATGATGGAGCTATTATTTACATACTTGTTTGGGACTTTTGTTTTAGCTGCTCATTGCCTTTAGGAATAAGTCAAACTTGCTTACAAAATGAAAGTATGGTAGTTTACATCTCACTCTTATTTATTTATTTATTTATTTATTCATTCATTCATCCATCCATCCATCCATCCATTCATTCATATGCCACCTCTTTCCCTGATGGGACTCAAGACAGCTTACAGATAAGAATATTCCATTCCCTGGCTCATGTTGGATATTAAGAATCTGCCCTCGGCTTTGGGCTTTTGTTCCACATATGCATACTTAGCTATGTAGGACTGTTTAAGACAGGAGACAACTGCAATATTAAAAACCAAAAACAAATCTGTCTTCACATTTCCTGCCCCGTATGACTTCCAAAGGATCCACATCATGCCCTGTGCTTCCATGGTGAAGCAAAGAGTTAAAAGCAATAAAAACAAGCACAATAAAGGAGTTGGATGAGAGAGGGAAATGGCAGTAGCAAAATGATCTAACATCAGATGGTAGTCTACCAGTTCATTTATTATATCATAAATGCCTTTTCCATCTTTGTAGCGCCTTACCCCATACACAGTTACATCTGTGGAGAAGCATCACTATGGCTGAGTACTATTACCATGTCAGTGGAAAACAGTTCCCTGCCTTATGACACACAACTCTACTTCTCCTTTGCATCTGCAAGTGAGGCACTGGATGTGCTGGACTGATGTCTTGCCCCAGTAATGCACTGGATGACAGCCAACAAACTGAAGCTCAATCCAAAGAAGGCTGAGAGGATGGGGTTACACTCCCTCTGAAGGAGCTGGTACATAGCTTGCGGGTACTCCTGGATCCTTTGCTGTTGCTTGAGGCTCAAGTGTCCTTGATGGCACAGAGTGCCTTCCATCAGCTTTGGCTGGTGGCTCAGCTGCACCCCTATCTGCGCCCCTAACTTCTGTTGTCTATACTTTGGTAACCTCTATGTTAGATTACTGCAATGCCCGATACATAGGGCTGCCTCTGAAGACGAATTCAGCTGGTGCAGAATTTGGCGGCCAGGTTGCTCACTGGGGTATATTACACAGATCCTAGCTCAACTGCTTTGGCTGTCAATTAGCTTCTGGTCCCAATTCAGAGTGCTGGTTTTGACCTATAAAGCCTTAAACAGCTCAGGACCACAAAATACATGAAGGACTGCTTCCCATATACAGTGGAACCTCTATGTGCAACCATAATCTGTTCCGGAGGTCCATCCAGAGGTTGAAACCGGTTGCTGGGAGAGGTGCCATTGTGCACAGCGGCGATTGCCCACTTCTGCGCATGTGCAAATGGCGATTGTCACTCCTGCGCATGCACAAACAGCAGCAAACCCACTGGTTACTTCCAGGTTTGCCGCGATTGCGACTTGGAACAATCGTAAGAGGCAGTGGTAAGTAGAGGTTTGACTGTACTGTCCCAGACTCCGCGTTCATCTGAGGCCTTTCTCCGCGTGCCTCCACTTGGGGTTCGGAGGGTGGCAACACAAGAACAGACCTTTTCTGCAGTAGCTTCCCATTTGTAGAATGCTCTCCCTACAGAGCTTCACCTGGCACCTTCATCTTTAGACACCGGACAAAATTTAACTCTTCAACCAGGCTTTTGGTTGATTAATATTCTATAGCCTTTTAAATGTGTTTGTGGGAAGGAGGGATTGTTTTGTGTTTTTGTTTTAAATATTTACATCCATTTTTACCTTGTATTTTATCCTGTGAACTGCCCTGAGATCTTATGATGAAGGGCGGCATATAAATCTAATAAATAAACAAACAAACAAATAAATAAAATACATGCAGGTCCCGCTATTGGAACACTAATTATCCAAAATCTCAGTTATCAGAACCCAAAGAACTATACCAGAACCTTGTTATATAAACAGCTGATTCAGATATCCAAAAAGCCATTGTTTGTCTACTTCCCTACCTATTTCTGAGGAGAAATTGGACAAATTGGAGCAGGAGAAATCAATCATTTTTTCCTTTGTTTGACTTTTGCTGGCTGGCTACAGCAGTTTGGGGCAGAAACCAGGGAGGGAGTTTGGACAAATCACAGATTAGAAATGTTCCCGTAGGAAATAATAAAAATCAGCTTGTTATGCAAATGCTAACCTAGTGATTTCCTGGGAATGCACTGTGTTGGAAAGCAGGACTTGTGTGTACTTTTATCACAGTCTAACCATCCTTGACTAGAAGTCCCATTTATGTAGTACTAAATATGGGGACCTTCCAGACTGGCTGTTTACTGAACATCCATCCCAATATATTTGCACAGAGGCTGAACACTTACTACCAGCTAGTGGTTGCTATTGCAGGCTTCCGCGTTAGCAGCCCACTGATCAGGATTTAGCAGAAAGCAAATTCCATTAAAACAAGAGATTTACTGCCATTTAACAACTGTAGTATTAATTAAATAACATAATTGTCTATGGCTAGTAATAATTCACCCACAGCAATTTTAAAAAATTGTGAAAGGGGAAAATATTTTACTCACTAAGAATTAGCCTATATAAAGAAACAGCAGCATACAACTTGTAGCTTAAAAAGCAGTGGATGGATGGCAGTTGAACAGCCTGTGGAAAAAGCAATGCAGTTAGTACACCTTCTAGCTTAGTGTCCTAGAAGTATTTAAAACCACAAGAATTTGATGGCTATTGAAGTTTCTCAGTGAAAGCGGACATTTGTGGTGTTCTTTCAAAATTCAGTGTGTATCAGAACATTCCACATTATCAAGAAGTCTCCACAAGTCTTATCTCTGGTATAACATTCAAAGAAGTAATTTTCTTGTACAGGGAGAGAGATGTGCTCCACAGCAGTGGCTCAGCCACCTAACCATGGAAGAAGATGCCCTAACTCATCTTTGCGCATTAGAGCAGAAACATTACACACCTCTACTAAATTGTAACTAGCAAATTCATCTTAGGTCTTCAGTATCCACCCTTCCATGGAGCTTGCTCTTCTTTCAGTCCATAAATTCAGCCACAAGTTCATAAGCAGAGAAGTTAACCAACTTTTTCTCATCCCCTCACAGTAGTCTTCAGAGGGGAAAACATGTAAAACAGAATATGAAAATGGTTAAGGAGAGAGGTCCCCTCTCATTGGACAGGCCAATGCATTTTTGGTTGTTTATTTCAATACTTTCGTTTCACTTGCATCACGACTTAGTCGTTTCTCTGGATACATGTTTGCAAGACATAGTGTGGTAATCAGAGAAACTGTGGCTACTATAGTCAGGACTGCCCTCATGGCTTTAAACCATCTGGGATAGGTGGGAAGAAGACTAAGATCATAATGCAAGGCTATCCCTAACCCTATTATAAGCATGAATCCAGCTTGAGTGAGGTCATCTTTGAAAAGCAAAGTAAACCAGGCAAGTAGTGAAGGAACAACACTGTTAGCCAGATTAATCCAATCAGGACTGGCAGGACTGCCTTCTGGCAAAGCAAATCCCCATCTGATCCCTCCTAGGAAAGATAGTATAGATGCACCATATGCAATCTGAGCAAACACCAACTCTGGGTAGGAGACCTTCTGGATAGCCATTAACAATGGCACTGAAACAAAGGGAATTAATCCTGCAAAGCCCAAATACAGAGCAGGCTTTGGAGAGTCCTTGAGGGAGGGCATGTCATATCGCAACAAATCCAGCTGTCGTGGCTCAGGTTCCGGAGGTTGTTTCTTCTTCCAGCTGCAGCAGGAAGAATGGAAACCTTGTGCCTTAGTTATGCTCACAGATGCCTGCCTAAGAAGCTGTGGGACAGGAAAGCCAACTGCCTTACTCCTTCCAGGTTGCAGAAGTCTTTGAAGATACATCATCTGCAATTACAAATGCAAAAACACTTCACATCACTCAACCTTCTGGTAGCTTAAAGAACCAACTACAATACTTCATACTTTTCAGAAGGACGCTTCATGCATCTAATAAAGTGGACCATAGTCCATAAATGCTTACATCATTAAAACGTATTAGTCTTTAAGGTGCCATTTTCATCGTTTTTGCTTCAGTTCTTAATTGGGGCCTCTGCCACAGCTAAGTGTTAGCAATGAACAGTGATTTATATTTCCATTTTTTATGAATTTGTCCAAGGGAGTAGGGTTCCCCACCACCACTTATGCATATTGGGAGGGATTCAACTAAGTTTTACTCAGAACAGATCCATTTAAAGTAATTGACTTAATCATGTTCATTAGTTTCAGTAGGCCGACTCTGAGTAAAACTTAGCTGAACACTACCCAGTATCTCTAGTTAAATTGCACCAAGATATGAGAAACTCATCTAGGCAAGACTTGTATAAACTTTAAATTTTGCACCTCTAAAAGACTGCAAAGTAACATTTATTCCCACAGACATATATTAAGGCAGCCTTCTTTCACTTCAGTGAGCAATGAGAGTTTCAATATACAGACAGGACTTAAAAGCAAACAAAGATGCAACTGTTTTGGAAACTTTTACCTTGGAAGGAACTTGGAAACAACATCGCTGTAGAAGGTGAAACATTTTCAGAGATTCTGAAAGATAGGGATGGTTAGCAAAATATGCTCTTGCATTACCTCACCTGGAGTATAATTAACAACAACAATAATAATAATAAATTTTATTTATACCCTGTCCTCCCCGGCCAGAGCCGGGCTCAGGGCAGCTAACACCAATAAAATCACAGTAAAAACATAATAGGGGGGAAAGGGGGGGGGAAAGGGAAGAAAACACAATTTAAAATACAGGTTAAAATGCAATTTAAAATGCAGCCTCATTTTAAAGTAGCTGATACATGGATAAGGGTGCAATCCATTACATTGTTGTGGCATGATATGCTGATTCAATTTTCATCCAGCACTAGAACTGGTGGATTAAATTCAGAATATCCCAGAGACATTTGGGAGGTCAAGTCCCAGACAGTCCAGCAGTCAAAGCTGTTGTTTGAGGTGTGAACATATGAAATCATTTCCAGCCATACCAAGCCAGTAATGGGAACCACATGGTACTGTGGGCTTGCAAGCCCTGCAGCAGTTGCACTATCTCTGCTCCCCAGTTATGTTGGGGATTTGCTGGAACTTGGCTGTGTATGCTGGTGGATGATGTCAGCAACAGTGGATAGCACCACAGACCTATTAAAACAAGATTAAAGTAGCACAGAAGCTAACACAGGTTTGTATCCAGTGCAGTGCTGAGTGAACATCCCATCAGTGTGAATGGAAATCTCTCCCCCTTTCCTTCCTCTGCATCTGCCTCAACCTTGCCCAAATCTGCCCTGAAGGGTTTGGGAAACCCCAGAACAAATGAAGGGGCATGCAGGGGGAATCCCATTGTACAAGCAGGAATCTTGCGCTGATGTGCTGCTTGCTTAGTGCTGCACTGGATATAAGTCAGACAAGCAATGACATTCAAAACAAAACAGATACTATACGATATAGTTGCATGTGCCCATTTATTTCCCTCCCACCCAAGTTGCTCCAAGGTAAAGGCAATGCCGGAGGCAATACAAAGTTATTGCAACCTCTCATCAGTTAATACAACCCTGTAAAGAGAAGGCTCAGATTTTAAACATGTGTAACAAAGCCAAGTTTCTTAAAAGCCATTGTAGAATTTTAAGCCTGTGAACAAATCACGGGCCCTACCTAGTCCAATAGCCTGCTGCAGACAAGGTGTATCCCTAATAAATTTGTGCAAACTTTCTCAAAAGCAAAAGGTAACACATGCACGTTATGCACTTCCTCGCATGCAGAACCGCACTCTTCCGGGAATTCACTCTCCCTCCTTTCTCTAAGCATCCGGTCCCGCCAATACTTTGCTTTTCCGCGAGTTTCTCCCACGTCCCGCGCCTGTCACAAACCCATAGAGCCTCACCCTTTAGTAGCAGGGGGAAATCGAGGGCGTTGCAAGGGGCTCTCGTGGGCACTTTGGGCTGTAGTATCAACCTAGTTGCTCATTAACTTTCACATCTAAGCGGCAGACACAATAAACGCGACTCGCAGCCTTTGTAGATTCTTACAGAAAGCTTTCCCACAATCCAAAGCCTTTGGATTTGTTTTGTTTCGTTACAAAAACGTGCTTGGTAAAATTGTCCCGGGTGCGGAAACTGACTCTGCCTTCCCAGCGCAATTCGCGTTTTCCTAGCTTTGCTCCAAAATCAGCCACTCTTCACATCAACCTAAACTCAATCCACACTCCGCCTGGGGAAGGGGCGTTTCCTGTCCCCTGCTTTAATTCCGCCGGGTGCGCGTGCGTCGCGCTTAGTCTCTCGGCTTGGAACAGAGGCGAGACTCCCGCCCTTGCGTACTAAAAGTAACAACGGACGAGCGGATCCTCCTCCCCGCGTTTAATGGCGCTGCAAGGCCAAAATGAAAGGCCCTATTGCCGCCATCTATAGGCAACAACATTATTGCACTTTCCTACACTTTCCCATAAATCCTTGTACAGTACTAGCTAGATCAGGGGTCAGCAAACTTTTCTAGCAGGTCCACAGTCCCTCAGACCTTGTGGGGGGCCGGACTATATTTTGGGGAAAAAATATATGAATGAATTCCTATGCCCCACAAATAACCCAGAGATGCATTTTAAATAAAAGGACACATTCTACTCATGTAAAAATACGCTGATTACCGGACCATCCGCAGGCCGGATTTAGAAGACGATTGGGCCGGATTTGGGCCTTAGTTTGCCTACCCATGAGCTAGATCCCAACTCAACTTCTCCATAAGAAAAATAATCCACATCCAACTACATCTCTACAGTCCTCAAAATAACCATCCTTTCACCAGAGTTCCCACAGTGTGAGCTGAACAAAGTATAACCATAACTGCTCCCTCTAGCTTTAAAAAAAACATAAATAATCCCTACAAGGGCAAGTTCCATCTACACAAACTACACCAGACACCTGCACATTCCTGGCCATGAGCCAGTAAACTGAACATTCCAACTCCTTATCTCAAGGCCAAACTTGTTATGTCTTGGAGCACCTCAAAACCTGACAAGATGAAGATCCAGCCTTCCCTTCTTAATTTAACTGGTAATGGAAAGTGGCAGATTGCTCCTATGTAGAAGTCTTTGGTGGCACTCCCTGACTCTGCTTAGGACTGGGCTCCAAATATTTGAGGTTAACATAAGGCTACAAGATGTCCCCGTTTCCCAGGGACAGTCCCCGGATTTGAAGTTGAAAAGTGTCCCCAGATTCATTGAAAAAAAATCTGTTAACCTTAGGTTAACGCATAGAACAAATAGAATTTAAGGACACATATAAAAGGTAGGGGTGGCGCTGTAGGTTAAACCACAGAGCCTAGGACTTGCCAGTCAGAAGGTCGCGGTTCGAATCCCCGCAACAGGGTGAGCTCCCGTTGCTCGGTCCCTGCTTCTGCCAACCTAGCAGTTCAAAAGCACGTCAAAGTGCAAGTAGATAAATAGGTACCACTCCGGCGGGAAGGTAAACGGCGTTTCCGTGCGCTGCTCTGGTTCACCAGAAGCGGCTTAGTCATGCTGGCCACATGACCCAGAAGCTGTCTGCGGACAAACGCCGGCTCCCTCGGCCTATAGAGCAAGATGAGCACGCAAACACAAAGTCGGTCACGACTGGACCTAATAGTCAGGGGCCCCTTTACCTTTACCTTTATAAAAGGTAGGTCTGAAAAATATTCCCAATCGCACAGTCTCTTCACAGCTGTAACAACTGCAGCCTGTTAATCAAAGATAAATACTAATCTGATCTGCTTACACAGACATGAGTCTATGAATGCTCCAGTTACACCGAAGAGCTAAAAATTCTAAATACTCTTTAACTACTGTCTCCTATAAGTCAGAGCAGGTGGTCATTAAGCCAATGGGAAGGAAGGTATTCCAGAAGTTAACCCCAAGTGATGCTGAGGCATAGCTGGTGTTATTAAACTGACTATAAATGGTGATCACAGTACCCTTGTGAGTTGAGGCTGGTGATGGTAGGCTGTATGCCTGAGTCCCTCTGATTTAATTTTTCATTACCTACAGCCAGTGCTTTTTTTATAAAAAAATGTTTAGGGGTGCTCTCATTTGGACTCAATAAAATTACCATTCTATAGTTCAAATCGGGAAAAAATAAATACAGTAAATGGACAAAAGTACAAAGATTCACAAAATGTTTAGGGGTATGTGTACCCCTTCGTCCCCCCCAAAAAAAGCACTGCCCACAGTACACAGCACACATGTGCACAGCGTACACACTTATCCCCCACCCCCTGCAAATAGGCTATTTAAAAGGCAGTCAGTGGTAATGAGGTGGCCTGACAGGGAGGTCCCATAGCCTGCGATTGGGCTTGTGGTTCCCCAACCTTGGTCAAGGAGGTCAAATCTTTACAGAACACACTCAAAGCCACAATAATAGAAGATCAGCTAAAATTTGTACCACAGATCAGTTTCCCACTGACATCTGGTTAGCCAGTGTGGTAAAATACTGCTGGATTAGATAGGCCTTGAGTCTCAACCTGAATGGCTCTTCTTACGTACCTACTTGATGTTTTTACACACAAGTTGTTATGTATCCATTCATATACACTGTATATACCATAAATAAGATACAGTAGATATCAAAATGATATTAATTAAGTTATGTATCATTTCTGCTATGCTAATTCTCTGGTTTGCTCTTCATGCTGAGTCTTGTTGCTGCTGTCTCATCCTGCCTTGCAATGAATAAGGAAGTGTGAAAGAGAGAAAGGGAGATTCAGCATTTGAAGGGAACAGTTACATTATACAACTATTTCTGTCCATGAAATATACCGTACTTTTGAGTCCTGAAAGTACTGTAGAAAGCACTGAACAAATTTTTTTGGGGGGCGGGGCAACATTATAGTAACCTCTACACATAAATTCATGTTTCACAGCATATCTCACATTACTCTTTCTAGCTTCATTTGATCTTTATGGTTTGTGACTGTATGTATAATATTTGTATTAATCAGGCAGCCATAATATATTAGTTCTTTCCCCCATTAATTTCTCCTTCACTTTCAGTAACCTAATTTTCCCACCCCATGTTTCATAGCTTTATGGATTGTACACCACTGAAATTAATTAGCTCTGCACAACACACCAGGAATCAGAATAACAGGGAGAAATGTACAGGAGTAACCAAAGAGCTAGCATCTTTTGCCTGTCTCTATGGCAAAAGAAAGCCAACCACATGTAGTCAGCATTGTGTCAACATAAAGGAGTATAAAGCACCGGATCTGGCAGCTGCTGCTGTTTTTGCAATTTCAGTTTTCTGCATTTGCAAACAAAGATTAGGCAAAGTTTATGTCTTTTTTTTTTCCTCGTTCAAAATTATTTGCTGTAATGCTATTTATTCTAATCCTAAATCTGTTTTGGAGGGCACGACTGGTTTGTCTCTTTTCCTTCCTGACAGTTAGCTATTGTCATGTAAGGTTTACCTGACAATACCTAATTATTTACTCTATAGAGTTGACCCACTTTAATCAGTGAGAGCATGGTGGAATCAGAAGACTGCAGCTTTTCTGGAGTCTGTCACTGCAAATTAGTTTGCTTGGCCCAGTTACCTAGATTTTGCTGTAGAAGAATGCATAAATTGCTTTGGCTACATTTCTTTAGGCCTGGTTTATGCACACGAACGAAAAAGTCTGGTTAGATAAAGTTGCTATTGAATTCCTGAGAATCATTATTAAAATTTAAGTAGCCTGTGGTGGGGCTGTTTGCACCACTGGGCTCGCGGTCGCTGATAAATAGAAAACTACAGACATACAAATGTTTCGGAAAGCTTTTTCTTTTGATTCCTATCAGCAATATTAGGCAGGCCTGCGCGCTTTTCGGTGGCGGAATGCCTGCCTGTTCCACCGGCTTAAATTATTTGGGAGGATAAATGAGTGCCTGGCGCTTTAAGAATGAAGAGACTTCAGAGCCATGGCTGGAGATAAGGGCGAAGGAGGAAGAAGTGAAGTCCATAATGTATTCGGGCAGCAGGACGTTAGCGTGCGGGGAAAGCGCACAGCATCACGGAAGTAGCTGTGAAAGGCTGGTTTGCCTGCAGCCTCCGATAACACAACCAGGAGGATACACGCTCACGCATGCGCAGAGCAGAAATGGAAGGCGCGCGAGAGCCCTGAGCAGCCTCTTTGGTGGGCGGCACGCGAAAGACTACTTCGCCTGGCTCGGACGAGCCAGAGCACGAGCGGCGGAAAGCGAGTGCGCGTGCGCCCCGGTCTTTTGGCACGGGCTGGGCCCAGGTGGGTGTGTTTCCCCCTCTTCCCCCCCCTCTTCGCACGCGTGAGTAGCCCCGCCCCCTCCGGCCCCCGGCCGGGCTGGGCCGGGCAGCCATTTTGGGCAGAGCTTTGTTATGGTTCGGTGTGGGGAACTCAAGCGACACAGAGAGTGAGGCGGGAGGGGGCGAGTGGGGCCTGGTCCCGTAAGCACGGCCTTGTGTGGAGAGAAGGGAAGAGGAGCTGGACTTGAGGCGGCGCTGAGCGGCAGCCAGCGGCCTTTGGGGAGAGAGTAAGGTAGGGAGCGGGCAGGGGGAAGCCCAGAACAGGAGAGGGGGCGGGAGCATAAACAAGTGGAGGTTCTGTTGCAGGAAAGAGCCGAGGGGGCGGCGGAGGCCCTGCGGGGTCGCTTGGCGGCCGGGAGAGTTGCTCGGGGCAGTTGTTGGTTTGCGGAAGCGCTCGGGACGAGGGGCATCGCGGAGAGGTGCTTGGCAAGGGTTGGGGGGGCAGGGAGGCGGCGATAGCTAATAAGAGGGTAATGGGGGGACCTGCTTGGAGGTGTCTGCGCGGGCAATTGGGGGGGCAGGGGTGGAGACTGGAGGTGTGCGAGGAAGGATCAGCTGGAGTAAAGAGTGAATAGCGGAAGGAGGAGGCTACGGTAGGCCTCTGGAGTGCAAAGTTGAGCAGGAGGTGCGGAGTGGCCAGGACAGGCAGTCGGTGGCATGTGATTTTCAGGGCAGGTGGGAGAGGGTTTTTTGTTTTGTTATTTGTTGGCATGGGGGTGAAATGGATTTGGGGTTCCAGCGTGGGTATAGGAAGGGAGGGAGAAGCTGATCAAAGCAGTTGTGATACTAGGCAAAGGTAGGGGGCGGGTCTGAAGTGGGGTAGGCGGGGGGGGCCTGTCGAGTAGGGCACAGGATTTTATAAAGTGCGAGGAGTTATTCTTTAGAGGAAAGGGGGCAAATGCTGGCTTGTTGAACAACTTATAGACAGCTTGTTGGACAACTCGAGACAGCCAAGTGTGGTGGGTCAAACTAGGAATATTTAAGTAAGAATGCTTGACTTTGCGTAGTTTCCCTATGGAACTGTTTTCGTTTTCTTTTTCACACACACACCCGCCCCAAACAACAACAGCGACTCTGTATTAAGGAACAAATATACAAGTGTCAGGACTGGATAATTATATCTTGCCTTCCATGCAGACTGCCTTGTAAAATCTAGCATTGTTGTTCTTGCTGAGCAGGCTGAGAAGGAGGGAGTTGACTTGTGGGTGTGTTTGTAGGGAGGTACAAATAGAGTATTTTGAATATTAAGGCAGAAGGAAGGCATACAGTATTATACTTGTGTAATACTTCTTTGCTGCATATGACTCAAGGTAAGGAGTAGAGTGTCAGATTCTGGCAGTTACTGGTAGATTTTTTTAATGCTTGAATGGAATGTGCACTTCTTGTGTCTTTCCTGATGGCTATATTACTCTAGATACTGCTTGAAATTATTTGGGTGTGTGGGGGTGTAAAAACATTTTCCTTTAAAATTTGGGTGGCTGAGTTAAAATATAAATGTTAAATAGAATCTAGTGCAAATGTGGAAGTTGTTGTGTGTCCTAAAAGGATAGTTGCTTTGCCTGTTCTGCACCAACATTTCTTGGGAAATAGGACAATTTGTCTATATGCCTTCTATGTAGAAGATAGTCTGAAGGAAATGGAACAATTCTTAACTTTTAAAGAGAATATACTAAAGTAGTACTTCAGCCTGATAACCTTAACAGTAAGAATTTGCATCTAGAGATCTATCAATACTTTAGTAATTAGTTTGACTTTTAGATGCAATAGAAAGAGTTCCAGTGACCAGTGTTTTCTTAGGGGTGGGGGAAGAGACCAGACTTATAGGATCTACTTTTGTTTTTTTTCTGGAACCCCCAAGATCCATCAACCAGAGTTGGGTGCAAAAGGCCTACTTAAAATTAAAGAATTCTGAGCCCAAGAATTTGTTTTTAGTACCAGACCTGAACTGAGCTGACAGTTCTTCCACACACATATCCACTCCTTGTTGTTCTATGCCACCCTATTTTCTTCATTTCAGCAATCTGATTTGTGCATCTTGCTATTATTAAGCAATTGATAGTCAGAAATCGTTGCCAACCTCCTGAAAATCACATAGATCTTCCATTAAATCCCCAATCTCTGCACCCCTGTCTTGGGTGATCATTGTCAGGGTAAGGATGAGAACTAAGTATATTATGAAAGGATAATAGAATTTTGCAATCATTTTGATAGGTATTTCATTTATATAAACTTGTACACACTTTTGCATGAGCCACATGTTGTTCTTTTTTAGATGTATCTCAAAGAGATTAGTGGGTTTGGGATTATTTGTATGTCAGCTAATACTTTTTAGTCGATTTACCATTTGCAATTCTCCCTTTCTATACAACAAGCATAAGTGAAATTTAACCCTACAGTCCACGTACTGAATGCTACATTAACACTTCTAATAGTAGTAGACAGATATGACTGTGGGTGGGGATTTTTTAATTAGATTTTGAGTTGTGTTGTCAAATTTCTGCTGCTGTTGTCATATACCCTACTGTAATGAGAAATGGAAATAAGATTAGAAATTTTCTTAAATCCTGCAAAATATTAACATTGTTATGCTAAATGCTCTTCAAAATATGTCCACCCAGTTAATAGTCTGCATTCCTATTCACACTAACTTCAAGCTGCATTAAGTGTAGTGGAACTTCTGAGCTAACGTGGTTTATTGCACAGTTTTGTTTTAGATACCTGAGTTAAACTCAAGTGCTTTGTACATAGTGAAGCTTATACAGAAACTCGTTTATCACTTAGGCATTCTGGTGCTTGCTAGTTTTTCTGCCTCTGTAAATTAAGAGAAGAGTGTAAGCCTCACCATTCTGGAAGATTTCCTTGCACCAGAAACTTTGCCTTAGTAACAAATTGTCAATATTTCTGTACACAAGAGTAGCAGTGCAAAAACATTTAGTATTAGAAGAAACAACAGGACTGGAATATAATTCCCAAAGAGGATAGGTTTCCATTTAAGTTTCTAGAATTTTGTTGTTTGCTGTGTTGCATTCAAAGCAAGTACTGAAAGAGAAGCTAGTATTGCCTCACCAGTTGATTTGCATAGTATTTGGTAGCCTTTCCTGACTTATGGACAACTGTTAAGGGGGAAGGAATGACTATTGTGAAAGAAATATGTTAGTTCGCTCTTTTGCTGCAACCTCTGTATTTTAGAAAGAACACTGTACTTTGAAAGATAAGAGGTTTTGATACTTCCCACCTCTCCACTTCCCCTTTCCCTACTCCTTTAGTTGTAAAAATAGTTGAGTAATATATGGTAAAGTCAAGCTAGATTGAGACCAATGTAATGCATTTCTAGGGCACACATTTCTTCAAAAAGGTGATGAGACTGATGCCTAATTTTTATTCTTTTCCTGGCTCCTAACACTTCTCCTACAGTAGGCTGCAGCATGTTACTAATTTGTCATTAATAATGTTAAGCTCAGGCACTTGTAGCATAACCATATATCAGAGGTCGCCAACGTTTTTGGACCATTTTGAATGTTGAGAGAATGCTGATGATGCCATTTACAATATGGCAGCCATGGGGGAATGGCATGGCACAAAATTAGAGAAAGTGAAGATACATTTTCTGCCCCTGAGCAACCTCATGTTTACCATGGGAAATCAGCTGTGGAGGTACTAATGTCAAAGGCACAACAGCCTTGTTTTCCCCAATGGCAGTCCTAAACCAAAGCATAAACTGCCATCCTGTATCTAGAACATAAATAGAACAAGCTCTATTTAAAAAAGGAGAAAGATTTCTGAAATAGACATGTGTACTGTGCATATGGGGCCTATCACATTTTTTGTAAAATGGTATAAATATGACCTTGTAACATAGTTTCAAGTACTGTATTAAGTCAGAAGAAGAAATGCAAAAAAATTAAATTGTGATGGTCTTAAAATCTAAGCTTTCTTTTTGAAAGACTGTAATATGTTTGATTCATGGTGGAAAGAAAATTCTGTTCTAGATAATAAAGAGAAACTTTGTGAAGGGTGAATTCCACTATGTATTTAATCAAACACGGGATTCACTCATAGCACACTTAAAAAAAAAGATTTTAAAAGTATGTAAAAGATGCTACGGACAATTAATGCAGATCTTTCATTGGCTTAATTTCTGGAGTGTACACAGATATTTTACAGCTGTGTGTGTGGAAATATGGAAAGTAGTAATTCAGGTTCAGGTGTAACTGAATTACAAAAAAATGGTTAGGTGTGTAAAATGGCTGACTTGTCTTCAGTTTGTCTGACATGACTTTTTAAAGAATATATTGAAACAGACAGCTTTCATTTTAGAAATATAATACATTATTTGTTTTAAAAGGGGGAGACTCAAGACCACTTATTTAACAATGTATGGTGTTTATACCCAAATGATTTCATCTCCAAAATAGCTATGTATTTGTACAGGCATTTAAACTTACCCATACCAAAATTGGAGCTTACTTGCAGCCTATTATGGGTTGAATCCAGCAACCATTGGATAAATGGAATGACTTCTGCTCCTGCAATGGAACGTCTCCTCCCCATGACCCCCAAATCTGAGGTAGTGGGTTGGGGAGGTGGGGGTGCATGGAGGGGGGAGGAGAAGTACATGAATGAAAGCCATTCCACCTGTGCAATGATGTTTTCGGATACAACCCAGAACATTTTAAAGCTTGGGAAGTTTTAAATAGTGTGGCAGTGGAACTGGTCACCTTAGACTTTGTTTATGGATAAATATATGTGTTGTGATGGTCATCACCATTTGATGTTGATAGACATCTGTATTAATCTGAGATACAAACAAGAGTCAGCATCCACACATAGCCATTTCACTCCTTCCTTCACCAGAGTGAAGCAGCCAGGAAGCTGCATCCAGACCAGGAGCCATAGTTATGGCTTTCAAACCAACCACATTATGAAACCATGGTATTAAGGTGGTCACTGCATTAACTAGTTCCAAGTGTGAATGCATCAAGAAGTTGTCGACTGCAGCTTCCTGGCTTGCTCATTTGTGCAAAGGAAGAGGTGAAATGGTTGCATGTGAGTGCCTGAAACTTGTGTAAGTCTTGATTTACTAAGCCAAGATTATCCTCTGAACATCACCCATGTATAAAGTATGCACAAATTAATATGGGTTCAGCAACCAATTGTTGACTTGGATGAAGCAACTCAGTGATCAAATTTCAGTTGAGCCATGGCTTATATGTGTAGCGTTATGGACAGCAAAAATAATAATAGTCTAGTAATGGCCCACTTCACAATGATATCAGTAATGATGCCTCTCTTGTTTCAGTGTACAAAGGGTAAATTCTTCGTATGTTAACCTGTAGTTCTGATTTTCAAGGGTTTCACAAAAGCTTTAGTAGATTAATGTGGGACATATTAAGCTACTAGTGAAATACTTGTTGTTGTGATGGATGTTATGTGTGTGTGTGTATATAAACCCACATGTGTGGAGATACCGTGTACACTACACACATTCCAGGGGCACCTGCAGTTTGTATATAGAAATACACCCTCTTCTCTGAATGGAAATATATGATTTTTGTAGCCACAATGTAGCCTACTGTATGAAGGTAACAGTGTTTGAAACTCCCATTGTTTTAGGCGCATTGTGCGACAGGAAATTTTATTAGTGTGAGCAGTTTCTGAGCTCTGGGCGCAGTACTATGCCTAAGATTTCAGATTAAAATTGCAGTGGAAGGAAGAGAGGACCTTTTCTGATTCCCCACTTCCAGCTACTCTCTGAAGACTGGAGAAGAGACCCTCTTAGGAATATTAGGGGGAGGGCAAGGGAAGGACTAGACCATGTGAAAATGAACATATTTTAGCTGCAGTTCACTCATTTTCAGCTTTGTATTCTTGTTACTTAAAAAGCATTCCATTGTTACACCCATAACCTAGGTTTAAGGTGCCATTTAGCTCCTAGCTTTCAAATCTGTTTCTAACACTGGAAGGTAAGACTTGTATTTGATATTCTGTCCACTCTTGTACCTGGCCCTTTCTGCAGCCCTTTGACTGAGACCTTTCTCACTCCCATTTAAAAGGTTAATACCAATATCAATAACACAAGCAAGATATGATTGCATAGCATTCTTGTTGGCAGTCTAGCTGCAATAGTCTAAACTGCAGTTTCCAAAATGTCTTCAAAAACAACCGCTTGAAAAGCTCATTGCATTATTCCAGTCTAGAAATTAACCAGCCATGGCCAGGCTGTCTCTTGTCAAGAAAAGGTTGCAGTCAGCATATCAGGCATAGCTGATAAAATGCACTACATGCCACTGAAGTAATCACACGTTGAAATGGCAAAGTTGAATCCATAAGCACCCACAGGATGCACACCTGATCCTTCAGGAAGAGTGAAATCCTTTTCAGAACTGGTTGAACAGCACCTTCCTGGACAGATGAACCACCCACCAACAGCACTTCCATCTAGTTACAATTTATTGGTTCTCTGCCAAGTACCAAGACAGCAGTGCTTCATCAGGAATTGACAGAGCTGGGTGTCAAAAGCCCCATAACCCTTTATAGGACACAGGAGTTCCTCAGCAGATAAGTTGGTGCTGAATGGGTTCCCATAAAATAAAAATCTGAAAACCACTGGTGTAAATCATAAGCACTGCAGCAGTTGTCTGAACCACCTAAGAACATATCGCCAAATCACCTTCTTCCATCTAATCAACCATATTCAAGGTTTCAGTGGAAGGAAATGAAGGTGGAAGAACCATCTCCAGTACATGGCTTCAAATTTCAGATTTAACATGACAGTTACTTGATTTGAAGCTTTCTCAGAAGTAATACATGCAGATCCCATTATTTGAACATAATGCATTCCTAGAAAATCACTCATTAGGCGAACAATCGCATAATGATCTGATGAATCCCATATTCCCCTCCTAACATTTAGTTTGGCCTTCAGTCACTGCCTCTGCTCTGCAGGTTATATTAATCACATACCTTTTGAAATTTTTATTGATCAGGGTTGACCATACCAGTTTGAATTTTGTCATCCTAAGGATGGAAGTTAGGGCTGTTGTTCGCTTTTGTAGAAGGTGAAAAGATGTGGTGTGAAATGTTTGTACTCTGTTGTACATGAGTTGGGCCAGACTGCTGTTGCTCCTTTTTTCTGTGCTTGAAAATAGACTAGGATTTAGACTGAAGCAGTGTTAGTTGATTATACTGGTTTCATCATCATAAATACATTCTGCCATACTAAACTGAAAGATCAAATTCAAAATTGTTAATATATGAAGATGTTTTCTTTGGTGTGGGAATAAGTTCAATCTTTCAAGTTCTGAGGGTCCAGATGCTAGTGCTGCTTGTGACCTATGGGCCAGTAAGTCTTAGTATGTGGCTGAACAGCACATCCAAGTGTTTTTGCCTACCAGTGTCTTCCAATACAGAATTCCATTGCTCAAAATGCATTTATATGGGAAAATGCAATGTAGCACTAACTAGCAAAGAACTACTGCACATGGCGTTGGAAGTTATGCAATCAAGAGATGTATGGAGCAAATTAGGTTTCAGAAGAAGTAGGATGAACGGTGTTTTTAATTGAGAACATAGTAACTACCCGTATTTTTCGCTCTATAAGACGCACCAGACCACAAGACGCACCTAGTTTTTGGAGGAGGAAAACAAGGGAAAAAATATTCTGAATTTCAGAAGCCAGAACAGCAAGAGGAATCACTGCGCAGTGAAAGCAGCAATCCCTCTTGCTGTTCTGGCTTCTGTGATAGCTGCGCAGTCTGCATTCGCTCCATAAGATGCAGACACATTTCCCCTTACTTTTTAGGAGGGAAAAAGTGAGTCTTATGGAGCAAAAAATACGGTAATCATGATTGGGTAGAATTAATGGAATCTGGACTGGTTTTTTGCAGATTTCTGTTTAAGGTTAGATAGTAAATCCCATGTGAATCACTCAGTAATTTGTGTATACCTATACCTAACAAGGGATGCGGGTGGCTCTGTGGTCTAAACCACAGAGCCTAGGGCTTGCTGATCAGAAGGTCGGCAGTTTGAATCCCCGCGACGGGATGAGCTCCCGTTGCTCGGTCCCTGCTCCTGCCAACCTAGCAGTTCAAAAGCACGTCAAAGTGCAAGTAGATAAATAGGTACCGCTCCGGCGTGAAGGTAAATGGCATTTCCGTTCGCTGCTCTGGTTCGCCAGAAGCGGCTTAGTCATGCTGGCCACATGACCCGGAAAAACTGTCTGTGGACAAACACCGGCTCCCTCGGCCTATAGAGCGAGATGAGCATGCAACCCCAGAGTCGTCCGCAACTGGACCTAACGGTCAGGGGTACCTTTACCTTTATACCTAACAAACATTGAGCTGTAACTGTATGCATCAGTGATTAGAAAGGTGAATACATAAAACATGCAGTTTTCTAGAGTAAACTAGGCTCTTCTGCACACTCAGCTGTTTGCCATATTGGTGTATTAGTCGCACTTAAGTCACGGTTTCCTGTGAAGTTGTGGTTTGACAAACCTTTGAAGCATTGAAGTAAGGCACTTGAGGAGGTAATGAGATGGATGAATTGTCATATTGCTAACTTTCAGACTGATGAGTGATAGCTTATCTGTCAGATTGTTGAGAGGCTCCCTGGGACAGTAGGTTCCTTTGATTTAAACATTTATGTACAAGATTTTGACCACTATAATATGGATGTGGCACACAAACTTGCAATATTATATATGTTTATGTTTTTGAAGGGGGCATGATTTCATAGTGTTTCACTAGATATAAATTGCAAAGCCGCCAGACATGCAAATAGCCATTTTAAAACTCTTTAGAAAGGAACAGTACTAAAAACATTACAAGTAAGGGCTGTTCTATGGAGATTACACTTAACCTTTTCTTGTTCTCAATTCTATTAGTTATTCAGTGTCTATGGTAACATCTGTTAGGTCTTTAATAAATGCACAGGTATTTGCAGATTTACATGTAACTGCATTGTGTTAATTTAATCCTTCTCTGCTTTGCTTCTCAGGTAAACCTCTTGTAAGCTGAGCAATAGCTTGGAACTTTTATCCCAAAATAGAACCCAGTTACAACTTTGCTGAAACGAAAATAATTTTAGTATTTGAGTTAAGTGAATAACTTTTCCTCCCAAGAGTTGTATTGTTAAATTCCTGAATTATAGTGTGTATTAACTTTCACTTTTAGTTTAGACAAGTATATTACGTCATTCATTCTCAATTGTTACTTGCTAGAAGGGTAAATACTAGTTATCCATGGATGAGCACCCAGCTGACACCATGCATCTGTTTCTGCTGGAGAGCTGTAGTGATAGATGCCACAGCACTGCAATGTGCTTTTCTATTAATAATACTGACATTTTTGAACAACTAAAATACAAGTACACACCCAGAAACACAATAATTGAACAGTAGGACAAAAACAGCCTAACTTTAGGAATGGAAGCAAGAAAAAAGTACGGTATAATCGAATCTAAAGATACATGGTATACATTCTACTTGTCTTTGTTCTCCTTCAAAGGATCCTCACTTCTGAAGGAAAAGTTGAAGTTGGGATACAACCTTATCTTGAGGCACTTAAGCTACACTCTGTATAGGAAAAAGAGGTGGGGGAGATGCTTATGTGTAACATAGATCAGGAGAAGATGACTAATCAGAATCTAGAAAAGGGTTCTGTATTTTTTTCAAACTGTTTAAAAGTTTGCTGCGTCTTGTAGCTCACCCACTCCTTGCATACCAAATCCAACATTCCAATCTGGGCTTTCAGCTGGGTCCTAGTCTTGACACCAAATGCTTTGCTCTACGCAGCACATTTAAACCATAAGAGGAGCCCTGTCGGATCAGACCAGGGGGTCTATCTAATCCAGCTTTGTGTTCTCAAAGTGGCCAACAGATGGAAGCCCACCCAAAGGACATGAGTGCTATGATGCACTCCCACTTGTGATCCACCCAACTGGTTTTTAGAGGCATTCTGCCTCTGATGCTGAGGTAATATAGAAACTGTGACTAGTTATTCTAAATGCAGAGTAATGGGCATCTCTGCTTGCATGATTGAATGATTGTGAGGCTGGTGCAGGTGGATGAGAGTGGGTAAGCCTCACTGCACCAGCAGAAACCCTTGTGTTGGCTCCTGCTAGCTAGCAGAACTACTTAGCCCAACAGGTCTACTGTGACTAAAATATAACTGAGTTCCATCCACAGGCTTTTGAGCATGCTAAAATCAAGTTATATTTTCAGTGCATTTTTTAATTAAAATTTAAACTATATAAGGCAGGCATCCCCAAACTTGGGATGATGGGAGTTGTAGTCCCAAAACAGCTGGGGGGCCAAGTTCGGGGGTGCCTGGTATAAGGGAAGTGCTGCTGGCCTTACATTCTTGCCTTTGTAAATGGCATACTTAATGGTATACTTAATGATTTACTGTGAGCATACCTTTCTGGGCTGTTACCATTTCCCTTCTAGGGCACAGTGGAAGCAAACTATGATCCCTGGCTTAGTATTGCATCTGAATTGGGAATTATTATTTATTTCACTCCCAAACAGACCATGGTTTGTGAATTATGCTTTGTATCTACTTGTGCTAGCAGAGAGAATACAACAGCCCAGCAAAACATGTTCACAATAAAACATTAAGTATGCAGTGTGATGTGTGAACTACAGTGTGTTGTCATGTCAAAAAAATAAGTATTGTAATAAAAATCTGAAAAGCTTTTCATTTGTTTGGATATAACATCTAAATCACATTTAGTGTTTTGATTCCCTCTAACCCCATCATATATTTAAGTTCAAATACTCTTGGGAGCAGAATGGTGTGTAGATGAACTTTTGGTCTCATTCAGCAGGGTTCATCTTCTTAATTTTTATTTTTATTTTGAGATACTTCATTAGGTAAAACTAACCTATCTTTTTAGTTTTGTTTACTTTAATAAGTCAGAAATGTTAAACTGGAATCTATTCAACTTAGGGCATCAGGATATGTTCCAGGAAATCAACATTTCTGGTTTGAGTTGAATCCTGAGAAGGCGTGTGTGTGTGTGTGTGTGTGTGTGTGTGTGTGTGTTTTAATGTCTCTTGCCAAATAATGTTGAATTCCCATCTAGGAGATATGGAGTCCAATTTCCAGGTTGTGAATGGATAGTTAACCTCCCTTCCTGCCCCAATCAGTAAAAGAAGTTATCACTTCACTGGGTACTTGCATGAGGAGGTGTTGCTAGAGGACAACAGTTCCTGGCCATGCTGGCTGCACTGATGGGAGTTGGAGTTCAGTAAAATCTGGAGAACCACAGATTTCCCTTTCCCAGCATAGTAATTATGGGGCCAGGATATTAAATCGGTGATTCTTTTAAAAATAATGTGCCAATCTTGACATAGAACTTTTTGAATCAGGCTAGAGCAGCTTCCCCTGACTTGGAGCCCCCACCCCCACCCCCACCCCCAACTACAGCTCCAGCTCCAGCTAGCATAGCTAATGATTAGGGATGATGGCAATTGTAGTCCAAAATGTCATGAGCATCAGGCTGGAAAAGGCTGGGCTAGAGAATATCAACTTACTACTTTGCCATGATTATAGCTCCACATTGAGCTATATGAGATCATAGAATCTTAGAGTTGGAAGGGATGCAAGGGTCATCTAGTTATATATATCTGCAAGCCTCAAGGCTCCCTCTGAGCAGGCAGACAACTTTCCTTTTGTTTCTTTCTGGCCCTTTTTTGGGGCTTTTGTCGGTATTCAGTGAATTTGCAATTAGAGAGTGTTATTTGTATCCTCTGTTGGTAGTGCATGTTGGCAGACCTGTGTTTGAACATGGCGGCACCTACAAAGTAGGTATGTCTGGAGTGTTGGACTTCAAATCCTTATTCATGAAGCTCACAAGGTAGCTTTGATGGTGGTAATAATAATAATGATTATGATGATAATAATTTGTACCCCGCCTATCTGACTGGGTTGCCCCATTCACTGTGGGTGGTAAAGTCTCTCAGCCTAACCTACTTCATGAAGCTATTTTATGAAGACAAAATAAGGTAATACATGGACGGATGGGGTACAAATAGGATAACTTTCAAGTTAAAAATGCTGAAATAGGGTGTTGATTGAAAATAATCACAGGTAACTTAAAAACTGGCTTGCTTCATGATTTCAGTAGAAACTGAAGAAGACATTGAAAACTTATGTTATTGAGCTTTTAGATCCTTTTTGCTTCATTTACTGATAGGTAATACTGTCTTTCTTTCAGAGAATACTTCGTGAATTCTACACTTTTCAGAAGATCGTCACCCAAATTCATTATAATACACCAACTTTCTCTTTTTTAAAGCAACAACTCAACTAAATTAGTTCAGGGAGAGATTATTTTCTGGGTTAGCCCCTTACTTTTAGCTTTAATTGAATGCATTCATAGCAACAATAGGACAGAAATCATTGTGAATCTTACCTCTTCATCAAGTTGCTTTTAGTTCCTCAGCAAGGAAATTTAAGTTACATTATGTGAAAATCCTTTCAAGATACAGTTTTAAGAATGCTAACAACTTTTTAAGCAACTATAAAAGTGGTGAAGATGAGTCTTGCATTTTAGAACTTCTACAAATATAAGTTTTAACACACATTTTCAGAATTTGCAAGATACTTCATGGTCCTGCCACCCACCTCCCCGCCCCCATTCCAAATCAAGTTGTTGCAGAAGATGAACAAAGTGGATTTGTGGAGTTCACCATTAATCATGGTGTCTTTCTGAATGCTGTGCATATCTGATAAGTCCTGTTGTAATGTAAAAGCTGAGTTGCATAGCATTGTAACAACAACAGCAAAATTAATGAGGTGAATGTAGTTGTGGCTTTTCAAAAATGCACACTCCCTTTTAGGTATTTTTTTTCTCATATAAGTGCAGAGAGCAATTAAGATGAGCAGCTAGAGGGGTGAGGGGTGCAGTCGGCACGAAGTGCGGCTTCTCGTGCTTCCTTTGGGACTCACCCTTGCCACAAAGCTGGCATAGGTGCACCCTGGAGAAAGAAGAAATCTGGAGAACCAAGAGAAGTGCTAAAAGTGAGAGTGGTGGACTGCAGAGGCCGGACTAGGTAAGTCATTGTGGGACTTCTTTTGTTTATAGCTATATGAAAATACACAATCTTTGCGCCTTCATTTCCATCTCTGTTTGTGATATTTCACAACAGGTATGTTCAAATGATCATATCTTGATTTAATAAGAAGAAATAAGAAGTCTTGTGCACCCACATGCAGCTGCTCCTTTCCTGTCTTTGCATGAGGTGGCAAAGAACAGGGAAGTCTTTAGTTAAAAATAATATCCTGTTTAGTAGCTTTGGAACTCACCAGTATTTGAAGCCATGGCTTGAGGTTGCCTTCAGATGGTGTCTAGAAGCATAGAATCGTAAGTTGGAAGGGGCCCAAGAGTCGTCAAGTTCAACCCCTGCAATGCAGGAATCTTAACTAAAGCATGACAGAAGACCATACAACCTCTGCTTAAAAGCCTCCAATGAAGGAGAATGCACCACCTTACAAGAGAGTCTTTTCTACTGTTGAACAGCCCGACTGTCAGAAAGCTCTTCCTGATGTTTAGCCAGTATTACCTTTCTTGTAACTTGAATCCTTTGGTTTGGGTCCTAGCCTCTGGGACAGGAGAAAACAAGCTTGCTCCATCCTCCACGTGACAATCCTTTAGATAACTGAAGAAGTTTGAAGAGTTTCCCAGTTCAGACAAAATGGGAAATGGGATATTCTTGACTGTGGATTTCTTGTTCTGTGCTCATGGAAAAGCCATGATACCGTTCAAACATGCTTATTGTGAAAGATTTATAGCAGGGGTCAGCAAACTTTTTCAGCAGGGGGCCAGTCCACTGTCCCTCAGACTTTGTGGGGGGCCAGACTATATTTTTTTTTGGGGGGGGGGGATGAATGAATTCCTATGCCCCACAAATAACCCAGAGATGCATTTTAAATAAAAGCACACATTCTACTCAAGTAAAAACATGCTGATTCCTGGACCGTCCGTGGACCGGATTTAGAAGGCGATTGGGCCAGATCCAGCCCCCGGGCCTTAGTTTGCCTACCCATGATTTATAGTGTACAGAGGGAGACATAAGTGAAATACTAATATGCTGGAGGGGAAATTAATACTGAATTCTTCATCAACTTTTTCTAGTTCCCAGCAGAAAATATAAAGGTTGAAGGAGCTCATTTTCTACTTTTATTGGTTTTAATTGAGCATGGAGGGTGGAAATCAACAGGAGCCATTGAACTACAGTAGTTCAGAATGGATCTATATCAAGTTGTATATCCTTCAATTAGCTCTTGGAAAGATACTGAGTTGCTGTCCAAGCTGTTGGGGGCAGGCCCAGTCCTGTCCTTGCTGTGTTGTCTTTGCTCTGGGAAGGGCTGACAGTGGATATGTGTTGTTCATCTTGTCTTAGATCCTGGCCATGAGGTTTGATGCCTCGCTTTATTGAAGGAGAGACACTGGACCTAAATGGCGCAGCATGACTTTGTTCCTGCCTGGCTTAACTTCTCTACACCACAGTCTGCTAAGGTAAACGACTGAATCTTGGATCAAACTCTTCAATAACATTTAGACAAGTTATGGCCAGGTTGCCTATTTGATTATGAAATGCATACATGGCTTTGTAAAATAGTTAAGTTATATTGGCCATACTGAGCCCGCATTAAAAGTGCATCAACAATAAAATGGTAGCACATTGCTACCAGAGTTGATAGCCCATTTGTCAAACTAATGCTTGCATTAAAAAAACTAACATACAAATTGCATTTTTGGACAATTTGTCACTAATGATCTGTCGTCATGACATGGGAAAAGCTGCAAAACTTAAATGTAACCAGTGCCCTCTTCAAACTGTTTTTTGCTTCATTGGGAAGGGTTGGTTTAAACTCTTGCGTTTTGTGTGGCTGCAATGTAGCCTATTCTAGTTACATTAATTGATCCATGCACTTTTGCCTCTGGCCCCACCCACCAGTGGCATGCATCCCCTGGAAGGTTCTCAGGGAATGTAGACCTCGGGTTGAAAAAGGTTCTCTGCCCCTGGTTTGGAATAGCCAGTCTCTCAAAGTCATGCACAGAGAAAATACAAACATTTACCATTACAGTAACACACAAAATTGTTAATTAATATGTGGGCAAAGTATGTGCCCTGAGGGACAAAGTGGATGTTCTGGGAACAACAAATGCTACAATATGACTGAAGCTAAGCTGGTGTTGTCCTGGAAGCCAGACTACTGGGAGCCCCTTATAAGAGTATACAGTCATACCTCGGGTTGAAGACGCTTCGAGTTGAGCGTGTTCGAGTTGCGCTCCTCGGCAACCCGGAAGTAACGGAGCGTGTTACTTCCGGGTTTCGCCGCTTGCGCATGCGCAGACGCTCAAAATGACGTCACGTGCATGTGCAGAAGCGGCGAAAAGCGGCATGCGCAGACGCGCTGTCGCTAGTTACATTTACTTCTAGATACGAACGGGGCTCTGGAACAGATCCTGTTTGTATCTAGAGGTACCACTGTATATATAATTTGGATAGGGTTGTATTTACCATTAAGATTCAAATGTGCAGCATGGGGGTGTGACATTGCTCCTGTGTGCCCAGTAGCAGCTATAGCCAGAAGTGCTTTTTGTTAGTTTTGATAGGTGCACCAGCAGTTCCCATTCCTGGTTAGGACAGACCTGGTAGCAATAATTAACGACAATATCCAGATTGGATTATCATAATGCATAGAACTATTATAATGCACTCAATGTGCACTTTCAGTAGCTTCTTATAAATGAAGAATCTAAATGCCATTTTCCAATATGGGTCCTAAACTGTTTGACAGTTGATCAATCTGTTACCCTGAAATAATAGCAAGATAATTTGCTGTCACAGTGTATTTAAAAGGAATCAAGGAAGGAACAGATTCCACACAATTGCAAACGTGTGGCTGAAGCTGGTACATATATACCAAATATAGCTTTGTTGGTTGGTTCTGGTGGTCACTGGAATATCACTTTTGAACAAAGTAGGAAACAGTCTGATAAACTCCTGAAAACTCATGCGGAGCTCATAATTCCAGAGCCTTTGCATGTTTTGATTATTATTTTTTCCTTAATAGGCCCCTGGAACCACTCTTGAGAAGCACGGAGAGCATCTTCCTCGGGGAGAGGGCCGCTTTGGAGTAAGCCGGAGACGCCACAACTCTTCTGATGGCTTTTTTAATAATGGTCCCCTCAGAACTGCAGGAGGTATATAAAAGGGCTCATACTAGAACTTGTACACACTGGTCTTAGGTTTTATTACTCACTTAGGTGCTGCAAACATTTAAATGCTTGAAAAACCTGATTGTCTGAGATAAAAGTGTGGAGGTTTTCAACTTACCCAGGACTTTGTAACAATTGTTTCCTATGAGAGAGTAAACTGTGAGCACTCCGTAGGTAGTATTCTGATTTTTCATGATGTGCTAGGAGTCTGTTGGCATACTTAAGCAAACGTCAAGAAGACAGCTGTGATAGAAGACTATAATGTCATTGCTTGTATGGTAGAATGGTTAGGGTATATTGTTCACTTGGACTTCATAATAAAGGCTGTAATCCCAAGATCTGGTTGGAGTAGTAAGGGTGATATTCTGAACTGACATAGAGCAGGGATGGGGGACTTTTCCCCCAGGTGGGCCAAATCTGTTTCTGCCCTACACTTTGCAGGCCAAATTTGGGCAGGGTCTCCCATCTGTCAATCACCCAATATCACAATGAGGTGATGTGCCTCTATGAAAGAACACTCCCAGTATGCCATCAAAGAGATTTGTTCCAGGATTGCTATGGTGTTTCCATAAAAATCAACTGATGGATGGTTAGAGTGTGCCCTGCTTCAGCAAGGGAACAATGATGAACTTGCTTCTAATTGTTCCATTGAAGCCACTTCAATAGCTGCATATGGCATTGGGGGGGAGGGAAATAGATAGGTGTGATTTGCCAGAAGTAGCTGGGCTGCATTGTAGGTCCAAATTGGCTCCTGCACCAGAGGTTCCCAACCCCTGACAAAGTGCATTGTTGCTGCACGCTGGCTTCATTAGAGATCTGTACTATGGCAGATATTTTAGGTACTGACTATTTTTATTCATACAACAACCTTTCTCTCATGCAGACTGCTGGCATCAGCCTTCCCTGCACCGTCATGATTCTGTGGACTCTGGTGCTTCTAAAGGAGTTCATGTTGGGCTAGCTGGCAATCAACCTGGCTGGTATGGTTCTTCACGAGGCCATGATGGCATGAATCAAAGAGGAGGAGGAGGAACTGGATCCCATCGCCACTGGAATGGCAATTTCCACTCCCGAAAGGGTTCAGCCTTTCAGGAAAAGCCACCTGCTGAGACGAGGGAGGAAAAGGAAGAAAAGGAGAAACTGCAATTTGAGGAGGAAGACTTTGTAAGTGTACAGTACTGTGTTTTCAACAAGGTTTCCTGCTGATTTTCACAAGCACTGATTTCTTCTATGCTTTCATGCGTCTCTGTGTTTCCCCAAACTGCATAATGTGTGAATGCTCTGCCCCAAGAGATGTGTCCAGAACATATGTCCACCTACATGTTCATAGGAAAACTCCTTTCTTTGGATATAGATGGGAAGTTCCTCCCACGTGCCAGTTGGGCAACCAATATCATTTTAGTTCCTTCCTCCTTCCAACTCACAGCTCTCCCTAAGGCTAGATGCTGATTAGACATACTGATTATTCCATGTTTAGTCTATATAAAAAATTAAATCTTCTTTTCATGCAGTACATCTGCTTCACTTAAACCTATTTGTATCTCCAACCTAGTTCTTTAATAAACTTGCTATTTGCTCACACTGGTTTGCAGAGTAATTAAGTACAACAGCAAAGGAACATTGTCAAGATGTTGGTATATAAATTGTGAGAGAATAATGTTGAATTTAAATTAAATTAAATTAAGTTTTTTAAACTTAGTCCTAGCTAAGTAACTTGAAAATAGAGTTAATATTCTGTATCATAGTAAGACATATGTTTTTCTTTGTTTTCTAGCCGTCATTGAATCCAGAAGCTGGAAAACAGAACAGCCAGAGTAAACCAGTTGGGACTCCATCTGGTGTTTGGGGTAGGTATTGAGGCATCATCGAACAGCCATCTTCTTAGTAAAAGATATAAATTGTCTTTCCATTTTCAGTCCCAAGAATTTTGAAGCAGATTGAGCTGAATCTTAGAATTTTCAAAGATGCCTTGGATATTTAGTGGTAGTGTTGTAGAGTCCTTGGGTCTCACCAAGAAATGCCTGTGTTCTCTTCTCTTCTCCCCCCACCCCATCATATTTGACATTCAGCATCCGAGACATTTAAATCCTGCCCATTCAGTATCTAGAGCATTTCTCCAATTCTTTCCAGCAATGTGGAAAGTGCTGTGTTTCCCATCCCTCATCCATCCAAGCAAGAGAGTGATATTTGAGCCCTGAGCCTTAAGAAGCCACATCGTAAAGGGTGGACTTGATTCAATGAGTTATGGATCCTTTTTAATGCCCAAAGTAGCCCATGTCATCTACTAACCATTAATCACACATCTACTGTACCAATGTTCAGCCATGTAACATCCAAAGTAGTCCTTAAGATTGTTAGGCCCTATGCATACCACTGGTTACAGACATATAGCCAGAATGGAACATACTAATTGAAAGTCGAAACTTTTTGTGAGAGGCCTAAGCTAAACATAGCTACTTGCATCTTAGTGCTCATCTAAACTATATTGGGCCTAAAAATGAGCTTGTAACAATATGCACAACTGATAATTCCTACTGGTCCAGGTTTGTTCCCTCCAAAGACTCTCATGGAAGAATAGTGAATATAACTTGTTTCACCAGATTGCAATTATATAAAGCGTTGTCCTTTAGAATTGGGCTTTATTTGCAATGAATATCCATCTTGGTTGAAAACCTAAAATAAATCTATTTGTTAACTACATTTCCAGACTAGTCCTTCTCAGATCCTGTCCTATATGATGAGCTGTCACCAAATATTTCCTGTTTGAGCAGGTGCTAAAATAACTGGGTTGAGAAAAGAGTGAACTTGTAGAAAAGAGGACTACGTTTCTGCCTTCCTGTAACAAGTAGTGTCTATAAAACCATCTATTCCCATTTGAACTAGGGATGAACTGCATTTTTAATGAAAATTTGGTGTGTTTTTCTTCCCCACCCCTTTTACTAGAAAACCCTCCTAGTGCCAAGCAACCTACCAAGATGCTGGTCATCAAAAAGGTTTCAAAAGAAGATCCTGCTGCTGCCTTCTCAGCTGCATTTACGTCACCAGGGCCTCAGCTTTCAAATGGCAACAAGGCAACTACCATTGTCCCAAGTGTCTACAAAAATCTGGTTCCCAAGCCTGCAACACCCCCTTCCAAGGTATGCTTAGGTTCACTCAGATAAAAGGTAAAAGTACGACTGCAGGGGAAGTTTTAACATTCTGTTGACTAACCTAAAGGAAATAGTAAATTGTGCTGTACTAAACCTATACAATACTATTAGAATGTAAATGGAAATAAAGGGTTCATGTTGAAGGTTAAAAGTTTTTTTAAAAAAACTGGTTATCTTGAGTTGGTGTTCTATATGCACTTCCCTCCTTTTCTCTTTTCTTCCCGCTCCCCAATGTGAGGGTGTGCCCTCTCTCCTTTGCTGAGAAGGGCTGCATTATGACAACCAGTAGATGCAGGAACATTTGGTATTAAGCTCTCAACAATCTCTATTTACTTGTGACTTAGGGACACGTGCCAGGTTTCCTCGTTACTCCAGTTCTGCATGCTTTCTCCCCAGCTGTTCCTGGCTTCTACTTTTGTATTCCCTGTCTTCAACTCTTAGTGCTTCCTCTACAGTTTAAATGTTTTACACAGGGTGTTACCATATAATCACCATGCACAACATGTGTCTTGTAGGATAAATGCAGCCCTCTCCATTTGCACACATTCAGGGGAATTCTAATTGCCCACTGTTGCACCTTCTCACCTCTTTGTAGGAATATGCAAGGCCTGCCAAAGCCTGTCACAAGTAGAAATGGGGATGGGAAACTTTCTACATTACTCCGACCACTTTCTTTTCCTTTTCCTTTTCCTTTTCCTGGATCCGTGATGGGGCTGGTGCCAGTTTTTTCAGCCTGCTGACAAAAATATAAATAGTAATCAAGGTGACTGTCTAGTTTTAAGCAAGATAAAAAATTAAGTTACTGGATTAATTATTGGTGTTGCTTTTATGCAGTTTTTTGCTCCCTAATGTTACTGTATTTGTTCTTTTCTCATGGTAGCCAAGCCAATGGAAAGCTAACAGAAGTGAACATAAACCAGGCTCGCTCTCCTCCAGCCGTGATTCTGCTTTTACAAGTCCAGTGTCTGTAACCAAACCTGCTGTACTGGCCAGTGGCTCTGTTCTCACCTCTTCCAAAGAGGTAAGCTTGAAAGGTTGAATTAAAAAACTGGATTTGAAAGTATTTGAACATCAGTGAACATACACTTATGATCACCCAGCTTAAATGACACAAATAGAAATGAGGTAGGGAGGACAGGATCCCTCTGGTAAAAAGTAAACTCTGGAAGATTTGCAGCACTTTTATTCTCTCTACAGAGTCCTTCCAGCATCACCCCTCCCATTGAAATAAACTCCTCTCGCTTGACAAAGCTGATGCGCCGCACCACAGATAAGAAGAGTGAGTTCTTGAAGGCCTTGAAGGATGACCGGAATGGGGAGTTGCCAGAGCGCCATGAGAGCAACAAATTGGAGGATGTAAGGGTGCAGCTCCGGTTTTTCTTTCTAGAGTATTAAAACGATAGGGATTTTTGAGTGTGAAATGAAATGCTGTGTTAAAGGTATGGCAGAGCTGGTATTTTCCAACTATTCTAAGTGCTTGACTTGTCTGGTAATCAGCTACTTTTTATGGGAATTTGATTTTTGGTTCTGTTCTTTGGCTTGTGCAGATAGGTGATAAATGATAGTTAAAGGAGTGAGTTTTCGCATAAACAAAATATGTGTCCTCTTCATGCACAGTATGTCCATTTAGTGAATAACCCCTGCAGAAATTCATTTTTAATCTATATATACTAGTTTTTTCAACAAATAAAACAAAGCTATATTTAATTTTTAGAAATGTAAAGTGCATAACACAAAACAGTATAGACATTTTCATTCCCCCACTCCCCAAATAATTGTGCTGGACTAGCACATTAAGGTAATTGAAAGCTTTTAAAGTCTTTTTACTTTTGGGAAATAAAGGGTGATAGAGGTATTAAAGAGTACTGGCTACTGATCTTGGAAGCAAAAGACCTTATTGGTTACAATAAGGTTATAACTAAGCATTTTGTCAGATGTCTGTGGGACCAGATCCAATGTGTGCAGAATACATGGTTAAGTTATTTGTTGGGAACCCGTTCACAATCCTGATTGTAGGATTCATCAAGGCTCGAAAATTGCACACATAGCACCCTGTTGGACATGTGTTTTTACTTTGCTGGATTGTGTTCTTATTAGTAGGACTTGCTTCACCATTCTAGAAACTACAGCTTCTAGATAGAGGGATCTTGGGGGAAAAAGAATATTTTTACAATGTAATTTGTTAGTATTAATTATGGTCAGGAAGGCAGGGTATATATTGATTATTTTCCCAAAAGTAAACTCCTTACAGAGCAATTTGTGCATGTTTTGAAGTCTTGCTGGGCTTATTCCATAGCAAGTGTGGTTTTGATTGGATAGATAGCAGTACAAGAGTGGTTGTTTGATACTATGATCTAAAGGCTCAGCAGCCTTCACCAGGCAATTTGACTTATTTTTTTCTCCCTTGCCAGATGGAGGATGGCAGCACACCAGAACCAAAGGAAAACTGGGAAGAGAATTGTCACCAGAATGGTCTTTCTCTGCCTTTAGAAGAAGGGGAGAACCTTTCTCACTCATTAGAAGCAGAACACAGGTAAGAGGGAAGACAGACTGCTAAAGAAAATCTTTTTCTACCAGCGTTGTAGATAAATTAGTGGAATAAGAGTCAGAAGTAAAAGTAGAACCTGAAACTTCTTAAAGTTCTATCACCAACCACAAGTTATTGTCAGTTTTTGCTTCTATTGTTTGATCATGCTGTTCTTGCAGCGTAGTGTGCTGTCCTGCAGTGGGTGCTCATATACTGGGAGGGTCTTTGCACAGAGGCATATTATTTCAAAGGTGGTGGCAAGGGTGTAACTCCCTAACATCTATCTATCACACATAAGACCAGAATGTTTTTGTGGAATAAATCATTAAGTCTTCTGACACTACCCCAGCTGTTGGAGCACAACAGTAGATACTTAATGTCACGGCTAGATCAGGCCTGCATAAACCTGAACCCAGTAATTGCTCAACCTCTGATGCTGCAGTGCTGCTTCCTCAGAGCAGGCATAGGAGTAATGGCTCCTTATCTGTTAGGGATGCTTTAGTTGTGATTCCTGCATTGCAGGGAGTTGGACTAGATAACCCTTGGGATAGCTTCCAACTCTACAATTCTATGATTCATAACAGGAGTAGGGAGCAAGGTGTATTTGCCATCATTTGTCACAGAGTCCCTGTTGACAGTGATGTTGCTGCCACAAGGTAGTGAGTTGGGGAAGATACATTTTCTCCCATTTGCTCTGGAAGAGGCAGATGACACAATTATTTTCCCCATTATTTATCACCCCTCAGATTTTGGCATACTGACAAGCACCTAATACATGCATGTCAGCATGCAGCCACAAAAAAAACTATTCCTCAATAATAGTTGATTTCTTACTAATGAATAAAGAATACAAGAGGTGTATTCTACTCAGTTATAACCTGAGAGGGAGAAGGGGGCAACCCCATCCACTTGGCTTCTAGCCCTAGCCATCACTGGTCCAGTTCTTTCTCACATTAACCCTCAGAAGTGGGCCTGTCACAAAAAAGCTCCTGATTCCTGCCATATTCCTTTTTCATTCCCCAGTCCCTCATAACCACATCATTTACTTTCATTACCTAGGTCCTTCTTCATAAAGTCACCCCATGTTCCTTTGCAGCTGAAGAATACTTGTTAAATAATTGTTAACAATTATTTAACATTATTTAACAAGCATTGTTAACAATGCTTGTTAAATAGAACTTAACTAATTCATGTAAAAATCAGTGGTGAGTATCTATAGAAAACGTGTCAATTTTGTATGCATTGTGATGTGGGGGTGGGTCTTTCTTCCATTGTTAATCCAACCTCTCTTTCTCAACCCACCCCATCTCCTTTAAATTGATAGGTTATTGAAAGCAATGGGGTGGCAAGAGTACCCTGAAAATGATGAGAATTGCCTTCCCCTCACAGAGGATGAGCTCAAAGAGTTCCAAATAAAGTCAGAGCAGGTATGTTTAGCTTTTGTGTTTAATATTATTATCAGTCTTTTAGCATTGGTCATTTCCTAGTTTTATTTCATAAAACCTGTGAGATGACTGCAAAAGCGTCTACTCGTTATTTTTTTGCATGTTGACAAGCCTATATAGACTTTGTTTTATATGTACATAGTATTAGAGTGTACTTTGCTTTGAGCTCTGAATGGAAAAGGGAAACAAATATGAATTCATTTTCCTTTCTTTCCTGCAGCTAAGAAGAAACGGCTTTAGGAAGAATGGATTTCTTCAAGGCCGTGGCAACAGTCAACTATTCTCCCACTGGAGAAGCACTTTTAAGACAGAGATTGAGGAGTCGGATACAGAAACAAGTAGCAGTGAAACTTCAGACGATGATGCCTGAAAATAGGCACAAAAAACCCACAGTACAAAACAACCCAGCAAACTCAGTTTGTAGTTCAGCACATAAATGTTTGGGGTTCAAATGAAGCAGAGTTTATTCTGTCTCAAGTCTGTTCAGTTTCTTTTTATTGTTGAAAACTTCATGCACAAGGGAAAGAATTATATCCCAAAGAAGAAAGCTATTGGCTTATTTTCGGTTTTGCCCTTCTATGCTTCATAGAGAACAGTCCATGCAGATGGGTGACTCATGGCCTTCTGGTGCAAGGCATAGTTTCAGTCTCATCAGCAGCAGGATGTAAGGGACTGAGTTGGGCAGCCACATGCTTCTCATACTGCCGTCCACATAGCAAAATGCTGTGCGGCAATAATGTGCTAAAACAATCATTGTCAATGACAAAATGGCTATGGAAGTTCTAATTGTGTTAAATTAATGCTAATAACATGGAACTTTTTTATTTTGTTTTTTGGCGGCTCGGGGAGCTTCATCACTTAACCAGGCGTGTTTGGTTTTTTTTCTTTTTTGGGGGTACAGCTGTAAAATATTTGGATATAGGAATTGTTTGTGTTCTTGCAACCTTGATATTCAGGGTGGATTGTAAAATATAAATTTTTGTGGGACTTCAAAGATTAAGATTATTTTGATAACATTATTTACAGATTTAAAAAAGTGACTATCACATTGAGTCTGTATGAGGGGGAAAACTACTGCAACAAAAGATAACTAACTTGGAATAAATATTTTGCATCAGTTTGCCAATTCTGTGTCTCATTTCTCATGAAATACTATATAAGTAAGGCAACTTGGCTATCCTTATTTTGTGTTATTGTGGCCTTCATATAACAGAACCTGCTTTAAAGAAAAGTTTTGAGTAACTTGAATAAATCCTGATTTGGTTTTTAAGCAAGGGGTCCCTGCTCCTGCCAACCTAGCAGTTCGAAAGCACATCAAAGTGCAAGTAGATAAATAGGTACCGCTCCCGCGGGAAGGTAAACAGCGTTTCTGTGCGCTGCTCTGGTTCGCCTGAAGCGGCTTAGTCATTCTGGCCACATGACCAGGAAGCTGTACGCCAGCTCCCTCGGCCAATAAAGCGAGATGAGCGCAGCAACCCCAGAGTCGGCCACGACTGGACCTAATGGTCAGGGGTCCCTTTACCTTTACCTTACCAGTTGAATAGTTGTACTTCTCTTTCTCTCTGTGCAGAGCAATTTTACATTACAACACCGATATTATCAGAACTGAGCATAAATTAACATCTGAGTGTAAAGTGAGGGAGAGAGGCTAAGTTGAAATGCTAATGTTTATACACTGAAGAAAATATAGAGAATTCAAATCAAACCTACTTTAATTTGATACTCATTGTGTCATTCTCAACCTAGACTAACTCACAGGATTGTTCTGAGGATAAAACAGGGGGCGGGGAACCAAGTATACACACACACTATTTAATTTGTATACCGCACTATACCTGCAGGTCTTGGGGTGGTTACAATATAAAATCACAAAATACCAAACAACCCAATAACCCCCCCTATATGCTATATTGAGTTCCTTGGGGGAAAGTGGGAAATAAATACAGTGGTGCCTCACAAGACGAAATTAATTCGTTCTGTGAGTTTTTTCGTCTTGCGAGTTTTTTCGTCTTGTGAAGCACGGTTTCCCAAAGTCTTCAAAATCACCAAAGTCTTCAAAAACCTCAAAAAAGGCTACCACACCGCGTGCTATGAGTTGCTCCTCGAAGTCACCCTGGGTATTAACGGTTTTAAGAAAAAGGAAACAAACTTGCAAGACGTTTTCGTTTTTTTTCGTTTTTCGTCTTGCGAAGCAAGCCCATAGGTTAATTCGTCTTGCGAAGCAACTCAAAAAACGAAAAACTCTTTCGTCTTGCGAGTTTTTCGTCTGGCGAGGCATTCGTCTTGCGAGGTACCACTGTATAATAATCCACAGGCTCTAGAAACAGCTTCAATTCATAAAATTCAAAGACACAATTATTGCACCCAAAGAACTTAGTTCCTTATGCTCAGCAGTTCCTTGGGCTTGAAGCTTCCTGAACAACACACTCATTGCTACATGGCAAATCACTTCTAAAAGCAATGCATTATACAGCATGGGAACCTGCTATTCAACAACAAAACCTCACTAGGAATGTGCAATCTTAAGAGGGCCTTTGCATCAGACTCAACATGAACAACCAAAATATTTAATTTGCAGAAATAGCAGGAATATATTATGAATCAACATACTACAGGCAACTTATATATACACAGCCAGCATAGGAGACTGTATCCTCTGCTCGCCAATATGCAGAAATCATCTGCTGCAAGTACTCTCAATCACATGTTCAGGTAACAGCAGAAGAATGCTGACTCACCAAAGGATAACATTTATTGTGACTCTGGACTACTGTAATAAAAAATAAACTTAGCTGAACTTGTAGGATGGCTATATAGGTTCACATGTACTTAAACATTTATCAACTTTCAAATTAATTTCAACTAGGTTGCAAGAATTTCATAGTAAAATCTGGAACTTTCCTAGAGCTGTAGTGATATGACATGACTAGACTCTCCGCTGGGGATATGGCTATGCTTGGTAAGACAGGTGATATTTGTGAAGAATCAGTCGCATGTCAGTTTTGATGCACAGTGGAGGATTAGAATGGGGTATCGGGTTTTTTCCTAACTAAATCTTGGTCTCCTATTTGGGATTTTGTAGATTTTCTGCATCAGCAAAGAGTTGAACTTCAAGGTCCCATCCAATTCTGATTCTATGCTGAAATACTGGCTTTCCGGCATTGACACCTTAAAGTCTAAAGCAGATTTATTGTGGTACATGCTTTCATAAACTAGAGCCCATTTGTTAGATGTATAAAGCGTTGTCTTCAATGTGTGTGTAAATGTGTATGTGTGTGCATGTATATATGGGGTGCAGTGGATTTTTGACATACCTATGCAAAGCCCAAGTTTATAGAAGATACCCTTATCATAATAGTTGTAACTGATGTTTCCTTCGTATCTAATTTAGCACCTGTCGGGGATAATGTGACTGGAGTAAGATTTGTTAAGAAATCCTAGTTTTTAATTCAAGTATTATTATTTTTGAGATCAGCACTAGCCTATTCCAAATGTTCTGGTTTCCATCTTTCTCAGACTGTTACAACCCTTCACTGTATGCCATTGTCGCCAATGTCATATCAAACTGAAGGACAGGCGTAGTTGGTACCACCTACATTTTGTGTTAATCTGTCTTTCCGTTTCGTTGGGTGCGTATTTTTTTAAACTACCGGATACAATTATTTTACAAGAGCCGTGTACCTTTTTAACGGTCATGCAGGAGAGGGAACATTAGCAGGCTTAGCTTACCTGTCATGGCTGCAGAACTGCGGAAAACGTGCGAGAAGCTCCCTTTTCTACAGCTACTGCAAGTGGAGAAACCTTCCCACGCGATTGCATGGGGCGAGTAACAGACCTGCGCAGAGTAGCAAAGCACTGAAGCACTAATGCGGCGTGGAGCTGGGCTGGGTACAAATGGCTCGCTCTCCTCCGCGCACACCTGCCATCGGACACACTTCTGTTCTTGTCTTTGCCGCGGTCGCATTCCTTCGCCGACCGCGCAGGCGCGTCTCACTTCGATGACGTTCAGACGCACAGAGGACGCGCTGAGATCACGCAGAAGCCATCGCGAGATTTGACGGGCAACAAACCGCCCCGTGGTGCTTTGCAGCCTTCTCTTTGCAGTCGGCGCCTCCGGAGAAGGATGGGTGAGTAGCTTGCGAAGCTGGAGGGTGAGGTCCTTCCATCCGTTCCCATCCGGCCAGGTGGTCGATCCAGCGGGGATGCAGCTCAAGTAATGGGGGACGGGGGCGTTTGCACGATTCAATGCAGGGTCTATTTGGGCCGGTGGCTCCTTTTTGCCGCTTTCATGGTTGGTCCCCGCCTCGGCCGCAGGTTGTGCCTGGGCCTGCGTGCCTTTGCCATTTTGACGCGTTGGCTGCCTACCCTGGAGGAAGGGTCTGCGGGAAGCGGCCTCCCACTGGCGTTGAGCCAAGGGCCCCCTTCGCGTTCCTTTGCCCCGTGTTGCTGTGATGAAGCATCTTCCACCGAGAATGCCGTGCGGAGACATTTTTTACCTTGGAGAGCTGAGTAACTCTGGGCATAAGGAACTCTTGCAGTCGGCTGAGGAGAAAAGGCCCTGCTCTGTGCCGCGCGCTCGTCTTCACCATTTGGCTTTTGTTCTGTCCGCTCAGGTATCTCCAGGGACAACTGGCACAAGCGCCGCAAGACCGGGGGAAAGCGAAAGCCCTACCACAAGAAGAGGAAGTATGAGTTGGGGCGACCCCCTGCCAATACCAAAGTATGTGCTTGTAGCGAATAATTACTTGTGCAGCTAGCTGTCTCTTTGTGTTTTTGGTGCTCAGCTTATGACTGCAAAATCCCTGTTTAAATTAGAAAGCATATACAGTATATGTTTCTTGAAGTACTTGAGACTTCCATGCACTGCTCAGGACCCCTCAGTATTCATTGCAGGGGTTCTTTGTTCTTGAGTAACCTGAAAGAGCACACTTTAAAATGCTGATCGTATGGGATTATCCTAGTTTAGAGTCATCAAAGGTTCATGTTATAAAAGATAGTAATTTATTTTTGTGTGCTTGACCTGGAAGTAGTATGAATGTGCAAAAATTAGACTATAATCAGAGTACAACTCATAAATTATAACATAATAAAAGTGTGCCCCTGAATTTCCCAGTAGTAAGTGTGCTCCAGAGTTTATTTTTCTGACTGTGAGTAGCATGCAGCAATTTCTTTCTTGTACTTATATGTATGGACCAGGATCCATTCTACTTTGTGTTCATACAACTGCAGGGGCACTCTTGGTGGGATGTTTGACTTCAAGCAACTGAAGCACACCACAAATATGCCATTTCACAAATTGCATCTGAATTTCCCCTTAGACTCTATAGTGCGGCATGGGGAGTTAAACACAAGTCCAAAGTCTGGTGTGCTGGAGTAGTTGCATAAATAAGTAGATCTGAACCATTATATTTGGAATGGGAGGCAACTGGAGTGATGAGAGCTACACCTTAGGTGGATGCGAGACCGTTTTGGTCATTGTTGCACTCACCAATGCTAGGGGTTGTCATAGTTACACTGACCATGTTGCCATGTGGTTTGAATATTTGTAAGAAGATTTTAGTGCTGTGTACCCGTGTGGTTTGACCTAGTCTGTTCTGTTTTGTTGTAGATTGGACCTAGGAGAATTCACACAGTAAGGGTACGTGGAGGGAATAAAAAATACCGTGCTCTGCGTCTCGATGTTGGAAACTTCTCTTGGGGGTCTGAATGTAAGTGCAAAATGGCTCCTCTGTGTGGCATTAGCTAGGATGGTACATACTAGTGACCTGGAAGCTAAAACAAGAGAACAGTGATGATAACTTTGACCTTAAGAGAGTTTTGGTGAATTCCTAAACTCTCGGTGATGGTGGTGTCATAGTTACCCTGAGTGAGTGCATTGTTGCTTCAAGGGCGGTTATGTAAATTTAAAGGGGAAACAAAATTGTTTGTATACTACATTTGAGGTGTATTTTCCCAAGAATTTTATTGTGTGAATTGATTTTGATCACAGATGCTGTTAAACATTGAGTAATGCTGTGAGATGTTAAAGATGGATTGAAAAACTTCAATTCTGTGGCCAAGGGACAAGAAGGGAGGAGGCCTGGTCTAAACATTTTGTGGCTACAGAGACAATAACAGGCAAAGAAAATCCCCTGCTGCGAAAATCAAATACTGAGTGTACATTGAGTGTGATTCCTTATTGGTGCCTTGGAGCGCCTATTTGGGTTAGTCTGCCCAAAGTTTCTTACTTTATGGAAGTGTCAGATTACAATCTTGTTACTATTTTTTTTCTAATTGGTGGAGATTATTCACTTGATTGCAGATTCTGTATTTCCACCATTCCATATTTAATATTGAACTTGATCATTAAAATTTTGTGCAGATGGGCAATTGGAACACACCTTTTCATTAATTGATTGTAGACCATTGGCTTTTGACCAATATTCCAGACTATCTTCCAAAGGCAAAAGGTAATCATAAATTTAAAAACAGAAGGTACAGGCACACGTTCAGTTGACGTGGAACCTTCAACTCGTGGGTTGTTTTCGACCTGGAAGGGGGCGGGGTGGGCTTATGTGCGCTCTACCAATGTGTGAAGGCCCAGAACGCAACCCATTCACAGACAGGGAATTGTTTGTAAAGCATTTGCCTTTCACAGAAGGGGATAAGTTGTTCTACTGAAATCGGGAAATACTGCACATTTCTAGGACTGCTTCTATGCTGTTGTTTTGTCTTACAGTAGTAAGTGCAGAAAATGCTCCTTCCCTATGGTACTGGTCTGTAACAGATTATATTTTTTAAAAGTTGAGGTTTGCAGAAAGAGTGGGTTGGTTAAACTTGGGTCTGCGGAAATTCTTTCCAAATTGTAGTATGCAAATTCCAATTTTCCTCAAGATCTTTAAATGGGTGTTTTAAAAGTAGATGTAATAGAAACTTCACAGCTGTATTTTTAAAGCAGAAGCTGTATAGATCCTGCAAATTTCAACCTCCAAGGGGATTTCGGGGCCTATGGTTTTTATGTACATGAGAGGCTCTTTTGCCATGGATTTGTATTTTGTTCTTGGAATTTGTAACATGGTCTCTTCTCTTTACAGGCTGTACCCGCAAAACCAGAATCATTGATGTAGTGTACAATGCGTCTAACAATGAATTGGTGCGCACAAAGACCCTGGTCAAAAATTGCATTGTCCTTATTGACAGCACACCATACCGACAGTGGTATGAAGCCCACTATGCCTTGCCACTCGGGCGCAAAAAGGGTGCCAAGTTGGTATGTATTAAGTGGGTCTGCAGAGGCAGATGGTTGTCCTGTGCTTTTTAATTGTTAAGTGTTCAGCCACTGTGCCCTAGAGTTTAGGGTTCTTCTGTCTTCTGGTGAGGATACCTTTGTCCAGTTCTGCTTCTGAATGGAGAGTGATGACTGACATTAATCTGAAGAAGACATCTGACCACCCTCCATTGTTGGTTCTTGTCCAGTTACAGCATCTCTTTGCTGATATGGGTACAGATGTTTTGAATTAAAAATTCAGAAAGTTAAATGAATTCTTGATGTACACAGTGCAGGTACTGGCTCTTTCTATTACTTGTCACTTGGCCAGGCTCAGATCCTCAATATTGTAATCATAGAATCTTAAGAGTTGGAAGGGACCCCAAGGGTCATGTTGTCCAACCCCCTGCAATGCAGAAATCTCAGCTAAAGCATCCATAACAGATGGCCGTCCAACCTCTGTTTAAAAACCTCCAAGGAAGGAGAGTCCACCACATCTCCACTGCTGAATAGCTCTTACTGTCAGAAAGATTTTCTGAATGTTTAGTCTGAATCTCCTTTCTTGGAACTTGAAGCCATTGGTTTGAGTTCTACCCTCCAGAGCAGGAGAAAACAAGCATGCTCCCTCCTCCATGTGACAGCCCTTAAAATACTTGAAGATGGCTATCTCCTCTTTTTCAGGCTAAACATTCAAGCTCCTTCAATCACTTGTTAGTAAATTATATACTGCTTAATGCCAAATGAGACTTCTATGTTGGTTACAAAAACCAATTACATAGACATTAAATGGGTGAAATTCTGGGAACTGACTTATCAGTTGAACTCCAGTTCTATTCACATGCTTCTGCTCTTGTTCCAGACTCCTGAGGAAGAAGAAATCTTAAACAAGAAGCGTTCAAAGAAAATTCAGAAGAAGTATGATGAAAGAAAAAAGAATGCGAAGATCAGTAGTCTTCTGGAGGAGCAGTTCCAGCAAGGGAAGCTACTTGGTGAGACTCTGAAACAGGAAAGGGTGCTGTGTTTGCCAGTAGCCTAGGTGCTGTGGTGGGTGGATGCTGTTTTATCTTATAGTTATTATAAAATTGCATTTTATTACCTTCTGGATTTCAGGAAACCCTATGGTACTAATTCAGCAAATCTGACTTTGCATTGCTGATTTGCTCATTCAACTCTTGGAATAGTAGTTGGCAAAAGCTGAGAGACTCTACTAGAAAAGTGTTACAGGCTTTTCTCAACCACGATTGCCACATGTGTAAAGTCATTCAAGTGGCAGGCAACATTGTGTTCCCTGGTGTTTTGAAGTTGGCCTTGTGACGAAAACTTTGTCCAGTTCTGCTGCTGAATGCAAGTGGTGACAATTCAAATTCTGAAGGTGACTTCATCAGGATGGTTTGGTGGTTCCTTAGACTTTGCAACTTGGGGAGGGGAGATGGTATGATCCTCCCACCCACCCCAATTTGGAAAAAAGATGGGTTCATTAGCATTAAATTGCTTTGTCTCAAGAGGTTAGCAATGATGTCCTGGCATGAAAGACTGGCAAGAAGTACATTACACAGGGAAAAGCAGCCCAGTTCTTCTTACTTGATACTTCCCCATTTCTAATATGATTTCGTTTTGCAGCTTGTATTGCCTCCCGGCCTGGGCAGTGTGGTCGAGCAGATGGATACCTTCTGGAAGGCAAGGAACTAGAATTCTACCTGAGGAAGATCAAAGCCAGGAAAGGCAAATGAACAGTCACTGTATCTAATGTGCTGAATAAATACCTACAGAGTCTTGTATAAATGATTGATGTGATTATTTATGGACAGTGAGGCAAAGACTTGAGTATGGTTTACTGTGACCATGTGAACGTGTTGGTTGCTGATGAGGAGCTCACACCTACGTAGCTTTCTCCCAGGACTTTTAAGTGCTATGGGATGAAAGCTAATGCAAGGTTTGTCTTAATATGTCTTCTAAACCTGGGATCCTAGTTAGGGTTTCTCCTCCTTAACCATGATCTGTAGCCAATGTTTGTCCTGTGGTTACACGTTGTGGTTAAGGAGGAGACACAGTAACCAGGATCCTGGGTTTGGACAAAATACTAAGGCCAGACATTTGTTTAGCTGCTGTTCTACATTGATACTAAAAACCCAGGGAGCAGTTGCTTCCTCCTGTTTAGGAGCTAGTGCATTCACACTAAGTATGCTTGTATGGAAGTTTTTTTAAAAAAATGAGTGAAAGTTGTTTGACTTGGAAGCGTCATCCGCTTTAAAAAGCACATGCTGTTGTAATGGTAGGGTCAGGCTTTTCCTTACCACTATACTAAAATGCCACCCTTAGAGCTGTGATTTTGGCAGGCAGGATTGCCGAACGGGATTCTTCACGGTGTAGAATTGGTAGTCTCCAAATGCCATCAGGCATGCCTACTAATACTACTCCCTCCAACATGCATTGAGGGGGTGTGGGTTCACTTTTGTTTAGAATAGTATATAAGTAACTAAGGACTTAATGACCATCAATCTGCCATGGTTGTTTCATTTGTGTGTTGAGTACTCTGTAGTATAACAGCAGCAAAGTTTTGCTTTGCATTTACGTCTTTGCTAAATTGCCCAAGTCTTAAAGCTAATAACTGTTAAGTTTCCCTGAATAGGGTTGAAGCTCTATACTTAGGTATGATGAACTCTCATTATACAGTATGGCGCTATAAATGTCAGCAGCACAGGTGTGTTGTCTTCTATTTGTTCTCCCAGTTCCCTTGCAACATGAGCTTTGTAGTGTGCACTTCAAAATATCCTGCTTTTGGTGGCCCCATGGAGAACAGATTTTCAGAGCCTTCATCCTCTTCCAATGCATAGCATATGTTTCTAATGATTAGGTATGTGCACAGGGTATTAATGAATGGAAGCTGAGAAAATTATTAATGCGTTTGTTGTTGGCAGTTGAACTGCCAAAATTGGAAGCTGTTAGTTGAATTTTTTACATGATTATTACTACATTTAGCGACAAAACAACTGGTGCACTGCTAAGTGTCTAGATTGTCTTCTTCGTGACATTCTGGTCTCATTCCAGTGCAAGATTAACTCCCTTCTAGCAGAAGGGCCAGGCCTCTTTCCAAAAGTCTGGTCCTTTCGAAGGCTGGGAACAATACTATCTTCTAACAAGATACATTTTCATCAGTTTGAGAGGGTAAGGACCAGTTCTATGAATGGGAGCATGGATCTCTAAGAACATACCAGACAAATAAATGGCTTGCTTATATGGGTTTGGACAGAGAGCAAATCTCCAGACTTCCACATAACTTTACAGAAAGCATATGCAGCTAGATACAGTGCTCATCCCACTACTAAAATTTTACAGTAATAGTCTAAAATCAAAGTTGGAGTTAACTTTTATTCAAGAGATTATCCTAAGAAATTTATTTTGTGTGTATAGCTCTAGGAATGCTCATATGGTCAGATTTCAATGCCTTCATTCATAGCCCCTTCTCAGGCTGCACTTTCAAATACGCTTACTAAGAAGTAAGCCCCATTGACCTATTTACTAATAAATATGCATATTTATACTAATAGGAGGAGGGAGAGAGTAATCCTGTACATGCTTACTCAGAAGTAAATTATTTTGAGTTCATTAACTCAGGTAAATAAGTATAGGATTGCAGCCTTACAATAAACATTTTGAAAGTAAGCTTTGAATTTGTTTCATTGTTCTTCCCTAGAATTTCCTCCTACATTTCAGTTTAACCACACACATTTCTCTATTGAAAAAAACCTTTCAGCTATTTATACAGTATGTAAAATTAACATTTCTTAGATTTGTTCGATAAATATAAATAAACTAAACTAAATTAACTCTTCAACTGAGTGCTGATTCCAAAAAGCTGCATCACTGCAAGTACCTGTTTATTCAAGCTTTTTTTTACCTGTTCAAGGACAACCCTGCTAGGTAAAAGGATGATGTTTGTATGTGTGTTCACATGTCAGTACTTTCTTCCTATTTTGAGTGTGTGGCTTTCAATATGAGAATGGGCAGCTGCAAATCTTTGGCATTAGTGTTTTTATCCCTTGATGTATGCATGTTTAGATAGGGCAAGTTTCTCTTGTATATACTGGACCTGTGTGGCTTGAGTGGGACATTAGTCCTAAATTCTGCCTTAAAAAGATTGGGCCTTAGTTAGATGGTTGGTCACTGATACTGATCTCATCTGGGGGCTCCACCACTGTAATGCTGGGCAACTCTTTTCTCAGATTCTCAGCGTTTGTGTTCTTATGGGGGACTTTGAGGTGGGAGCCAGGGGAGGAGGTTTCACTAAGTCTGGTCTCTTCCATGTCTTCTTCGTCAATGCGACCAACTGCTTCAGGATCTTCCCTGCGATAGAAGCTGGGGCTGGAAGAGGGGAAAGTGCCCTCAGTCCTTAGGCGCAGTAGCTGGGGATGCTGCATCCGACTGCCCTTGCCAAAATTTTTGAGGCTGACTGCAGGAGAGGCAGCTGCAGTGAGGAAGCGGTTGAGCAGGGGAGTCTGAATGCGGCTCATGCTGGGTGATGCTTCCACCTGCTGGCTCTGCTCTGGGTCATCACTCATCCTGCAGAAGGGGAACAGACTGGGTGAAGTAAACACACCTGATTGAAGCACTGAAATTAGCCCATACCATCAGAATGGTCAGATTTCCTACTATGAAATTCAAAGGAAAATGATGCAACAGTGGGGTGGATGCATTCATACAATCTTGCCAAATGATCTGATATTGTTGTAGGTTCTTGTATCTAAAAAGTGGTTGGGCCCGTTAGCTAACCAGGATTTGGATTAGGCCACTTTGCCATTTTTGGATGTGGCCCTGTGTTGCTCACAGTATGCATCCTGTGTTCATTATGCATTGTGTAAATATTCCCTCTTAACTGGATTCAGGGCTAATTGTAAAAGCTCTATAAGTAAAGGCTGAGATGGTAAAATGCAATCCAGGAAAATGGTCCCCTCCCTTATATCTGATGGAAGAGATTGTATCTGGCAAAGTTGCCAGGCTCAGGTTGTCAGCCTTTTGCCATGGCAACATAGCTGAACTTACCGCATGTCAAAGGTAGAACCCATGAAGGAAGGTTTCAAGGTCTCTGCCACTGTGGCCATTGTGTACGGGGGCTGAGCTGTAGATTCATTCCAGTATTTGTCTTTTCCAGTTGGTGGTAAGTTCTGATACATGTCATCCACTGAAAGCAAAGACACCTGAGCAGACAAAGGAATATTTCTCATCAAAGACCTGCATAAGACTTGTAATTGCTTTAATTACAATTGTGCTTTAATTACAGTTGTGCTTTAACACAAGGTTCTCAATAGGAAAAAGTATCAAAAGAACACCAGCAATATAAGAGGCAGCTAAATAAAAATGCTTCTGTCTCAGATCGACAGTTGCACCCTTTATATTACTAAGATTGATTACATTTATTCGTTGCTTTGTACAAAAAGTCTCAAAGTGACTTGCAGATCTGTAAAACAAAAATCATTTAATAACCAGGGAAAAAAGATCCAATTAACAAGATCTTGGAATGCTCCTCATGATACTACAAAAGGGACAAATTGCCTCACTCTAAGTGCCACTTTTTCTGTGTGTTACTAGAGATTTGAAGTAAGCAATTGGTTGTCCCAATAAAAGGTGAATTGGGTTATGTCCAAGCCTACAAGGGGATTGTGTGTACTATCAAAGAAAGTATCCTGTCAAAAGTGTGGGAAGGGGAGCATTAATAGACAAACTGAATATTCAGGGCGCTATATTCAGCATGTGGGTAAAGACAATTGATTCTTTGATATATGGTCTATTCTGCATCCATTGCTTTGCATAAAAAGTTTAGAGAAAGTTAAAGGTTCAGACTGTGGAGAGCAGAAATGGGAAAGAAGGTATACACAGAGGTAGAACAGTATAGATGACAAATAGTTTACCAGATTTTTCAGGCCAGCCTGGCAGTCATTAAGCATTATATGAAAAAATACTCAAACACCCAGGACGCCAAGTTGTATGCTGGATATACCTGTGTGAAGTGTGACTAGGCCTTTGTTTTAAGACTCACTTGAAGGTTCCTGTCTATCAATTTGTTAGTTTCAAAGTCATCGTCATCCTCTCCGAAGGGATTAATTATCTGCTCTGCCACCTATAGGAAAAGAAAGGTGTAGCATATGAATATTCCATATTTGAATGTGGGAGGGAACTGAGTGGCATTAGGGCTATCCTTTTTTGTAAATTTTAGCAGGCAGCCCTTCTAAGCACAGTCTCATCTAGCTTGTCTTCACTGCCAATGGCATTCTCTGGAAAACAGAGACAAACATTGCAAAGCATTCTGCTTTGATGTGATTAAAAAGTATTAAAGAGGTAGCTGAGCTGCTATGTTGCATATACTAATACGCTTGCTAGTTCTTTGGGTGCTGGTTCCTATCCAAAATGACAGTGTGCACACACACACAAAACAGTGCTTGCAATCCAGAACAGTGAAGCTGCTGTATTTTAGCCATGTTCATGCCTGAACACACAAATGTTCAAACTGCGAATGGGGTGGGTGGCATGTTGCACATGCAACCCTTTAGCATCCCCATGTGCATGAAACCTCCCTCATTGAGATTTACTGGGGTCCTTGATCTTACGGAGGATTCTAGTCCAGTGGGCACAAGAAGTCCTCTGCAGACCTTACCCACTCATCAGAAAGGCTGGGGACTGAGCAGCCGCAATCAGAACAGTTTACTTCTTCAGGTGAGCATCTGACTTGCACCTTCTGTTGCAAGTCTTTGCTCCCTTTATTTCCAGCATTTAGGCTGTGAGTGTTGTTTGTGTAGGCAAATCATCACCACCCTGCTACATGGAGAGGTAACAGCAGGCTGGGGGAACCTTACAGTGTGCAAAGGTTTAAAAGACCTTCAGGATAAGGGACCATAAGGGGAGGAACCACAATAAACCAGTCCAGCGAGGATTGCACATGCTCAGTCAGGATGCTGACTCAATGGCAGGGAGAGTGGAATTGAGGCTGGAATGGAAGAACACCCCCAACCCACTTCTCTTTTCAGTACTGTAAAATCCAGAAGGGACAGAATCTGCAGATGGGGACAGCCTCTTGCGCCCCTGAATCTTCTCATCTGGTTCAAACAATGCATGGGACTCATTGATGCTCACACCAACTCTGTCTCAGCACCCCATATCTTATACAGTGGTACCTCGGGTTACATATGCTTCAGGTTACATACGCTTCAGGTTACAGATTTCGCTAACCCAGAAATATTACCTCGGGTTAAGAACTTTGCTTCAGGATGAGAACAGAAATCGTGCTCAGGCAGTGCAGCGGCAGCAGGAGGCCCCATTAGCTAAAGTGGTGCTTCAGGTTAAGAACAGTTTCAGGTTAAGAATGGACCTCCGGAACGAATTATGTTCTTAACCCGAGGTACCACTGTAATTTGAAGACTGAAGATCAAGTCAAATGAAGCCATCTTCATGGAAAATGGGAGCCAACATCCTCACCTTCAGCCAACCAGCATAGAAGAAGAACTGTAGAAGAGTGGGTAAGGGAACATACAGATCTAGGTCCTCATCTTTTTTTGTCATTGTTTTGTTTTGACTTGGGTCCACAGGTTGTAGGAACTGACGCCCAATCACACACAAAGCAAAGAAGGAATAGACAGCAATGGTGACCACCTGTGGAGAAGCGGCTGTTAAACATTTGCCAGGGTTTCAAGAGAGCATCATGGAACTATGCTTTTCATTGCAGAAACCAAAACATTCTCCTGCAGTACAGGAGGTCTGCACATTATGCCCTAGCATGTCCTGCGCATCCTACCAATTCAAAAACAATTAAACTGGCACTTTCACAAACTGATCTATTTCCTAGCTTGTTATTTGATGTTCGTTGGGAAACAGCTGACTATTTTGGAGCTGGAAACTTGTTCCTTTCCTCTGCAATAAAAAAATGAGACGTTAAGTAAAACTAAGTAGAATTGTGCTGTGGAGATGCACCAAGAGAGACAGATTTAGAAAGTGTATGGGAAAAGTAACCTTTAGTCTACTCGTAGGAACAAAACTGCTACTGAGAGATGAGCATTGAGACGTGCAAGAGTATCCAGAAGATGTGGAGTGCTCCTTGCTCACCTGTGTGTACACCAAAGGGATGCTTATCCAGTCATAGTGGAAAAGCATGCTGCATTTGGAGCGGTAGAGGTTCAGTTCCTGGAGAGAGAAAGACAGGTGGTTATTTCATGTTTGCATAGCTGGTAAAGCAATTCCACTGCAATACTTACATCTATGAGCAATCTGAGCGCCACGTCATCCCGGATCCTTCCTTCCCGCCTGGCTTGGGCTGCTAGATTAGTGAACCACACACAAGGGATCCAGTACTTGTTGAAGTCTGAGTGGTGACTCTCAAACTTCTTGCGCTCATCTTGTGTCATGAAACCTGCAAGAGAGAAATGGGAAGTTGGAGCACTGCCTCTCCATCTGCTCCTTGATACTGGGAAGAGCTTCAGGGGCCACCAGTCAGTGACACTGGGTCCTAATACGTTCTGGTGGAATAATCTCTTGATCCCTGTGGCACCTTAGAAAGACTAATAAAAGTAGACTCCCAGACCATCCTGTTCATTTCCCCAAGTTAAACTCACCAGCTTCAACTAAGTGGTCCATAGTGGGGAATCTTTTAAGGACTCTAGCACTGACCGAGCGCAGGATGAGCACAGAGGAGAGGTTGGCGTAACGGATGAGAGTGCGGCGCAAGATGCGGCCCTTGTCATCCTTCCCATGCACATTGCTGGAAATGACGCACATGAGCTGGTCTGGCAGAGGGATGCTGGTATACTGCGCCCACCAGCGGTTCACAATCAGTGTGACATAGAAACCTGCCAGGAAAGAGAGGTGGAAGAGGCATTAGCAGGGATGATGGATGAGGGATGAGGACTTGGAAACAGTGAGAGAGCATGAGGCAAGGTCATCAGGCATAATGAACTGCTGCCATTTTAGCATGTTGGCACTGAGAGCAGAAACATTCTACCCATTTGAGCTCTAGGAGTTGGTTAACTTGTCAAAGAATTTTGTTAAGGAATTGTTAAAGAAGTTATCTGTATGACACAAGACAAAATTTCACTCCCCTTTTTGTTGGTTGGTCATCTTTACAAAAGAAGCAAAAACATTTATGAAAGCTACAAAACTAAAGATTTATGAAGTTGTCAAATTATTTTTTACATTTAGAATTTGGTAATGAAAAGTTTCAGTATACTGTGTACCTCATAGCTTGCTATTTCTTGTTAGGCAAATAAAATTCTTTAATACTTAATGCAGAAGTCTGCAATCACAATTTAGAGGCAGTTTGTTTACAAAAATCTTTCAAAGAGTCCACACATGTTAATGGTGGGAACCATTTCTCTAGGAAATTGCCAGGGTGCTTAGGATTTGTCATAATCTTCAATTGAGTACTGATCTGATCTGCTGAAATTTCACGCTTTTTAAAAGAGTTAACACTCTTGGAAAGAAATAAGAGCATTTTTCAGGCTGTGGCTGAGTCAAAAACTAAACAGCAGACATACAAAACAGGGAAGTGCAAAGAGTCATATTTATCAATATTCAGAGATTCTGGCAGACATGGAAGCAAAACCAACCCTTGCTCTTATCTATATTTGCACATATTAACAAAAGATCAACACATTCAAAACCACTGGGTTCCCCCCTGCCCTCCCATTTTCCCTTTTTGAAGCTTTCCTATGAGGGGAAAAAATGGTATGTTTCCCATCCAGACAAAGAACAAGAGGGTTCCTCTTCCCACCTCACCTGCATATTGCATGTACGGAAACAGAGTCAACAACAGTACTGATGTGCCAGCAACCTCAACCATGCCTGAAGGCTAGCTTAGGAAGTGCAGGGCAGGCCCCATGGTACACAGATCTCTGCCTTCCAACACTTCACCTGTGGTCCTTAGTCATCAGTATCTTCTGCCTGAGGCAGCTGCCCCATCTGCCTGATAGAAGGGTTGTCCCATCTTACCCTTCCCTTCCAATGCTTGCTATGGCATGATATAGGCTTCTTGGAAGCTCGAAAGAACACCTGGCCCACGTGGACAGTCATTGTTTACTCCTTCCAATGCCTTCCTTCTAGAAATAGCGAGTCAACAGGCTAGGGAGAACTGCAGTTTTACTTTAGTTGACCTTTTTACAGGAAAGTTTTGCAAAGGCAATGAAAATTCATAACGGAATCATTTTTAAGCAGATCAATTTAGGCTTGCATTTCTGATATAGACACTTCTAATGCAAAAACTAGGTCTGTTTACTCAGGAGAGTCAGGCATGTTCATTGTGCATTTTTGCAGCCCTAGCTGTACATCATTTAGACATAAACTCTCTCACCTGTCAAGCTGTCACTTCCTTTTCCATTTTAATTATCCACCTCCTACTTTTTAACTTCCCTTTTTTCGTTTTGTGACACCACTCACATTTCTTTTTTCGTGATATGGTGTTTGCTGCATCAATCTCACTTTCACACACGCACACACACAAAAATCAGGGTCAGCCTCCGCGGTAATTCACGGCAAGACTTTTAGAGTGGTCTATGGCAAGAGCCCTTCAGATCATCTGACTCCTCATTCACTCCTGGATGCATACCATGAGCTCTGCCACTGATTTGTGGTACCTCCCAATGGGAAATAATTTGGGATTCTGTGCAATCGAAAGATTAAAGGGGCTTTTGCCAAATGTATGCATCTGGCCTTAATTAAAGCAAGCAATCAAGAAACCATAGCAACAAGGCCTCCTATCAAGAGCAGGTACATAATCATACCTAGGACGAAGGACAGAGGGATGAGGTCAGTTGAGCGGTTGCAGTATTCAGCCACCTTTGCAAAGAGACGTTTCTGATCCACATTCAGAAGGTGCCTACAGGAGATGGGGAAGAATAACAGGCTTGAACTCTCTCATGATATAAACATTCTTCTTCAATTAAACAGGAGCCAGGGCTCTTCTCTGTCCCTGCCAAAGCAATCCCTCTGCTTGGTTAAGTACCAAAATAAATGTCACTATGGCAAACAATAGGATTCTTTCAAGGATACAAGGAATATTAAAACAACAACAACAACAACAACAACAACACAACACTAATACCACCTCCAACAGATTTCACTAGCAGGTCCCAGGGCTGGTTACAACTATTTAAAATTCTGTATTAAAAACAGCTAAAACAAATTGCAGTCACAGGAATAGTCTCAAAAATACACAGCACTGATATCAAAGGCCAGGGTACAGAGATGTATCTTCAGCATTTGCTAAGAGCTATATAAAGAACGTGCCAGACACACCCCTGTGGGGTGGGACCTCCACAACTTAGGGGCTGCTACAGATAATGCCTTCTTGGGAAGGTGGTACCCTTCAAACCCTCAAAGCCCTACCAAGAGGACTCTGCTGATTTAAACACTCCATCAATTCTGACATTGGTGGTCTTTCAGATATTTGGGGCTTAAGTCATTTATGGGTTGCAGGGCATGAGCCTCTAGGCATAAATGCGGCAGTCTCTGTAGTCTAAGCTCTACCCTTCTCAGCAGAATCCAACAATACCCCACTCACCCATCCTGGCCTACTAATAATGTTCAGGGGAAACAGATTCTCCTGAATGTTAGAACAATTTGATTTATTTACTAGAATGATTACTATTACTATTATTTTATTTATATGTCTCCCATATGACTGGGCTGGCCCAGTCTGGGTGGCTCCCAACAAAATATTAAAAACACAATATTTAAAACATATGAGGACAACCCATAGCCCTTTGCAGGCCATCTGTGCAGCCCACTGCAGGTATTCGGTCTGCCTCCCATAGCCAAATTTGCCCCTTGAGCACTGCCAAATTTTGCTTCAGGGGTGGCAGGGGGGTGGGGAGCACCATGTATTTGGTCTCCTTGCAGCCCATTTGGTGGTCTGGAAAGAGCATGATTGTGATGGGAAGAAAGCCTGGAGAGCCATCCCCATGTAAATGACCTGGTGGGCTGCGTGGAATGCAATTGTAACGGAGAGAAAGGCCCAGCAAGAAAGTCACCCCTGGAAGCCTTCCTTCCCACTAAACAGTGTAATTCTGAGGTTGGTTTAAAGTGGGGCAAGCAGATTGGTAAGGAAGCTCTGAAAGTTGAGAGCAAAAGTACCACAACATTGAACGCTCCTAAAAAAAGAACAGCAATTTTACATTCTTCAACCATTTCAGACGTCTTTAACTATGTCCCCCTGGAGAGGTTTCATTCCATTAAACAGGATATTGCCAACTTACCGGTAGATGACACTTAGTGTTCCGTAAAGCAAGACGAAGACAATGAACTCCTTGTAGAGCAGCTTGTAGATGCTCCCTTTCCAACGAAAAAGTAGCTTGGAGAAGCCCCCAAAGCGAGCATTGGCCACTTTCAAAGTGTAGGAGACTGTCATGGCTGCCTTGTCTGTGCCTCATGCAGGCAGCAGCTGAGACACAGAGAGAAATAACACCCAGGGAGGAAAATATCACTTCTCTTTTCTCTCCTGCCACCTTCATTATGGGAAGCTAAGTGCAGGGCTGGACCTACCAGGAGCTGAATTGAGCCATAGGGCTCAGGCAACAAATTGGGAGAGGCGGTGAATCGTGGGCCAAATCTCCCGCCCATAGAGCTGCCTGCGAATGATTGGTCAGCCAGCGGGTCACTGGAGCTACTGTACGATCTGTTCACCACTCTTCTTCCCTTCCGCGTTCACCTGCTCAACTGATCAACTGCTGAATTGATCACCCACCTGCTGCTAACAAAGTACCTGTAAGAGCACTCCAGGCATTATTCTGAGGGAAGGGTTGTCGCTCACCCATTCATCGTTGACAAAGTGGTGGCAGTGTGAGCAGCCTGGACCTCAGTCTGAGGAAGGGGTCTTCCCTCAGAGTGTGGCATTGTGGGACGGGCCATCCAGGTGGGTCCTAGTGCTGCTGTCACTTTTATACAGCAGCGGCAAGATGTCACTTGAAGATATCTAAGGTTTTGGGTGATTTTTTACATAGTAGTTTGCCAAGATGGCCCTGCTTAAAAGTTGGTAGCCAGTACAAAGAATTAATCACATATCAGAAAGGCCATTTACCTCACCATAAGATCTTCTGCAGGAATGGTTTTGCACAGTGCTATTTTTCTAGAAAAAGAGGTGGCTGGAACTCATCACGCCTGCCTCCTTTGTTTTCTGGCACCCACCTGAGAGGTGCAGAAACAGAGTTCCTGCAAGTTCTGGCTGAAAAAAGCCCTGGCTGTGCACAAGCTGTTTTGATAGTGTGTGCTTGCCTTATTCAAGGGACTTATTCAAGGGCCACTAATTGCACCCATTACTTACATCCAGATAATCTGACCTTTTTCTAGCCACAGATCTTTCCATTTTCACAATTACCCATCAGCTTGAGAGGCAACAGTTCTTTTCTGGTGATCCAAATAAATGGCAGTTCTCCATGGCCTAGCAGCAGAATTATACAGGAAAAGGAGTCCCACCGCATAACATGTTTTGCAATCTTTCCGAAGAGCGTTGGCATGTGTGCAACATGTGAGTGGCCCCTTCCTAGAGGAAATTTCCTTTTTTCTTTTTTATTTCCCATAATAGCTTATGTTTTATGCCATGTACTTTGATATTTTTTGTAGTTTTTTTTAGCTTTTTCCATTATTATTATTAAGGATTTTTCTTTTGTAATTTTGGTTGTTTATATTTATCTGTATTTGTTTAAAGCGCAATAAAAGTATATATAAAAAGAATAGAATAGACATAATAGTTATTGTGGCATAAGAACTAAACAAAATCAAGGACCTGTATTTTTACTGTGATAGGAACATAATCAGAGTCCTGCAGGATCAGGCAAATGGCCCATCTAGTCCACTATTCTGTTTCCCAAACATGCTCATGGGAGGCCCAGAAGCAAGACATGAGAGCAACAGTCCTCTCTCAGGGTTGTTCCCCAGCAACAGGTATGCATAGGCAAGGGGGGGGTGTCAGATCCTGGAGGTGACATGTACCCAATAAAAAAGTATACAGCCAATAAAGGTGTCAATAAAACACTACTGAACTGAGTGCTTCCCATGTGAGATTTCACTACAATTAAAAGAAATGAGGAGAAGAAAGCAGTAATTAGAGCCTCCTGCATGAGACAAGCAATAGAGGCTTTTCAATGGTGGATATATATGCAATTTATCACTAATCCCCGACTCCTGTTCATTGGAAAGCAATAAAACAGGAAGGGTTTAATTAAAGGCACAAGAACAGTTAAAAGCCTCAGTCCTGCATTGCCTGTCCACACAGGTCAAGCTGGTGCTGCCATTGAATTTTATTACCAAAAGAAAATTGCAAGAAAACTGGCTATGGAAGAAACCATAGAGGACTACAGAGAAAACACTAGAACGCAATGAGCTGAGATCATCATCATCATCATATGGGTGTTCTATAAAAAGTGAGTGAACAGGTAATGGCAATCTCAAGGGGGCAGGAACTGCTAATGTGGTAGCAAAGAAAGCCTCAGCTTCTACACCGTTGACAGGGATTACAACTATAATAGGGTTGCCATATTTCAAAAAGTGAAAACTGGACACAAAAACTGTTGAGCAAAATCTCCCAAAAACACTTTAAGCTATTTTGGGGAAAATTCACAAAAAAACAACACTTCTGATACGGCCTGCTAGTGGACATTTTGACCAATTTTCAAACTTTGCTCCTAGACACTATTTTGGACAGCCGAATCCCAGATATTTTCTGGAAATTCCGGACGTATGGCAGCCCTAATACTACTACTCATGTCTGGAGAGATACTGAGAAACAACAGTGGAGGTGAACCAGGGGGTGACCTAAGAAGGTAAATAGGAGGAGACGAGAGAGTAACTCGGATTTGGAGGTCCACAAAAACATAGCAGGCAGCATAAGATGACTTTCCATAGGCCGCAATCCTAGGCACACTTACAATGGAGTAAGTCCCATTGAAACCAAAGGGCCTTATTTTTGGGTAAACATGCTTAGACTTGCACTGTGAGTCTCAGAATTACAGGCAATCTTGAGCAAGACAGCTGCTGGGACACATGGAGAAATGAAAGACTGCTTGCATGGCCAGCCCAGCGCTGGAGCTGCTGCGTGTGAGAGAGAGCTCCTCTACCTTTGGCTTACTAAGTGGATATTCAGCAGGCGTGAGCAGCATTAGATAAAACTATTGCTGTCACTGCTGGGTTTCCACTGCCATTCAGTCAATAAAGGCACAGGAGATTTGCTTAGGGCAGAGTGGAAGGGTGGAGTGGCAACCACAAAGTGACAATACCTCCCTGATGAAAAGAAGCTAGAACTTCTTACCTGTCCTGGGAGTTCAGTTGAGGCTGGTTATAACTGTCTCACTAATGCAGAGAAAGAAGAAAAGCTGTTACCCACTTCCTTTAAATATCTTACTCATGGTAAATAAACTAGACTGCTCAGAATGATTGATGGTGGGGCTGCTAGTAGCCCAAGAACAGGGAACTGTGTAAATGCCTATGTGATGTTCATGGTTATAATTTACTTTTGTGAAAATTAAGGCATAGATGAAAATTCCATTCTAATTTATTTATTACAATTACACCTCACCTTTTTTTCTAAAGAGCTTAAGGTAGTGTTCCCTTCTCTCTTCCCCCACTTTTATAGCAGGCCTGCCTCTAAATCAGACCAAGTTCAATGTGTTACTATTAGAACTTAGCAAGTTGGGACTAGTTTACTTGCGGGATCGCCTTGCCCTATATATGCCCATTTGAGTGCTTTGCTCTGCAGAACTGGCACTGCTACATCTGCCATACAGTACTCATTCTCTAAGAAACCAATCTTTTAGTGTGGCGCTTTGGAACTCCCTTCCTATTGACACTTTCACTGCCCTCTTTCCAATGCCTCCTTAAAACGTTTTTGTTTAGGCAAGCTTATGCAGACATGTAGAAGTTACATGTGTTTTCATTGTTGTTTAGTTTTTGCTGCTTTAAAGTAGTTTTTGAATGTTTTTAAAGACCAGCTTTTAACTTTAATTTTTAATTATTATTATTTTGTAAACTCACTTGATGTTTTATGACAAGCGAGCAGTATATGAATTATGTTAAATAAATAAGTAAATAAACAAAAACCTTAAAGACTACTGATGCTTCAAGACACCAGGCATGTCTGTAATGTATATCACATCAATACTACTCCAAGCCATGTGTGCTCTTGTCTGTACAGATCATGCAATCATGTGCTGTGTTTATTCTGGTAAGGTTTCCACAATTCCAAACTGATGCAACCGTCATTGTGAGAAGCTGATCTCCGGGTGCAGCCTTAGGCACTCGTCACACTTTACAGGATGAGCATGTGTCTATGTGCATAAAGAACATAGCCACATAAATAGGTGTGTATTGCCAGTGCATTGCTGTGATCTTAGCTTTTCTGGATCTCCATTAATGAGTGACCAGGGTTTCAGCCAAAGAATGTTAATGTTCCTTAATGTGTTCCTTATGATTTCAGGACTAAAGGCATTTTTGTTTTCTTGTGATATTTGGATGAAAAGATGGGGGGGACCATAATAAAATAATAGCAGAAAGGGAAGACACAGTGGATCTGATCACAGTTGCTCCCTCATCCACATGCTCACTCACTGGACATCTACAAAAGGGCTGTGGATTAACCTGCATCAGACACCTGGTGCCAGAAACAGAGAACAGGAGTGAACAGGGAGCATTAGCTCAGAAACACCTGCCTGCAGGAGACCTACATCATTGTTCATTGATTCCCATTTCACACCCTGTCATAGTAACTTGTTGCTAACAGTTGTCTCTGAAGAAGGGATGAAATATATCCTCTGTGAAAATTCCCCTGGGAAACATAGCTGGACTTTACACAGATAATGAATTTACAGCTCTGCGGTGTCATAAAGAAGTAATTTATCCCACGGGGATGTAGGCTTGGATGGCAATGGTTACTGCTGCTTGTAAATCCATCCGTCATGAGAGCTTTCTCATTTGCTTTAGGGAAGGGTCGTAGTTCAGTAGCAGAGTTGAGGCAGAAGGTCCCAAGGTTCAATCCACAGCATCTCCAGGTAGGGCTGCAATTGTTCCTTTTCTGAAACCATGGAAAGCCACTGCCAGCCAGCATGGACAGTACTGAGCTAGATAGACAAATGGCCTGACTCTGTACAAGGCAGTATTTGTCATAAGCAGCATGTTGCTGATCTAAATCTAATTTTTCAGTTCTTCTTCAGGATTAAAGCAAACTCACCTGTTTCCCACCTGTCCCTCATGTTTCGGAGTTCAGCTATCTAAAGATTGTTGGATAATGTAAGTAATGCCTTTCAAAATTACAATGAATTATTTTCCCCAGCCAGTTCCGATGGGGGGGGGGAGTGTAGTAAGAGGAAGAATTAAAGCAGAGCTGACCAAATTACATCCACAAAAGTTGTGACACAATTGTAGGCTAAGTTGTGGTGGGTGGGTGGTATTGCCTGGTAAAAAGGTAAAGGGACCCCTGACCATTAGGTCCAGTCGTGGCCGACTCTGGGGTTGCGGCGCTCATCTCGCTTTATTGGCCGAGGGAGCCGGTGTACAGCTTCCGGGTCATGTGGCCAGCATGACTAAGCCGCTTCTGGCGAACCAGAGCAGCGCATGGAAACGCCGTTTACCTTCCCGCCAGAGTGGTACCTATTTATCTACTTGCACTTTGAGGTGCTTTCGAACTGCTAGGTTGGCAGGAGCAGGGACTGAGCAATGGGAGCTCACCCCATCCCGGGGATTCGAACTGCCGACCTTCTGATCGGCAAGTCCTAGGCTCTGTGGTTTAACCCACAGTGCCAACTGCCTGGTAGGACAGAGCATATTCCATAGTTGTACATCTTTGATGAAAAGAGCATATTTTGCAGATATAGTAAGTCATTAATGTTGCACCTGCTGAATGTCTGTCTCTATAGGCAAATCCCACCCAGTTGTTCCACAGTGCCTCATTCTGAGTAAGGGTGCAGAAAAATGGCTGCAGAAAGAGGAGAAGCCAGCAGCAAGTCTATCACTGCAGCATGGGGGGAGCAGTATTTAGGAGGAGGAGGAGGAGGAGGTGGGGTGGCAGGGGCATCATTTGCCACCTCAGGTGGCAAAATGTCTTGGGCCATCTCTGTCCATATAACAGCAAGACGAAAGCAAGAAAAAGACACACTTTTGCATCTTTGTTAAACTCTTACAAAAGGTAGAACATAGCCATTTATTCCATGTTATTTACATCCCCCCCACACACATACACTAGTATTCTTTTCTTCTCTTTTTGAAAGGGATGCAGTCCAGAAAGATCATAGATGGAATAGTTTACTGCAAAAGTTAGATCAGGACAAAAATATATGTTAATTCTTTTACATTCAGTGTATTGTGGTTTATAACGATGGGGAGTTAAGATGCCAGTGTCTCTTTGGGAAGCAGAGCTTTCATCTGTCATATGGAATACATTTATACAGCTGTATATCTTGCTCTTGAGAAAACTGGGAAGCATCGCAACACGGTAGAAAGAGCTTTACAATATCACAATTCAAGGACACAGTCTAACCAGGGAAAAGCACTTGAGGTGGTTGTGGAGCAGGCGTAGTGTAAGGCATGGGGAGAGCCCCAGGGGGCCAGAGAGAGATACGCATTAGACACCTTGCAGGCCTGAGGTGCCTCATCCTCAGCCTAGAACAGGGTTTCCCAAACTTGGGTATCCAGCTGTTTTTGGACTACAATTCCCATCATCCCTGACCACTGGTCCTAGTCAGCTAGGGATGATGGGAGCTGTAGTCCAACAACAGCTGGAGACCCTGGCCTGTTGTTGTTGTTTAGTCGTTTAGTCGTGTCCGACTCTTCGTGACCCCATGGACCAGAGCAGGCCAGGCACTCCTGTCTTCCTGTCTTCCACTGCCTCCCGTAGTTTGGTCAAACTCATGTTCGTAACTTCAAGAACACTGTCCAACCATCCCGTCCTCTGTCGTCCCCTTCTCCTTGTGCCCTCAATCTTTCCCAACATCAAGGTCTTTTCCAGGGAGTCTTCTCTTCTCATGAGGTGGCCAAAGTATTGGAGTCTCAGCTTCAGGACCCTGGCCTAGACTCTGACAAAACCTGCTGAGGACATTTTATGCTTTGAGGTACAGTACATTCTCTCTTTCAATTCCACATACACGATTAGATTGCTGGCGACTGAATTTTATCTTAACATTGGTGGCATCTCAGTATCCTCTACAGCAGCTGATGGGGCAACACCCCTACGAGGAAAGGCGCAGCATTTGAGACGTTTTAGGTGACATGGCAGAAGTTTATGAAATTATACATCATGTGAAGAAAGCGGATAGAAAAATGTTCTTTCTCTGTCGTAACATTAGAACTTGTGGACATCCAATGAGGCTGAATGTTGGAGGTCAGATAAAAGTGCTTCTTCATGCAGTGCACAGTTAAGCTATGGAATTAGCTACCAAGAGGAGGCAGTGATGGTCACAAACTTAGGTGGCTTCAAGAAAGGATTAGACAAATATATGGAGGACAAGGCTATTGATGGCTAGTAGCCATGATGGTTATGTGCTGCTGTGGCGTTTGCCTCCTAGGTGGGTCATAAGGAAAGGGTTAAAATGAGGGTGATGTGATTGGCCAGTGGAAACTGACTGGAGGAGTTAGAGTGAGAGTTGGTGTTGTGTGAAAGTCAGTTGAGAGTTGGGAGTTGAAGAAGGAAGAGGGAGGAATAGTCTGTGGGTTGGTCGAGTTGTGTGGTGAGAGAGTGAGAGGAACTGTTAGGTGGAGTCAGATAGTTAGTTGGGATAATCAATTTGAAGTTGTTAGGAACGAATAGGACAGTTAAGGAACTAAGATTAAGAAACTGCCAAGAAAAACTAACTGAAACCATAAGCTTGTTCATGCCTATAAAATAAACTTGATTATTTGTTAATGTTACCAACTGACTGGACTCCGTGTGTACCCGTGAGAAACGGGTTGGTGGCAGCGAAGAAAGCAATCACAGTGGTGGCACAGGGTCAATAGACCGTCAAACGTTCGGGGCCCCTGTGTGATCGCCACAGCTGCCTTTATAGTCAGAGGTAGTAATGCTTATGAGAGCAGAAGCCCAGCTTAGGAAGCTTGGCACACACCACACTGTCTACCAACTTCTTGCTACTGATCTGCACCCCCAGCATCTGCTACCTGAGGTACTTGCCTCTGTCTGGCAAATGGAAGGGCCGGTGCTAAGAAGGGGAATCCTGCCAGTTGTGGCTTCTCCTGCCAATGGCAGTCCTAAAGGGAAAACATGAAACAAGAACTCTCTCTGTGTGTGAGTTTCATATGTTGATTTCTACTAACCAGCCACTCTAGTTTCATTAACCTCTGTGCCACATAAATTTCTGTGATGCTCAGCTGCTGAATCATAAAAGCAGAAGGGGCCAAAAGACCATCTTTAAAACAAGAGGCAGGACCACCCACCCACCCATCTGTCACCCCAGATCAGGCTGCATGCATAGCAAGTTCCATGAGAATAAACAGAAGGAAACGAATGCACTTAACTTAGATCAGAGAAATGTTAATTGGATGTAGTGAAAATATGCTGAAAAAGTTTTTCAATGTTTAGAAGGACGGCAGAAAGAAAGGTGGCTATGTGCAGACCTCTCCACTAGATGTCACTCTCCTCCTTGCAGAGGAAACCTGAGCCTTTAAATAACTGGAGGAGATTCCTGGAATGCAGAGCCCATCTATGACTGGTGTTTGACAGGGAAAGAAACTGCAGAGACCAGCTCACACAGCAGAAAAGAACATCAGTGAAGAGTTAGTTTGGAGATTTAGGTGGGAGCTTCAGGCAAAGCCAGGCAGGGATATGTAATACCCCAAAAAATCTAAAAATGCCAAAAAATTCTCTAAATAAAATGGCAGATTAAAAAATAATGGGCACAGCTGTTATCCTGTCCCAGTTTGCAACCTTCATCCCTGCTCATATGGGCTCCCCGCTGCCCCCAAGTCTTGTGTTCTGCATCTTATTCTCCTCTACTGGAAACTGCAATGCAATTTTTAAAAAAATTAATTCTATCAAAGGGCTAGAAACTGCAGCTCATACTGTCCCTCCATCACACACACCCCAAACTGGAACAGACCCTAATACAAATGTTCTTCTAGGCATATTAATAACAACACCTGTGTCATTCCAAAGGCTCAGAAGAAAGAAGAACAAATCCCGGAACACAAAATCATTTACAAGAGAATTCTCATTATTTGTGAAGTTTGCATAATGTTGGGAGCTGGTGGTCCTGCTGCCCCTTTCAAAAAATGGATAAGAATTAGCCTATTTTGTGTTCTTATCATACTATGGCTCAACAAGCAGCCTCAGCAAAGGTCAATGTTCTCATATTCCATGTGGTCCGAGTCCTCCAGTTCAATGCCAGGAACCAGGTTGTAATAATCTACCGACTGGTTCATATAGAGCTTTTCACGGTCTGCAGAATCCTTCAGAACGTCTGTCACACTCACGGTCTCGGCTTCAGACTCCCCACCTGTGTAACCCTCCTCTGCAACGGTCGGTTTTTTGGATCCCGACTTATCTTGCTCAAGGCTTTCCCCATTGGCCTTCACCAAGGAATCATCAGAAGCTCCCAGTTTGATCTCCACCTCTTCATAGAGGTCCCTGCTGCTCCCTAGTAGTGCAGCTGAAGGCTTAAGCAAGACCTGGTTCCTCAACAAGATGTTCTTCTCGCTCTCTGCAGCCGATGCCATAGGCAGCTCACATGGGATGTAGCAGCGATGGTCCCCAGGCTCTTTGGAACCGTTCCTCTCCACTGTAGCCAGACGGCATTCCTTCCCGGTGTGAGGATGGTAGCTGGTTTTCTTCTGCCGCTTGCAAAAGCACCAGGTGACCAGAACCAGAATAGCCACCACAGGCAGGCAAACAAAGAGAGCCGTTAGGCTATGGTTCCGGCACACCTCCTGCTTAGGGATATCTCTGAGATTCATGCCATGGTAACGTTCTGGGGTGCTACAAGCCACCTCAACGTTAAATGGTGCAGGTAGGCATTTTTCCAGATCTTCAAGCAAGCTGCAAGTACAGTGCCAGCTGTTGTTGGAGAGACCTAGCGTGAGGAGGGAGGGTTTGAAAATCCCTGAGGGAAGGGAAGACAAGTTATTGAAGGCAAGGTGGACCTCCTGGATTTGGTCAGATGCTTTCAGGAATGACTCAGGCAGCTTCTGGAGTTGGTTGCTCTCCAAATGAATGACACGCAAGCTGGGTGCATTTCTTAGGAAACCATCTGGGAGCAAACTTAGCTGGTTATGGTCTAAGTGTAGAATCTCCAATGTAGAAGAGCCATTCTCTGCGTTGATAATGTCTGATATGCCACAGTTTGATAGGTAGAGCTCCCTCAAACCCGCAGTTCCGGCAAAGATGCTCCAGTCCAAGGAGTTGATTTTAGTCCTGGTGAGATTCAAGCAACACATCTCAGGAGCCAATTTGGTCTGCAGTTCTTGGAAATCAACTTCTGCACTGCAGTTGCACGTCTCTTCCAGCGCTCCTAACACGAGTTCTCTTGCTAAGAGGACCACGCCAAAGAGTATGAGTGTCCACCTCTTCTGACCTATAGCAAAAAGATGACAAGCATCAGTGATTTCTCACAGGTTACAGGCGGGAACTAGATGGGAACATTGTTGTTCCTGGTTCACTCACAGATATAAGACAATAATCTGTGAAGTGCCATTGCCTCTAAATTGGATTCCAGCAGTTGTTCACCAAATTCACAAATAATGCATAGGTATTTTTAATACACACACACACAGACACACACACAGAGAGAGAAAATATTAATGTGTCTGAGCTAAAATTCATATTATAATGTGAATTAGGTTTTAAAGAACCAGGAATACCATTTTATTTAATGCATTAGCACCCCCTAGGGGCAATGTATGCTTAAACACAGTAAACATTCAATTAAATTATTAAAAGATTTAACTGGGCTGGATTTGGGTTCATATGCCCTCTTTGGAAATTTAACCCCTGTCCAGTGAAACCTATACAGTGGTACCTCGGGTTAAGAACTTAATTCATTCTGGAGGTCTGTTCTTAACCTGAAACTGTTCTTAACCTGAAGCACCACTTTAGCTAATGGGGCCTCCTGCTGCTGCTGCACCGCCGCTGCACAATTTCTGTTCTCATCCTGAAGCAAAGTTCTTAACCTGAGGTAATATTTCTGGGTTAGCAGAGACTGTAACCTGAAGTGTATGTAACCCAAGGTACCACTGTAATGAGTATCAGCTTCAGCTCACTGCGAAAGGAGCTTAGAGTGGTACATATTTGACTATTCCATTCTTGCAATTATAACTTATGAAACAACAACTCCATTACTTCCTAGCATTTCAATGGGAACACACACCTGGAAGCTTCTGGTGGCTGCGTGGGCTGATGACATCACTGGTTTGTGCCCCTGCTGGTCGCTGGAGCTTATTACCATACAAGTGTGGCATCACAGAACAATATTCTTCCTTGAATGTCGATAAGGATCAAGACCCAGAGGGCAAAGGGTTGAGTGCTCTCCTCCTCTTATCAGCAACCAAGGGCTCTGAGGAAGACTGTGCTATACCACTGCACCTGTACTTCACCCACCACCCCCAAATAGCCTGGTGACCTTAATCACACCACGCTTGTCACTGGGGGCACTGTGGAGTCACAGTGAACAGCATGACTCTCCTCCAAGTGCTCAGTTGCTGGTATGAGAAAGGGCAGCTACTACTGACCAAATTCAGGCAGCAGGATGTCCAAATCTGGGCCTGGATATATATAGCCTGTTGGTTGAGGCTGATAGGAGTACATTTAAACTTCATAATTTACAGCTTTATAACTTGGTTGTTGTTTAGTCGTTTAGTCATGTCCGACTCTTCGTGACCCCATGGACCAGAGCACACCAGGCACTCCTGTCTTCCACTGCTTCCCGCAGTTTGGTCAAACTCATGCTGGTAGCTTCGAGAACATTATCCAACCATCTCGTCCTCTGTCGTCCCCTTCTCCTTGTGCCCTCCATCTTTCCCAACATCAGGGTCTTTTCCAGGGAGTCTTCTCTTCTCCTGAGGTGGCCAAAGTATTGGAGCCTCAGCTTCAGGATCTGTCCTTCCAGTGAGCACTTAGGGCTGATTTCCTTAAGAATGGATATGTTTGATCTTCTTGCAGTCCATGGGACTCTCAAGAGTCTCCTCCAGCACCATAATTCAAAAGCATCAATTCTTCGGTGATCAGCCTTCTTTATGGTCCAGCTCTCACTTCCATACATCACTACTGGGAAAACCATAGCTTTAACAATACGGACCTTTGTTGGCAAGGTGATGTCTCTGCTTTTTAAGATGCTGTCCAGGTTTGTCATTGCTTTTCTCTCTGCAGTGATCATGGAGCGCAAGAAAATAAAATCTCTCACTGCCTTCATTTCTTCCCCTTCTATTTACCAGGAGGTGATGGGAAGAGTGGCCATGATCTTAGGTTTTTTTATGTTGAGCTTCAGACCATATTTTGTGCTCTCCTCTTTCACCCTCATTAAAAGGTTCTTTAATTCCTCCTCACTTTCTGCCATCAAGGTTGTGTCATCTGCATATCTGAGGTTGTTGATATTTCTTCCAGCAATCTTAAGTCTGACTTGGGATTCATCCAGCCCAGCCTTTCGCATGATGAATTCTGCATACAGTGGTACCTCAGGTTAAGAACTTAATTCATTCTGGAGGTCCATTCTTAACCTGAAACTGTTCTTAACCTGAGGTACCACTTTAGCTAATGGGGCCTCCTGCTGCTGCCGCCACACTGCCGCTACACGATTTCTGTTCTCATCCTGAAGCAAAGTTCTTAACCCGAGGTACTATTTTTGGGTTAGTGGAGTCTGTAACCTGAAGTGTCTGTAACCCGAGGTACCACTGTATATAATTCTGATTTGCAGGAAGTCACTCCTTTAGTATTGCAACACCTGTCCTCTGGAACTACTGACACTAGGCAGGCACCCCTTCACTATACTGTTTTAGATGCTTACTAAAAACTCATCTGTTCCAGCAAACCTATCCAGACACATAATTTAGTGCTTTCATTGGCCATCAATCACTGACTCGAACACCTAGCCCAACATTTGCAACTGTTTAGTATTATAATCCTCTGAATCGAAGGAGGCTTCCTTCAGGAGTGGTCTTGCATATTCTTCCTTCCTGGCAGCTGGAACCATTCCCTGTGCTAGGAAGGCATTTATCATCTCCTGAACCTAGTCCCTTTCCAGTAGCTGCAAAAAGCCATGAAACACAAAGGTTGAACACACAAGTGCTAGGCTGGGTCTACTGTACCTAAGACTAGCATTGACTACCACCCTAAATGTTGTTGGGCTCCAACTCCCTTCAGCCCCCGCCAGCATGGCCAATGGTCAGGGATGGTGGCAGCTGTAGTCCAGCAATATCTGGAATGCCACACATTCTCCTCTCCTTCTTTAAGGAAGTCAGGAAGAAGGATCTAAGTAATTGTGTTCCCTCTAAGTTTGCCCCACTGATCTTCAGTGCAGAGCCAACCACTCCCTGCCACTTGTATTGAGGTGTCTCCCTCAGCCCTTCCTGTGTTGGTTACCTAGGCACTCTCATACGCTGATAGGGTTTCTGAAGCAACCAGACCAAATGCAAACAAAGAATTGCCTCCAAATCCCTTGCAAACAGTGATTAGCTCCATTTTTGCTGTTAACACAGCTCAGAGAAGTAATCACACTCTTGCTATGGTGGCCTTTAGACATTATATCAGCACCACGGGAGGCATTTTTCAAGGAGTGAACGAGCCCTTAGTACAGATATTACTCACCACAGCCTGGGCAGGGCTGAGCATGAAGACCTTTCCTTGGAATTGTTACCTATCCTGCCAAAAGGAGTTTTGATTCTGTGATGTGGGGAAAGTCGCAAACTGGCCCCATCCATGTGGTCCTGGGTTTCAAATGGTACTGCCCCACTGTGGGATGAACCCATTGACAAAAACAGCTCCCAAACCAGTGTTAGAAACTGAGATATGAAAGCTAGGAGCTAAATGGCACCTTAAACCTAGGTTATAGGAGCAACAACGGAATGTCTAGCCGCACTTTTTTATAACAAGAATACGAAGCTAAAAATGAATGAACTGCGGCTAAAATCTTATGTTCATTTTTCACATGGTCTAGTCCTCATCTGAAGACTGCAGAAAACAAAGCCATGCTTCCCTGCCCACCCAACTAATATTCTTAAGAGGGTCCCTTCTGCAGTCTTCAGAGAGTGGCTGGAAGTGGGGAGGCAGAAAAAGGTCCTCTTTTCCTTCCACTCTGCAGACAAGCCCTGGATTCTCCTTTACCCTCTTTCCTTCATATAAATATATCTTTTTGGCACCACAATTAACACATATTAAAGGCCTATACAGCTGATGGCAGAGACACCCACCTTGAGTGTCCAGTTTGCAAACCTTAGGTTTAAGGGTCCTTCAATGATCCTACTCCAAAATTTGATTTTAAACATCACTGTGAAAGTCTGAGGTAGATAACACTTTAACATGCACTACTTAAACCATCGTAACTAACTGGCTAGTATATTTCAAATTAAAAGCACATCATACATTAAAAGTACATTAAACAAGGCAACTAAAACCTAAACAAAACATGCTGGGTTTAAAAGAAAAGAAAAGGAAGTTTTCAGTTGATTTAAAGCAGAGTCTGTCGTGGCCAGCGGAAGGATGAGAATACGTGCTCCATACTCCATATAGCTTTATTTACAGTTCAAAGCTGGTATATTACAGAAAGACATCTTGCCTCTGCAAGAGCAGAAAATGCATCCTCTCTCCTCGACAGCTTGGAGAGAATCACACAGTGAAAAACAGGAAACCAGTGTACGTCACATCCAGTCTCCCTTTCCCGTGAGAAACTCCAACAGTACAGACTGTGGAATGTAAACACCTGTCTTGTGACTGCAGTTGCTGCTCAGTGAGGGAAATAGAAACCAACATCCTCCCCTTTCTGTGAACATCACTGGGCAGCGTGTTCGTACAGTATCAGTACAAACCCAACTTCTGCACATAGGTACAGTGTTGATCCCTTGATACAATCTGGACAATACATCAGCAGGAATTTCATTACCTGGCATATAGGACACCGTTACGAGTCCCTTCTGAATACATTCCCTAGCATGCTGCAACTTTAATTGCAAGTGCTTTGTGCTTTGCTTACAACCTTCAGACTTCAGCAAAGCCAAACATGCTTTGTTGTCCTGGTAAACCTGGATTGGACATTTGACAGGAATTTTCATATCTTTGCACAATTGTACTAACCATTCACAATCCTTAAGTGAATAAGACAGTGCATTCAGTTCAGCTTCACAAGTACTTAAGCTAACTGTTGTTTGCTTCTTGCATGACCAATCAAACAGACTCTGATTGTACATGTAGCAAACTCCAGACGTACTTTTCCTGTCTGTAGCGTCACTTCCAAAACTTGCATCTGCAAATATCTCAAGACCACCAGACTTCTGATTGTTAAATCTCAGTCTGTAATGCATAGTGCCTTTCAAATACCGCGCTATGCGTTTCAGAGCTTTCCAATCCTTGACACTAGGATTGTTGACTTGTCTGCTTAGCAAATTACAGCTAACAGCAATGTCTGGTCTTGAACATCTGGCAATGAAGTTTAGCTTGCCTAGCACACTCCTGTACAGTGTAGTGTCAGAAAATGCTTCTTCAGTGTCATCTACCTGATAACCTGTTGTCATCGGTGTGTCTACAGGGTTAGCATCCATCAGATTTAGTTTGCTTAACACATCAGCAATTTTCCGTGACTGGTGTACTAGAATGTTACCATCTTGATCTCTCTCTATTTCCAGAGATAGGTAGTTGTTTACTCTCACCAAGATCTTTCATGTCAAAGTGCTCTTTCAGTTGAGCTTAGGCGCTATTGTACATTGCAACATCTTTCCAAAAGAATAATAAATCATCAACATAAAACAAACAGTACAGTTTCTTTTGCCCCTCCTCTTTGACAAATACACATGGATCAGCTTTCCTTGCTGAAAACCTAGAGAAAACAATACTTCAGTGAGTTTTGTGTGCCAACACCGTGCACTTTGTTTGAGACCATAAAGGGATTTCTTCAGAGCACAAACAAATCCCTGTTTTACCTGTACGCCATCAGGTGGAAGCATATAAAGTGATTCATCTAGAGATCCGTACAGAAAAGCTGTATTAATATCATGGTGACTAATGTGTAGATTTTCCTCTGCAGCTAGCTTGAGCATAAGCCTAATGCTTTCATATCTCACTGTGGGTGAATAGGTCTCGTGATAGTCTTCACCTGGTACCTGTGCAAAACCTCTGGCTACCAATCTGGCTTTGTGTCTGACTATCTTGCCATTTTGATCTGTCTTCGCTTTGAAGACCCATTTGCTTCCAAGCAGTTTCATTCCTGGAACTACTGGAACTAGCTCCCATGTTTTGTTCCTTTCTAAGGAATCAAGCTCAGCCTTCATGGCATTTAACCATGGCTCAGCTTCCTTTGAATCCAAACCCTGGATTTCTTGGAAACTTGAAGGTTCAAATACCTTCTTGGAGCTTTTAACAGCTGTTACTGCTATCTTAGCAAACTCATCAGCAAATCTCTTTGGAGGTTTGCCTTTGTGGCTCTCTGTGACCTACGAATTAGCCTTAAGTCTTCAACACTCTCCTCTTCCTTCTTAGGAGAAAAACGACCTATTGTGAACAATGGTTCCTCCAATTCTTGATCAGAGCTTTCAGAGGGTCGCATAGAGGCTTTCGCACTCTTGAAATCCTCTGAATCACCCGATTCAGTTTCAGATTCAGACTCAGAACCTTCATCAGTGGGTGTGGGCTGTTGTGGTTGCTTTTGACTATCCTCAGTCTCATCACCGTCATCAGGATAACATTGGAAAATTCCCACATTCTCCCCCACTTTGCATTGTACTCAACACTTCTCGTGAGCTTAATTGTCTTAGAGTCAGTCATCATTATTCTGTAAGACCCTTTCTGATAACCTAGAAAGATACCATGCAATCCACGCTTGTCTAACTTGGAGTTTTGTGGTGAGCGAACCCACATGTCAGAACCAAAATCTTCATGTGTTTGATGTATGGCTTCTGCCAAACATCTTCTCATGGGGGTACAACCAATCGCTGAAGATAACCTGCGATTGTAACTGTAAACAAAACACGAGAGAGATTCGGCCCAATAACTCTCTGGAAGATTGGCATCATGCAGCAAGGTTTTTAATCCTTGAAGCAATGTCTGATTTGCCTGCTCCGCAAGTCCATTCTGCCATGGCGAGCGAGGACTAGACAAATCGTGTTGAATTCCTTTCTCAGTCAGAAAAGCTTCAAACTGCTGAGAAGTGAATTCCCCGCGATCACTGAAAAGAGTCTTTATCTTCTTACCATGCACATTTTCCAACCAAGCACAGAATTCCTTGAACCTAGGAAAAGCCTCCGATTTCTGCTTGAGATTGTACACAAAAATATATCTAGAAAATGCATCAATGAGAACCATGAAGTATCTATTTCCACCCAAAGAGGGCGATAGTGGTCCAACCAAATCAGCATGAACAACCTGGTATGGTTCTGTAGCTTTCCTACTAGACACCTTACCTTTCGCAGCCATTTTCACCTTGTTTGCTGCGCATGCTTTGCACTTCATGTGGTACCTGCAGGGTTTAATAGTCATACCTTCAACCAAGGCAGGCATTTTAGATACTGCCTCAAAATGCAAATGACCAAATTTTCGATGAAAATCGTGAATACATTCTGCATGCAAACTTTTGTTAGAACCTGCAATGCAACAAGTGTCATCCTGCACCACATCATCATAATACAAAACAAACAAATGATCAACATATTCTGCATGCAATACATAATCATTTTTCTTTGTGATGATGCACTTCTTGTTCTTGAAGGAAACGTCAATGTTCCGCTCATTCAGCTGTCCAACGCTGAGCAGATTATGTTTGGCGTCTGGCACGTAAAGCACATTCTGTATCGATAAGTCCAAACTGTGAAGAACAACAGTTCCGTAGCCTTTACTGGGAATAGTGTGGTCATCCGCCTGGTGAATCGCACCTTCCTGCGGTGTAAAAGACACAAACAGTTTCTTATCGTTGCACATGTGGTGGGTGGCCGCTGAATCAACAACGAAGAAAGATCTAGACGTCTTCTGGACCTCTGCAACCTTTGGAGTGAAGCGTGAAACCATAGCCTTGTGCTGCGTTGTCCTAGACACCGGACCTTTGCCTTTGCCTCGGCCTTTTCCGCGCGATGAGCTTCGCTGCGCTGCTCTGTCTTGGCCCTGGGATGTCTGCATCCCTCTTCATATGGCCTAGACGTCCACACGAGTAGCATTTCACTGCCTTCAAAGCTTTGGCGCCATCTGGTGGTTCCACTGCACTATGGGATGACGTCTGTGAAGACTCTCCTTGCCCATGCAGCTAGCACCCCGGCGATCTGCTTCATTTAAAATCACGGCAGTAACAAAGTCCACTGTCAGCTGAGCAGTTGGTTGCACAGCAATCTGGGTTGCAACAGACTCCCAACCTGAACCCAAAGATTGTAGTATCATGAAAGAATACACAGCCTCTGGAAAGTTGAGTCCTCTCTGTTGCAGCTCATGTCTCAGATTTTGCATCTGCATCAGATGTAAACGCACATCTCCACCTTCAGCAAGAGCCATATTATGCAGCTTGTTAAAGTAAAACATAGTGGATCCAGCTTCTGTCCTTAAGTGAGCCTCTCTCAGAGCGTCCCAAATTTCTCTGGCTGAGGTCTTATCACGCAATAGACAGAGCTCTTCTGGGGATACTATCAATGTAAGAGTTCCCTTGCTTTGGAATCCTTAGCTTCCCATGCATCTGTAACTGGAACTGGGGGGGTTCCTGTAATCACCTCAAACAAACCCTCTTCCGCAGAATTGCCTCTGCATACTGAACCCAGTCGCTGTAATTTTTCTTGTTGAGCTTAGGAATCCCACAAGCATCCTGAAGGGCCATCATGACTCTGGCATTAGCCTTCAGCGTCATATGCTGCTTTAAATCTTGCTGCGTCACTGCTGCAGCTGCCTCATTACAAAGGCACACTTAAAAGTTACTTTCGATTTCCCCAGCATAGTGACTTGTGCCTGGGAGCCTTTTGCCTATTCCTGCAAAACCGGCTTTAAAAGTTCAAAGTCCAGCCATAAAGCCATTATCTTGAAGCTGGCAGGCTGCCCGGAGCAGTAGCACATACCTCATCAATCACTTCTACGCGCAGAGCAGATTCCTTTCCGATCCGTCCCTCTGCATTCCGATCCTTTGCCGGCACTCCGATTCGACCTCTGGAGTCCATAACCACGTGTTGATTTAAAGCAGAGTCTGTCGTGCCCAGCGGAAGGATGAGGAATACGTGCTACATACTCTATATTGCTTTATTTACAGTTCAAAGCTGGTATATTACAGAAAGACATCTTGCCTCTGCAAGAGCAGAAAATGCATCCTCTCTCCTCGACAGCTTGGAGAGAATCACACAGTGAAAAACAGGAAACCAGTGTACGTCACATCCAGTCTCCCTTTCCCGTGAGAAACTCCAACAGTACAGACGTGTGGAATGTAAACACCTGTCTTGTGACTGCAGTTGCTGCTCAGTGAGGGAAATAGAAACCAACAGTTTTCAGGTCCCCAATCCATGCACGTTTTACTTGGGAGGAAGCCCCATTGAACTTGATTGGGACTTACATCTGAGTAACAGTGGCAATTTTAATCTGAAATCTTAGATGCAGTACTGCGCCTAAGAGCTCAGAAACTGTTCATGTTCATTAAATTCCCTGTCGCAAAATGCGCCTAGAACAATGGGAGTTTCGAACGCTGTCCCAAACTGCTGTGATAACATTTCTCTCAGTCTAGCGTACCTCACAGGGTTGTTCTGAGGATAAAATTGGGAGTGGGAGAACCATCTATACCACTTTGTGCTCCTTGGAGAAGAGGTAGGCTCAAAATGTAATAAATAAATAAAATTAATGAAAAGTTTCTCTGGAATGCAATATGGAGCACCTTAAAAGGTTAGTGCATAGGTCAAGTAATATAATAGGCAGGCTGGTTTTCATGGGACCAGAAGGATCCACTGAAAGGATCCACTCTAATAGGCAAAGGTTAGGCAGACAGCACATAGTTCAGGGGAAGTGAACCCAATGCGATCTCACTGAGTGCTTGACGCATTTTAAGTGCATCTGAAGCTGCTTCTAATAAACATTTCACAAGGGGAGAGGAAAGCTGGCTGCAGAGAAACCCTTCTGCAGTGATGCCATCAGGGTAGGGCTTTGGGGCTGATGCCCGGGGCTCCACTCCGCAGAAGGAGCAAGAGCTTCCCCCAAACACAGAAGGTCTGTCTTGTTACATTTTGAAGCGAGCAGTCATAATAATTTTAAAAGGGCATTCCCAGAAGTCCAGAGTCTAAAACAAATTGCTAGAGTGCACTACTTCCTCTCTGTCAGTCATGTAGTGACCTTCTGACGGTATGGAAAAAAGGAAACCAGAATGATTGGAACTGTGTTTCTGAAGCTTTTGTAACCTGGAATAGGGTGTTTGGGTTTTTCTATGGACTAGAACAGAAAGCACAATTTACCCTTGCACTCAAGAGAGGTGCTCTAATGGTAGCCAAGAGGCTGATATTGATGAACTGGAAGAATAAAGATTGGATTGATATGATAACACTTGCAACCTACGAACGGACTGCTTACAGACATAGACTCTGCTTGGATAAGTATGACAATATTTGGAACAAATTTATACAAAATGTAGTAGACTATTAATATTTCTATTAGGATAATATCAAATTTATAAAAGAATGTATGGGTTAGGGTATTTTTTGTACTGTATATATTCATATAATTTTTTCCCCTTTACACAGTTCTGTGTTTTGTTCCTTTCCCTTTTTCTTCTTCTTTTTGTATCACTTTACTGCTTTATATTTGATTTTTTCCCAATAAAATATGAATTAATTAAAGACAGACAGAGAGAGAGATTTTGTTGGTCTGCTCCCAGAATGATGGGCAGGCATCCTTGCAACTAATGATCAATATTGCCCGCAACTCTGCCCACTCTTCCCCTTTACTCAAGGGTTCAGGATGAGGCCAGGCTTCCTGGGCAATGGTGATGTTTCTGGAATTCTCTCATGCCTGTCAGGGAGACTCATTCCCTTGGAAAGATGCCACTGCCCATGTATGGGCAGAAAGAGGGAGGATCACTGCTGCTTGGGGCCTCTGTGTTTCAACAGGCAGAGAGTGGTGGATGAATCCAAAACACTGGCTTAACTTTTTTAAGGCATGTCTTGGCACACAGTTTGGAAAACCCTGGACTAGAATGTACCATGTAGAAACTCTTGCTAGTAGATTCCAGGGGCGGGGAGGCACAACCTCAAACTGGTGCTCATATATATATCATGTATTTACAACATTTATCTGCTGTAACTGGATGCCATTTCACTTATATAAATAAATGACTTCAGTCCCAAATATCTGAAAGACAGTCTCCTTCCTTGCAGCACCTCTTGGGTGTTAAGGTCCTTCACCCTCAGAAGCTCAGGTGTGGGGTTGACCCATGAGAGAGAGTTCTCTGTGGCTGCCCCTACATTGTGGAGTTCAGTCCCCACAGAGGTGTGTCTGGCACTTTCATTGTACAGCTTTCATCCTATGCTGAAGATATGCACCTCTTAACCCTTGCCTTTGACACTTGAGAGATATAAATAAATTTAGGACCCACTCTAGTTGCAATTGTAATTTGTTTTAAGGTGTTTTTAAAGTTGTATTTTACATTGTTCTGATCTGGGACAGCTTAATTCTGAGCTTTTAAGACCTCAGACCTAGATTTCTAAAAGCTAAATTGCTTCTTATTTGTCTCTCTTGACAACCTCCCATCTTATAGCCAAGCCAGCCGCTACTTGTGTTTCTACAATGTTATGCTTCTGCCATTGTGTGTAATCGGAAGCTGTGGTGCTTTGGAACCTGTTCAGGAGACATTGATTTTATCTAGGCAGTGCTGGAACAATTAAAATACCTTGGGCCGGAATAGGGTCCCTCCCTGGACTCTTCCTGAGCAACGATGTCAGCTTTTCCTCCCCAGGCTATTGTCCTTAAAGGTCCAGTGACCATTCCCAACTCGTAAAGCAGCTTATTAAAATTAGTGCCCGATTCCCTGAGAAATGTAAAAGCGGCAAAGAGCAGCAGCTGTACCTCTGTTGGTGTGAACAGAAACCTGCACTATTTTGGCCAGGAGCAAAATTGTTTTTTTCCAGAAGAGAAGAGTCATGATTAAACTGTAGATTTGTATTTGTCATGGAATCATAGGATGTAAATTAGTACAGTACTAGTGAGTTTCCCAAAAAATTGAGACAAAATCGTGGTAGTCAGGCCAAAACAATATCTGTTAAGGTACAATTTTGTGGGAGGGACGCAGACCCGAAATTTTCTAGCTGCTAAAATCATATGCTTGACAATGGATGGCTTGCTTCACAAATGTGCTTTTGTTGTAGCATTTCCTTTGAAGCATCTGACTCAGGCTGCTGTTAGGCACAGGATATTAGATTAGATCCATAGCATTTACAAGGCAGTCTGTGATCCCTTTGTTTACAGCCTCTGGGCCGGCCCTAACATTATGCCAATTGAGGCGGTTGCCTCGAGCAATGGATACTGGATGGTGGCAGCAACAACCATTCTCCTTGAGCTGGCAGAAGTAAGATCCCAGTAGTGGGAATGCTTGCTGTGTCCCATAGGCTCCTTCTCCCAATGTGTCACAGACAGCACAACTGTGAGCAGGCAAAGAGGCACCACCCAGCCCAGGCCATGAACTCCCACAGGCATCACACACTCCAATCATGTGATATGTATTGGTGCAGCTGCTGCAACACAGCATTACTTTCTGCAGGTAGCATATAGGCGTCAAGCAGAGTGGAAGCAAGGTGCTGGAGGACAGAGCTGTGTGTGTGTCATGCAACCTGGCCTGCACCCCATTAGTACATAAGAAAAGCCCTGCTGGATCAAACCAAAGCCCCATCTAGTCCAGCATTCTGTTCTCAACATGGTCAACATGTTGATGCCCACAGGAAGCCCACAGGCAATATGTGAGCATGACAGCACTCGCCCTACCCACTAAGCTAGCCTGCTAGTGCGAGATGCTGCCCCATCAAAAGCATTGAAGTAGGATTCAGTTGCTAGTCTAATCCGCATCTGTGTGTGCAACTGAGGAGGAGGGAATATTGTCCTTTGCCCCAGGCAGCAAAATTATTGGGTCAGCTACGAGTTTTATTCTTCTTACCCCATTTCCCATACCTGGTCCAGGTAGCCCTCTCAGGTGGTGAGTGCACATCTCTCCCCCGCCTCCTTTTCTAGCATAACATGCACATGGAAAGCTGAATCATATATCCCTGGTAGGGAAGTTAATGAGCTTCAAAGTAAGGCAGAATGCATTGACCCTCTCCCTGCTAGGGGAGGTCATGAGTTCTCCGTTTCCATGTTATTCTGAAAGCACAAAATCCAGGTATGCAGCTGACTCACAGGCACACTCTCACCATTTCCTGCATTGTGAAATGCTGCCCTAAGGTGGCCACTTCCCATCGCTAGACCTCTGTTTACAGCCTTGTTACCAGGGTAAAATAGCTCTCTTGCGGGCAGAAACAAATGGCCAGAATGCTCACGGGTGCTGGGCGTTGCACTGCTCCACAGTGCAGGTGAAAGACTGCCTATTTTAATACTCCCCATGTACACTAGACCACAGTTGTCTGCCTGCAAGGGGTGGGATGTATCATCTCATTTGCCTCTGAACAGTGATTCAGAATTTATCGTCACCACATACTTCTTGCTCAGACATCCTAGCGATGGCTCTAATGTTCTTTTCTGCCTAACCCGTCAGGCAAGCTACCCTGCTTGCCCTACCCTGCTCCACACCTTACACCCAGGTCTGCATTGCGATATCTTGCAATAGGATGCCTATATCCCACACTGTAACCCTGTGAGAGACACTGCTCTTTTCACCTGCTCCCTTCTCATGGGCAGCCCCTCCATAGTCTCACATGCTACATTGGGCCAGGATAGACAAATGATGTATTGCGTCCATGCTGTGCGACTTGGACATGGAATTTTGAGGTGGCTCAGCCTCTACTTGAAAATGTGGGGGGCCCTCGGCCTCCGCCCCCCTCAGATGGCACCCCTGCCCCCTGCACACCACAATTCCATGTACAGAAGTTGACGGGACAGGTTCTTGAATCTTACTTCAACATTTGTGACAGGGCAGCATCCTCCACCACACGAGGGCAGGCACCTGTAGCACACACAGCTCCACCCTCCAATACCTGCTTGCCGCCCCTGAGCATTTGCCACCTGAGGCAGCTGCTTCACTTTGCCTAATGTTAGGACTGGCTCCGGGACCAGCTCTGGCTATTCCTTCCCCAGCTCTTCTTCAAAGGAGGAGTAGAACTTTGAGGTGCTGACACACTGGTGCCGCCACTGTACGCTGAATGTTCCCCCAGTAACCAATTCTGTGCCAGGGGAAGTATGTAAACCTGGAGAGAAAGCAGCTGCCTCAGGGGAATTGCCTGGTGTGTAACAATTATACCAGCACAGGCATTGCTCTGCGCAGTGCACCCTTGGTGACCTTTAGTGAAGTTTACTATTTGCTTGGTTACAAAAATATAGCAAGCAAGCTATCAAGCCTTTACAGAGCCACCCATTCCTCTCCCAGGGACTGCTGCCCCCTAGAGTCCTGGGGGTGCAAGTGACTCGGAGAGAAGGGCAATTGAGGAACTGTGGGAAACCCGGCCGAAAAGATGGAAAGCGATACCCTCCCTTGGACCTGCTTCGCGCCGCCAGGCAGTGGCGATGAGAGAAACGTTTCATTTCTCCCCCAGAAGAGCTAAATGCAGCTGCCCTGATGCTCACGCACTTTCACCCACGAGAACACGGTCCAGCACGAGGTATCTTTTTACCTTCTTTTGTTACGTCCTGCGGCACACAAAATACTCTGAAGAGCAGTCCTATCCCCCCACCCCACCTGTTTGCGTTTTTGAAAAGGGTGAAGTCTCTCCCCCCTCCCCTTCATGTTTGGCTGAAAAGAGGAGAAACGGATACTCAGGGCCCTTTGACTGCGGGGCAAAACAGGGAGGCAAGAAAGCGGATTTTCCTCCTCAGTGGCCGCCTCTTCCCCCGCCCCCCGCCGCCTGGATCAGACTTGGAACAATGAGGCCCCTGTTTCTTTAAGACTCGCCGGCCGAAACTCCGCGTTCTTCTCCCTCAAAATAACTTGACCAGAGGGAGCCTGGTCTCCTGGGATACAAGGTCAGAAACCGAGGGCATCTTCTCTCTGCTTCATGGCAAACCACCTCGGGCCGAGCCAAGAAATGGCAGGGAGACCCTCGTCGCCGTCCCAGATTGCTTTCCCCCTTGACAGATCAGCTTAGCGCTCCTGGGAACAACGCAGCTCGCTTTTCCCACGCAGGCGAGCAGGGCAGCTGCGCGCGATCCCCACCCCCAAACTCTTAGGGTGTAGCGGGGATTAGACGAGGGCTCCCCCTATAGATGGGGGGAGATACAACCTGACCCCCCCCCCGCCTCGCCCCAAAGTCTCATTGACCCACTGATTCATTCATCCAATATCTCGGCTGCGCTGGACGGACGCTCGTAAGGGAGCAAGAAACGCAAGGGGGCGCTCTCGGGCGGGAGGGGTAAGGGGAACCCTAGGCGAACCCCACCCGCCTCGCCCAGGGCGGCGGGGGTGGCGCGCCCAGCCCTGAAGGTGTCCAGGCACTCACCTGCCCCGTCCCGTCCCATTCTCTGGGCGCGTTGCGGGGAGCCTCTCTCAAGGCTCTTCCATACCTCAGGCGCTCCGGGCTGCCTGGCGGTGCGCGATCTCTGCCGCCGGGCAGCACTTGGCTCTGCCTTCTTCCCCGGGGCGTGGCCCCCGCGGAACTCTTGCAAACGGCGCCTCGCCTGGGCTAGAAGCAAGCCGGCAGGCGCCTCAGCGCCACGATCCGCTCACCCAGCACACTGGAATTTCAGGGCAGCTGCGCGCATCTAAAAGCCAGGACAAACCTCTTTTTCCGCACCTTGCATTTGGCCTTTGCTGAGAGAAATGTTGCGTGGTTCTCTTGGTGTCCTGGCAGCCTGGCCTCTGTTCTTTACCCAGGCTGCGAAATCCACCTTGTGATCACCTGCTGAAGAATTCTGTGCAGTTGGGAAGTTTGCACCAAGAGAAATTGATCTAATAGAAGCATCATCATTTTTAATATATATTTTAGATTCATGCTAGATATTCAAACGAATATTAATATGTGTATGTATCATGTTTACAGCTCCAGCTTTCAGGGTGTGGTTTTGTAATACTATCATCGTCAGTAATAATATGTGCATTCCCATTGTCTATTGTCTGCTTGACAACTTGGTATGTTCACCAGGATACCTCAAGCCACTTATCTGGTCAAAACGATATATACAGTTGCCTATAAAGGCTCATCTCATCATGAAACCAGAGCAGTACCCACCAGAGAATTTACTGAGCTAGCCTCAGGGGAATAAATGAAAGCAGTACAGCCAAAGCATTCACTTCAGAACTTGCTTGTGGGGACTAGATCCTTTGCCTCGAAGGAAATGCGCTTTCGGGAGCCAGGACATTGAACTGGAGCTTTAGAACAAGGATGGAGAAATTATGGCCCTCAAGGTGTTGTTGGACTCCTAACACTGGAGAGCTATTGATAGTCAGTGTGGTCTGTACAAGGCTAGAGAGATCGTTTTTAACCCTTTGGCATTCTATTATACATCTGACATACATGGGAGGAAGGTGCATGGAAATAAATTAAACTTCCAAGTGAGCAGAGGGGGTGAAGGTGGGGGCCTGTCTGAGTCAGTGATTTCAGATGCCATTTGTCTGTCCTGATGCCAGGATGTTTGTCCAGCCAGTGCAGCAGGAACATAGACACCCCATGGCTTATGGCCCCCAAAGCATGCACAATTCAAGCCCCTTTCCAATGACCCACCACCTAGCCCGGTTTTACTGATTTATTAATTCCGAATCCCGCATTGCAACATTAACCAGGGAGAAGCAATTTTGTTACAGTTTAACTCTGTGGTGCTTTGCTTTACCCCCACCCCCACCCGCTGTGAATCACCTTTTGCACACAGCTCCTTTTCTCTGCTAGCCCTTTTCCTTTACACAGGAATACTCTTTTCTCTCTGCACTCAGAGTCAAATGCACTCTTTCCTCTCTTTGCACAAGATCTGCATCCATCTCTCACTTGTGCTACTATTATTCTCTTTCCCCATCTGCAGTTCTCATGACTTCCCCATTCACAGAACTTGCTGCTTTCCCGGACACCTCAAATATACATCCTCTTTCCTCCTGCCACTGCAAATAAATCACACCCTCTGCTCCTCATTGCACCTCATAGTACTACAGCAAATACCCCACCTCTATGTCACCCAACTTTTCTCCTTCTCCAGCCCCCAGGCCTCTCTACACCCTTATCTCTGAGCTTCTGTATTTGGTTTCTCTTTCTGCCCTACCGAGTTCAGTGGCAGTAGCCCACAGGTCTTTTGCTCTTCCAGCAACCCACATGTTAAGGGAGATGCAAGGTGGCCATGTTGTGTGGCTGGCTCCTGTAACAGACTGGCAAGGTAAAGTTAAAGGGACCCCTGACCATTAGGCCCAGTCGTGACCGACTCTGGGTTTGCAGTGCTCATCTTGCTTTATTGGCCGAGGGAGCCGGCGTACAGCTTCCAGGTCATGTGGCCAGCATGACTAAGCCGCTTCTGGTGAACCAGAGCAGCGCACGGAAACGCCGTTTACCTTCCCGCCGGAGTGGTACCTATTTATCTACTTGCACTTTGACGTGCTTTCGAACTGCTAGGTTGGCAGGAGCAGGGACCGAGCAACGGGAGCTCACCCCATCGCAGGGATTCGAACTGCCGACCTTCTGATTGGCAAGTCCTAGGCTCTGTGGTTTAACCCACAGCACCACCTGCTGCACCTGCTTGAATCCCTTCTGGAAGCAGGTATATCAGCATTTGCCAATGTAGCAGGGGTGGGTGGGGTGTTCCAAAACTTTGCTTTCCAGGCAGTTGCTGGAAATCTGGCTTTTGTCACTCTCTTCATGACAATACTCCTCCCTGCTGCCTCTGCAATGCACCTTCCTGCTCATCAATGGTCCTTCATCAAACTGGAGGGAGGATTTGAGTGGGTCAGTTTTGTTAGCTCAACCTCACAGTAAACAATACTCGGCTTTAGAATTACAAGCGTAAAGTGGATTATTAATATAAGCAAATTAACATTGGGGTTCCCCTTCTTGCCCAACCAAAAGAGGTAGAAACAATCCTCCTTATATGCACTGATGTACTGATTAATTGGCCCCTTGGGCCTGGGTAGTAACTCTTACTACCCAGGGAAAAACCCAGGCTAGTGGTTTAACTGCGAAACATGCAGGCACCTGGGGGGCATGAACTGACTGGCTGATTAATTGGCCACTAGGGCCTCTCAGCAGCTCTAGCAATGTATATCTGCTCTGGAAAAGTCTATTTGGATATGCTTACCCAGTTCCATTTTAGTTTTGTGCCTTGAGATTTGGGTCATCTGACAGAAGAACCAGGTGACACAAATCCAAAAGCGCAAAATTTGGAGCAAACCTACACAATTTGTGTAAAGAATGATGGATTGAAACCAACCTGCATACCCTCCAACATTCCTCCAATGGAAATAGGGACATTCTAAGGAAAAGTGGGACATTTCAGGATCAAAACAGAAACTGGGATGGCTTCTCTAAATCAGGGACATCCCTGGAAAATAGGGAGACTTGGAGGGTCTGAACCTGCATCGCTTGGCATCTTTTAGCTTTAATTCCAAGACTGAGGAAGAGTTATGTGTAATTCAAAAGCTTGCTTCCGTCATGTTTTCACAACCAGTTGTTTTAAAAGTATATAATTGCATTTTGTGTGTGTGTGCTATGTGGGGTTGATCCAGCTAACAAACACTCTGATCCTCTCAATCCTCCATTAGAGCTTTGGGTTTATGAGACTGCTGAGAGATCACTGGTGCTTCACAATTTTTATGTTCAGTATACGTCAAATGAAAGTTGGCAGTTCAAAATTTTAAGCTGTCTTCCTGATCTTGCCATGATCAGTTGCAAAATTTGCATTGAGCATAACAGGGTCAAGACAACTCCCTAGAAACCTTTCCTCCTACTGATAGCAGAGCTTTGGGAAGGTGGCATGAGGCTCTGGCAGGGTCCTAGAGTCCTCCCAGCTCCTTCCTAAAGCTGGGAAAGCACTAACTAGGTTTTGGGAAGGAGAAGGGGGGACTCTAGGACCCTGCCAGAGCCCCCACACCTCCTTTCCAAAGCCCGTGCCTCACTTACCTGGCTTTGGGAAGGCAGCATGGTGGCTGCTTTGTGTTGGACCCTCCTGGCCTAGAGAGTGCAATCCTGCATTTGGCCTGTAGGCCAGAGCATCTCTACCCCTGAAGCAGGGCTTCCCAATCCCAACGTGATTGTGATTTCGTTGGTTGCCAGGGCAGAGCTTTCACACAGCAGTGGGGGGAAATTACCAGTATGCTTCATTGTAGGAATCGGCCTAGAGGAGGGCCAAAGTAGAATTGGGTAGTTTTTTTGGCTCTGTTTGGAATAACTTTGCTTGGGTTCTTGGTGATCTCTTCTACAAGATCAGTTTTATCCCACAATCAGAAGTCTTTTATCTACTGAATGAATTATGATGGGACCATCCAGCAAAGGAATATTAAGCACTCTATGTAGATCAGCCAGCAGAAGAGACTGACTGTATCCAAACAGATTCAGAAACAAAGAGAAGTCTACGTACATCAAGAGAACATTGGAGGGCTCTGCAAAGACTAGTTTAGCATAGGTACACCAGCACCCTGTGAACAATACAAGTCTCATAGCAACAGGCACAACAGTATTCTGGCCCCAGGGACTTTTCAGGGAAAAAACCAAAAAAAGTGGTGTGCAGAAAAAGGGAAACAAGCCCAGAGGAACTTCCCCTTTCAGGATGAGACAGAGGAAATAGCTTTTAGGTAGTGACAGGCAGTTCCTGGATGGGAACTTATGAAACATTCTGAGATGGAAGCACTTGCTGCAAGTGGCATTGGAATTTTTCCTGGTGGAATTACTGAACGGGTGAAGTGGGAACTTGGAATATGATGAGGCTGAGAGTTGTGTCTGTCCCACAGGTGTGTCAGTGACCTAGAGATACAGAACTGTTTGCAAGTCATCCCAACAGTGCAAATGACTGAGGCAGCAACACACAATGTACCTTTAAAGAAGCAAGCATCACATCTTCATAAAGGTAAAAGGTAAAGGTACCCCTGCCCGTACGGGCCAGTCGTGTCCGACTCTAGGGTTGTGCGCCCATCTCACTTAAGAGGCCAGGGGCCAGCGCTGTCCGGAGACACTTCTGGGTCACGTGGCCAGCGTGACGAAGCTGCTCTGGAGAGCCGGCACCAGCGCAGCACACAGAAACGCCGTTTACCTTCCCGCTATAAAGTGGTACCTATTTATCTACTTGCACTTAGGGGTGCTTTCGAACTGCTAGGTGGGCAGGAGCTGGGACCGAAAGACGGGAGCTCACCCCGCCGCGGGGATTCGAACCGCCGATCATGCGATTGGCAAGCCCTAGGTGCTGAGGTTTTACCCACAGCGCCACCCGCGTCCCTGCGTTCATACCTAATGCCAAATGAAGTCTTAGGATGCTTTCCTGGCCTCTGCATCACTGCGTTTCCAAAGGGGCCAATCTGCTCACCCAAATTATGTGTTCTTTATCCTTCTAGCATGAATCAAGAGGAGCAAGAGGGTCTGAATTTTTATCTTGGAAGTTGGTAGCTCTGTAGATTATAATTTCTTCTGTCCTATAGTTGAGATAATCCACTCCTGGAGCACTGCGCCTTCCATTTCTCTATT